TCGGCGTGGAGCAGCGGTGGCCCACTGTTCTCCCCAGAGACGTCTCTGTGGGAGCTGCAACAGCTGTGACAGTGTAAGTCACCCCGAGGACCTGTTGTTATTGCTGTGTACATACACACACACACACACACACACACACACACACACACACACACAAACACACATAGTATCACCTCACAACAATGGAGAGATAGGCCAGGGCCAGGAGTGACTTCCTTATTATCTCTTTTCCATTTGTTTTTGCATTGTAAGCAGTCAGTCAAGTATTATCTTTATTTATTTATATTATTTTTGAACTTTTTGTCGCAAGCTGTTGCTATATGGTTTCAAACTGTTAAGATGGTTATTGATCTGAACACATTACCAGCTCTTTCAACATTTGAGACCCAGGTGCAACTGTGTTTTCCTGCATTTCGTGTCTCCTTCTCGGCCGTGTTTTTCTTCTATGGGAATGTTGCCGGGGTTTGGATCAAAGAATTAGTGGTTTGATTTCGATACAGCGTTTGACTGCTCTTGAGTCTAACGTGCGCCTCACTGCACAGGAATGCGTCTGGCGGTTTGTGATACGGTCAGATAAATCCAGCCCGCCCTCCTGCAGTGGCATCAGGTAGCTAGCCTACACTATCTAGATGGTGGCCATCTGATATGCTTGAGGAGCCCGGAGGACGGCTGTGTGTTGAGAAAACATCTCCAGACAATGCTGGGACCCACCAGGAAGTCCTTCTCATTTAGAGGAGCGTTCTTAGTAGTGGTTTTACCCGTAGACGTCTGGTCCTGAAGTAACTACCCTCTAAACTCCTCTGCTAATCCTCCAGACTTATTCTGTCACCAGGTTCAAGCTTTGCAGATGTAATGGAAAAGCTTCTCCTGCCAGCTGACTGGAGCTGCCCACATGTCCGGTGCATTCGCCACACAGGGCGTCTCATTAGAATAATGCGAGGAATTTGCGCCGTCAGATTAGGCCATGGAAACAAAAAACAAGTAACAGATGCAGGAAGTCTGCCGATGAGGGCACTTTTCACAGCCCCGAGCCCTTTCTGCTCTTTGAAGAGTTGAGAGCTCATATTCTGACGTGCTTTGATGTGGAGCGCGGCCGCAGGGAGGAAGAGAAGGGGAAGCGGTCGGAAACCACGGAGGGACGAGGAGCGGACCGTTGGTCGCCCGGTGCAGACGGGGAGGTGAAATCTAGTGGGAGAGGGGCCGGGGGGCGGGGGGGGGAGCCCCGCTGAGTGAGCACAGGTGGAGCGTTTAGAGCAGGTGTAGTGTGAGAGCTTTGCTGCAGTCTGCTGCAGCGACACACATCAGACTGCCAAGTGACCAGCTGATGCGGCTCCGCGTGGATTACTGCGTCTTATTATTTACCGCTGCACTCTTCAGGGTGCGCGTCCTGATTGCCCCGCGGCCCAACGCCTACACCGCACCGTCTCTATCGCTGGTGCACCTTCTCGTTCCTATGGCAACCAGTATTACCAGCATGGCGATCAAACTGTTCCTTTTTCCGAGTGGTTTTTGGTGAAAGGAGCTCTGTGTATTGCATATGACTTCATCACTGTATTTTCCTCTAATGGTGCCCAGATTTAGAGCACACAGCCAGTGGACTTTACTCCTTTTAAAATATAGAAATGTCCTTTATAAATACATTATAGTTTATGTATGTGTTGAGGAAGCACTGATTGGAATATTTTTAGCAGGGTGCAGTCTCTTAATCAATGATAATTGAGGAAGCCAACCGCCACATATTTACGGTTTTAGGAGTAGGTGATTAAAGCCTATTATTGTGGTAGTTGCAAGATAATGATAATATGCTAGATAATTTGCATCTGATTATGCAAACTATGCACTCTTACTTTGGCAGTTAATCCTGGAACATCGCAATCGATGGATCACCAATCCAATATTTGGAATAAATCTTTGCTCATATCGATCAGCTGCTGATTGATCACACGGATACTGTACGAGCACAGGGTCTGGTTTAATTTTGGTGTTCCGCTGGCTTTCCATCATGCAACACTCCCACTCATCCTGATTTCCTCTTAATAAAGACCTCCAGCAGGAAGCTTTTCAGCAGGACAGAGCCCCCTGTGAGGAAGCGAAGCAAGCGCCCTTTATTCTCAACACACCAACGTCCTTCTCTCTCTCTCTCTCTCTCCCTCCCGTTCTGTTTCAATTTGAATAAAATGCGATGGCTAGAATCACGGGAGGCGTGTAGAGGAGCAGAGATGTGAAAGGGATGAAAGTGTGTCGGTCCCCACCTCCCGGTGTGGGAGTGTGAATGGGGCGGCCCACCCCTCTGTGCAAAGGGTTCCCTCCCTCTCCTGCAGCACATGCTCTCAACACCGGCAGAGACGACTCAAACATAGACTCAATAATCAGAGACAACGGAGGCGACTGCTTGTTTATCAGTCTCATGAGAAAGTTAAGGAAAAAAATAGGTCAAAAACTGTATTATTGGAAATGGTGACATTTGTCTGAATAATTCTTCATCCTAATCCAGTTTGAGCAGAATAGTGCTCCAAAATAAAAATGATTATTAGGTGTGTTCAGTCTTTTAAAGGTGAATATCTAAAAATCAGCTACTTGTTTAAGTAGTAATTTAAAATGCATTCTGGAGGACGGCTGTATGGATATCATAGCTCGCATTAGTCTAATACCCACTCTACAATGCTCTTTTCCACCGTGTAGGAACTTCAGTAGGAGGCTGAACTCTGGAGGAGTTCTTTCTGACACAGCGAATACTCCTTCATATTCATGCATCGCTGTTGTGACAGTAATCCCATCTGAATCACAACGAGGGTGCTGACGCCGCGTGCACCGCCTCTCTCTGAATCCATACCGGTGGTGGCTCCACTTCCACTGTAATGATGACTGTTCAGCATCTCTAACATACACCTTTATTTGCTCCGTATAGTTATTCGTGCCGAAAATGTTGTCTTACTGCATTGAAAACATGCTGCAATGTACACAGACGCTGCGAGGAACTTTGCTCTGGCCGTGTGACAAACATTCTGTCCGGCAGGACTTGGAGACTAAATATTCAGCAGAGCCGCGAGACCCCACAGTCACACGAATCGACTTTCCACCTGACAGGTTCGGGGCGGCTGGCCTGAGGTCAGCTCTGCTCAACGTGGAGGTCCAGTGGGGTTTGCACGTGTGCTGTTCGCCGAGCCCACAGAGGTCATTTGTCTTCAGCCCGGTGTTCACGGTTCCTCCGTCGAAACTCGTTCCGCAGTCTGTCTCATTGTGTCATCGGACCCGGCGGACTTCACCAGCTGTTCAGATCCGCCGTCGTACACATGTTGTGGTTGTTTTAAGGGACAAGTACTTCAGGAGTAGCAGCAATGGTGCAGAACATGACTGTGTGTCACAGAGGTGGTGATTCAACAGCGTGGCAGTTCAAGGTGTGTGTGTGTGTGTGTGTGTGTGTGTGAGACCAGCTATGTACTCCTCCTGTTGTTGAGCTTCTGACCACGTTGCCCGATTAACTTTTGGTCGACTAGTTATTCAGGTTTCTGGCAGGCTTTCGTGCAAATGATTGCAGGAAATATAAATAATGAACAATGAAAAAAATGTAATTATTTCACACTACTCCCTCTGTCTCAATCGCAGGTCCAATAAGTTCTGCGGGTGATGCAGACAGTGTTTTGCCGTAGCTGCTCAATTTGCCTTAAACAGTTTGTTGCCATGTACGTGCGTGTGTGTGTATGACAACTTGCAACAGAAGCATGATTCCCTTGAAATGATTTTCCGAGCAGACTGCAGCAGTGAGCTGACGTCTTGGCAGTCGTGTGCATTTTCGGAGGGAAAAGCTCGACAACGTTGTATTCGGGGTTAATCGAGCATATGAAACAAAATATCTAACAACGCTGTTCTCAATTGCATTACCCTAAATACCTCTCAGGCTGTCACATGATACTGGTTCACATTCAACTTGAACGATCTGTGTGTTGCAGAGTGAGTGTCTTCCATTTTTACTTTGCTAATGGGAAATGTGTGCTTGTGTGTTGATGCCTGCACACATTGGTGCAAAGCACCAAAGTCTTCTACGGATGGGGAGTTTTCACTTCCTGTTTAATTACATTTCTGGGGAAAGCGGGCGAATCTGTGCTGACGCCGCTGACTTAAAGGGCTGACACTTTGCTATTAGAAAATAGACCCTCACTCCCCTTGACCCCCATCCACCGCCCCCTCGCCCTCAGCTGTGGGGGGGGGTTAAGGGTTATTATGCCTGCAGGGTAAGTGGACTCTGATTGATCAGTATTGATTGGAGCTGTATTTGTCAGACAGTAATGGGCCTCCCCCTCAGGACATTATGTCTGCTTATTGCCACCCACCACCACCTTCAGCCCTACGTCACCCCTCTGTTTATGTCCTACTCCTATTCAAAGAGCCCTCCCTCCTCTGCTCTTAGGGCCCCTCAACATCTAATCAAAGGGCACAACCTGCTTCACTCGTCCTTCTCTCCTCCCTTCAGGTCTCCTCCCATGCCTCAGTACGGAGCTGGAGGTTGGAGGCGGGTTGTGAGGAAAGGACGCAGAGGTCGATGTAGGCAAAACTCAAGCACATCTGTTTAGTTTTTGCGTGCTCCAGTGTACAACGGAACGAAGGAACCCCCCAGCTGTTTTGATTTCTGGCTCTATTACACAGTATTTGAGCCAATACTGAAATATCATTAGTTTTTGGGCGTGTGTGTGTTTGCGCGCGTAAACGTGTTTGCAGATGCTGCACAGAGGAACCCGCCTCCGGCATCTTTGTTCAGAGTCGTCACAAACAATAGACGTGTCCGTGTGGGTAAACTGATGAGCGTGGAACTGATGACGGCTGCGAGAGCAGAGCACTAATTGTTACTACTACACAGAGATTGTGACAAACAAGCATGACAGTACATTATATTTACATTGATGGACGATATCATGCAAACTCTTCACATGCGTAAAGCAAAAAGCGCACGTCATTTTTATAACTGTACTAAGTTCTCAATTTCCTCGTCATTTTTCCTACAGAGACAAATACTGAGCCTTTGCTGCACCGTGACTTCATACCGCACCAACTCCACCTGCATACGGCACAGGAGGCGGAGCAAGGTAACATTAGTATATTTGGTGTGTGTGTGTGTGGTAGTAACATTTGCTGTGAGGTTTTCTCATTAGTATTTTTACTTTTTAATGTTTAATGTATTTTTCCTAGAATAGTGGTTTATGCTGTTTGCCTCTGGTTCTGATTTGTGTTATTTGGTCACTGTCTTGATACTAGATGTGTATTTACTGTGATTTAACTTTGAATGTAACTCGCTCTGCTTGCAGAATGTCTGCTTATGATATGAAGGGAGACTTGATAAAAGGCTAATTGACTTGATGACCTGGATAGTCTTTTTTGAGTGGAGGAGTGAGTGTCTGCTTTTAGTAGAGAAAGCACTTCCTCATCTGCATTTTGTACTGACAATGAGAATCGGGTCACTTGTTACATGCTTTTCCTTCAGTGAGCTGCAGTAGTTGCCACAAACCCAAATTAACATGATGCTCAATATGTGCGTTACTAGTCCCCCTCAATCAGGTATAAAACTGTGTGTTGCCATCAGGAGCTGGTATACTCAACTATGTCTTTCTCTTAAGTCATTTCTGTGGTTTTTCTGAAAATATCTTAGGTGTGCTTGTTATTTTCTAAAAGCAAAGGATTCACTATTTAGAAAATTGCTGCAAACTACATAGTAAAATATTTCACAAAGACTTGTTTAGGGTAATAAGTGACATTGTTGACTTTTTCTTCAATTTCTTGTTCTTAACTTGAGAATGTTTTTGAATGAATTTGAGTTTGAGTGACTTTGCAATAAGGTTGTGATGAATGAACCTATTGCAATATCCTTGGGCCCGTGGGGGCTTCGTTACATATTTTTTGTGTTTCTAACCAAAACAGAATACATATAATCCCATATTTACTTTTAGCATGAAAGTACACAGAAACATAACGTCTCATTATTCAATACAGTTGCTTGTCAAACAGTGAATTGCTTTAGGCCAGAAGTACTTCAGTCAGACCTCAGAGGCTCGTGTCTTTAAGCCTTAAGTGTCCTTGAGCGGCCCACTAAATCCACTCGAGCTCCCACCACGCTGACCTCTGACCTCCTGTAAAGGGGAAAAAAAGTGTCTGTTGAAATGAAATCAATTAATTCAGTAAATGAATCGACATCCAGAGAGATTGAAATGACTCATTCAAATATTAAAATACACATCTCCTCTGTTTTTTCACCTCAATCTGTTGCATCCCCTCCGACCGAACCAGTGAAATATGGTGACGTGGGTTGCAATTTGTGATCCTCCAACTTGAAGCAAATTGTCAGACTTGTTGCGTGTGTGTGTGTGTGTGTGTGTGTGTGTGTGTGTGTGTGTGTGTGTGTGTGTGTGTGTGTGTATTCCGCCTCCTGCACTTGAGCTCTCTCGGCGTCTTGGGGACTGCAGCCTGACAGGCAGATGGAAGTGACAGTGACATCAGCAAGATTGAGCCAAACAATGGAGATGGAGATGAGTGGAGATGATGACGACAGCGGGGTCAACGGAGACTTGTGGACAATACCGGGGAAGGAAAAGTGAGTGGGGAGGAAAGCTGGTCGACAGGGAAAGAAGGTGAAGCTTAGTTGAGCTCAGTCTGAGAGGGAAAGATGTCGCCTCCGTATAAACCAAACACACTTACAGGCCCAATTTAGACCAGGGTTCTTCCTTCCAACACAATATTCTGATATGCCACTGTTGTTTATCAGCGTTTCCTGTAGTGGTTTGTTGGTTTCTATCTGACTCTGGAGTTTGAGAATTCCAGGATCGCCTAAGAAAAATTGCACGGCAAAGAATGTGGCGCATGAGCTTTTTGTGCCCGTGCTGTTTGTATTTTAGAAAAAATTAAAGATGTTTTCTTGCCTCAGAGAAAGCAAACTCTCCTCTTGCAGCTGGCAGTCAGTGGGACGTCGGGTCAGAGCCCCGGAGCTCCATCTGGTTTGTGTGCCAACGCCCACATAACATTTGTTTGTCAAATATGTTGTGTAGGAGGGAGCGCAGTTCGCCTCAACAATCGCATCAGGAGAATGCAGGTGGACACCGGCAGTCACCCTGCAAGCGCTCGTCATCAGCCTTTTTATTATCGCTGTCCGCTCCACAGCGTGATGAAACATCCGGCCCGCTGAACTTCACTCATGATCCGGGGCTACTTCACCTGGCCGGGAGAAGATCCCTTTGTGTTGCGACTACACACTCCGTAAAGACGGATTGGGGCTGTTTAGTTTTCCGAGCTAAAAGCAAGTCTTCTGCAGCTCTGCGTCTTTCAGTGGCGGATTTAACTGCAGTGTCCGTGTTGCCAACAGTAGCACACACCGTTCCAACCGCCTCGCGTGGTTTCAGACTCTTTTCGTTGTTTACTCTGATACCTCTAGCTTCAGCAGTCCATTTTTTCCCTATAACGATGGGCGGGTCATTCAACTCTGATGGCCCCTCCCGGCCCGTCCGCTCCTTCAGAAGCGCCGTGGCGGCATGGACGCAGGCGACTCCGTCCCTGCCAGCGCTGTTGTATCACAGAGTCCTGCTCTCCTCGGCTCCCATCTGCCATCTGCTAGTCATATGTACGGCCATCTGCTCTTCAAACCCATAATGTAGCTCTCTGGCATCGTTTGCTTAATTTAAACAATTACAGTAATGGCTGCTGATGTTTGATGTCTAGGGAGTTTTTCCCCCAAAGGATTTATAAAAACCTCCTTTTGAGCCGCCTTGACGCAATGGCGACAGTTTGTTTGCTTTCTCTCAACATTGAATTAATAGTAGATTTTCAGAAGCCTTCGGTCTCTTTTGCTTGCCGCCACACATTCCCTCCGTTAACCCCGCACGCAATTAGGCCGCTTTCTGTTTTGGCAACGGCTGGGACAGAAAACCGCGGCAGGCCGATCGCTCCGAACCTCTGACGCTTTTACATTTGCAACCCGCTGCTCTGATCTTACCGGTAGGACATTCCAGCAAGCAGCATCATCAGTGGGCACCTCCTCCGCACAGAGTACACTCATTCCTCTGGAAGGTGTACGGCTCCGCTAACTCTGTCATTACTACCGTCTAACCAGTGTAATTACCAGCCTGCATCGTGCGGAGGCAGGCGGAGCGGGTGGTGTAAAGAGAAGGAATGGGAGGGACGAGGAGAGTCAAAACAGGGGAGGTACACCTCAAAGTGGAATAATTACTATGTGTGAGCAATTAAAAGGCATTAAGTGGCCGCACTTTATCCCGTGAAGCCAAACCTGCATCTGTCGCCTCAATTCTTACTGTATATGATGGAGATTGATTATTTTACATGTGTTTTTCTCTGGATTATATATAATCCTTTTATATGACAATCATACTTTATCGTTCTGTGGATTACATCTAGAGCCAATATGCTGCTGGTTCATTGGCTTCTTTCCTAATTCTGTGCAGGGTCGATGTAGCCCCGTACCCCCTGGGGTCTTTGCATCATACCAGAGGTGTGACTTTTTGAAATATTAAAAAATTAACTTGTTATTGTCATTATTTATCTTACTTCCTCTTCCTCTCCTGGAGTATCTGTAAGAATACGTGTTCTGATTATCATATCAATAGACCTGCTTCATGGGGAGTCGGTAGGAAATGTTTCTCTCTAATGGCTAGTGTGCTGACAGAAGTAACCTCTTCTCATCAGGCACCTCACACACATAATGAAGCCATTCTGCAGCTTCCTGCAGCTGTGGACGGATAATAATCTGAGGTTGGGCGTTGTAGTGGATCACAGGACGTCTCTGTCAGAGAGCGTAATCACAACGGGATTCTCCAAAAACAAGGATGTGATACTTTTGCATGGCTGCATCCGTACGTCAGGGAATCAAGGTTTGTGTTTGTGTTTGTGTGTGTGAGCAAATGAGTAATGCAGTCTCGAAGCCTAAAATGAATTCGGAGAACGCTCATAAAATGCACAAAACCACTGAGGTCTCCCTGGACTCAGTGAAAAGCTTGGCGTTATGTAGATTGGACCTTATAGCGAGATAGTCCGGCCAGAAGTTGGTATTTGTAGAATTCACAGTCTGGGAAGAGATGAGCACACATTTGTTCTCACAACAAAACCTTTACGACTTACAAAACTGCTTCAATAAGCCGTGTGTTGTGAGATTTGTGGTCGAATCGAATGCTTTGTTTGCAGACAAACATGCAAGAAAGCAAGGTCTTAATTGCTGGTGTATACATTTATATAAGATAAAAATTCAAATGACAGACACATGAGCAGAACAATTGCACCATTTAAGAGGTTAATATACGGATGAAGCACGTTCAGTGCCTGAGACAATTTTGTGTCGATATTTGAAGGACTTTGGTGGTTTGAAGAGAGACTTATGTAGATAAAGAAGCTTAAATCTAGGAATGGAAGGCGAAATGAGAATGAGATTGGACCGAGGCTGAAGAATGGAAAAGTAAATTTGGGAGAAAGGGAGAGTATCATTTTGACTACAGCGCGAATGGAGATGGATTAAATACATTTACATGTCGGACATTAAGGCTAAGCTCTAAAACATATTAAAGCTTTGAATTTGGTTTCTTAAGGTGAAATATTTTCGTCTGCTTTTCATCAGCAGTATGTTGGCTATAAAATGTTTTTGGCTGCATGCTTTTAAAAAGCAAGCCTGTGTACAAACCAAGGAGAATTTTTTCGACAGTGGATTCTTTGCACAATTCGCTCGGCATCATACGACCAACAGCGTCGCCCTTCCTCCATCGAAGTGGTTAATCCATCCATTTATTACTTTTCTGCCACTTGCTTTACTATTCACTTAATGAATAATATCATCAAATAGTGCTTTCAAGCACTAAAATATGTGATGTGCTACTAATTCATTCTAAAACATATTTCCCCTTCTGGTTTTGAAACTAATATTAATTGGCATTCAATGTGCTATTGAAAGGTCTTGTGAAATATAAATGTTAACAGGACAGGTGCTGTGTGTTTGTTGTACAATACTCTTTTTTTGTTAACGCTTAGTTCATATTGCGTCATAATCGGTTTGTTTTTTTAATATATATATATATATATATATATTTACTCTTATTAATTCCTCGCCGTTCACTCTGAACAAACAAGAACAATCTGAAGTCTGGACTGAAGACGACGGTGAAAGAAGAACAATGACTGCTATTCAACTTTAAAGCTAGCATTAAGAAAGCATAAATATAAAACTGAAATGCTCCTTCACTTCCTGCTGCAGCCGTGCAGACGTTAATGTAAGAAACTACAGAGTAAACAAGAGTCTTTGGTAGGTTCCTCAGACGTGATGCGCTGTGACTGTCATATTAAAGCGCGCCTCTGTGGCTCACTGAGCAATGTGCCGCCCTCCTCCCTGCTCTTTCTTCACTCTGTCCGGTCACTTTATTTCTGGATTTACCCCAACTCACCCCTCCGGCTGTTGATTCACTCTGAGCCTTCGCCCTTTTTCTGCCTCTCGTGGAGTCCGCGTTCGTCTCTTCATCTCCACGTTGCAGTCGTTTGTTTTTTGAGCAGCCACATAGCTGCTATGTCAGTAGTAAAGTTTTTCATATGCAGCAGTGATGATTTGTTGAAATTGCCTGTGTACTCAATCTGTCTTCCCAGTCTGATAATATTAGCTGAAGTGTTTCAGTTGTTTTAATCTGCAGCGGAGCTGCCACTGCCTCCATGTCCTCCGGGTGTGTGTGTGTGTGTGTGAGTGTTTGTGTGCGAACGCACGTGTGCTCGAGTGTGGCGAGTGTGTGATAATAATATCCCCTGTCAGCCTGCTGCAGATTAGCCTCAACGGAAATCCTCTGTCATATTCCCTCACCTCTCCTCTCTCTCTCTCTCTCCCTCTCTCTCTCTCTCTCCCTCTCTCTATCTGTCTCACATTGTTTTAGAGTCGAGTGACTCGCTCTTTTCTAAACTTAGCACTCGGTTGTTCTTTGTGCCTGTGGAGAAAATTTGGGTCACACTGTGATTTCGAAGATGCTGATTTTCTAAAGCTGGCTGCATTGATTTTAAATTTTGTTTGTGTTTCTTCTGTTCTCAGATCTGCATGAGACTGTGAAGTTGTCACAGAAGAAGACGCCTCCCCCACGACCCTCACCGGCCCTCAATGGACCAGTGAGATCTTTTCCACCCTGCAAGTTAAAGGCAATGTGTTTGGGAGCTGGAGGCCGTAGCATCGTTAGCAGAGTACGTGTGGGGCCCCTGCTCTTCCTCTTTCCCAGCACCCCTCCAGACATGGGATGCCAGCCTCCTGCCCACCGGCCCTGAGCTCTCCTGGGGAGCCATGAACAGCTACAGAGACAGAGGGGTCACTTGCACCTCTTCAGACCTCCTGGTTGGAGGAGGGTTGCCCCAGCACACTCCGTTTCGTCACACCCCTAATGGCCACCTGGCTCTTGGCCCCACTGACCTTTACATCCAGCCACGCATCTCCGTGCCCAAAATGGGCGTTAGGGCGCGGATCGCCGAATGGCCCCCACGCCGCGCGCAGTCCAGGGAGTCGCTGATTGAAAATGGGCAGATGGGCGCCATTTACCACGGAGACGACGGCTCCACTTCGATGTCCTCTTCGGTTTTGCCGCCTGACGTCGGTTTGGTGAGGGGAGGAGTTGCCAGGTTGCCACGACGACGGTCCAAGGATGTGGAGTTCAGAGGAGGAGGGTTCAGCGTGGACAGAAGTTGCCCTTTCAGCCTGCGAGTGTTCCCTCCGCTCAGACAGCGCTCCAACAGCGAGGTGACGCTGAGCGAACAGGACGAAAACGAGGTGGGTCGTTGGTCTCCTCTCGCACCTACGAGGCCTTTTTTTTTAGTGCTGTAGAGTTTTCTGTTGACACACAAACAAAGAGGATGGAAGTAATGTCCAAGCTGCAAAGCACCACTTTCAGTGGTCGTGCATTTCCCTGGATTTAATGTTTGTGTATCGTCGCGGAATAACAGGATTATGAGAACTGTTACTCAAGAATGCAACTCAGCCTTATGTCATGTGTTATGACAAAAAGCGCCATCTTTTACAGTTCTATTGGGAGCGGCGCCTCTGTTTTGTACTTGTGTTACCATGGTTTCCAACTAACCGTGCTTAAATATATATGTGTGAATTCCCTGTTAATGGTTCCCTCCCGCCTAGACTAACCAAACTGGAAAGAGAAAAGGATGCTTGGTTGGATCAAAATATTGACATTAAATTCAATGTCGCTTTGCATCCTCTCGCATTTCACCGTAAACCAAACAGAAATGTCTCCCCTATCCGCTCCTAGGTGGAGGTTCGTGGAGGCTGCGGCATGGGGAGCCTGTTCAGAGAGTACGGCAGCACCTCCTCCATTGACATCCAGGGCATTCCCGAGCAGAGTTTCTTCGACATGCTCAGCCAGTTCCACCAGGAGAGGCCTGACCAGCGCAGCTCGGCACCTGTACGCCTCGGGGAGCTGCTGAGCGCTCCGGACTCGCCGCCAGGCGCGCCCCTCCCCTCCGCCCCATCGCCCGGTCCGTCGGTCGGGGACGACCGAGGGACGGGAAGGAAGGACGGAGCCGAGAGAGTCAGGAAGAAGAGTGGGGGGACGGAGTCGTCGCTGGGCACCTCCTCTCTGTTCAGGAAACTGAGGAGCTCTAGTCGCGGCGAGCTGGACGGAGGGAAAGGAGAGAACAGTGAGGAGGGGGGAGGCCGGGTTCCAGCAGACTATAAGCTGTGGGTGTGCCCCAAGAGCTTTGTCCACTTCGATGCTCAGAGTATCCTGTTTGACCTCCACGAGGCGGCGGCTCAGCGGGGCTACGCCGCACAGAGGAGGAACACCGCCACGGGGGCATCGGCTGCGTCGGTGTCCCTGTCCGTCTCCAGATCCTCCGCTCCCAGCGCTAACGACCCCGTTTACTCCAGCATAGAGGATCTGACACTGAGCCTGGACCCCGGCTCCATGACCCCCTCCCCGGGCATGGAGCCGGCTGACGGGCCTCCCGGAGCCCACAACTCGAGCCCGCTGCTCCTCTGCTGCCCGCACTTCCTCAACGAGACCGGAGGCCACGGGGAGCGCAACATCAGCTTCCTCAGCTCGTCGGCGGAGCGAGACGGAGGAGGAGACGGAACGAGGGGCTGGCTGAGGAGGAGCAACGCCAGTGTCTCGGTGCTCGAGGTTCCTGTGGAGCAGCAGGTGACGAGGCTGGACAGGCTGAAGCTGTACGGCATCGAGCATGTGGACCTGGGGGCCAGGTACTACCGGGACTACTTCCACGGGAAAGGTAAGGAAACACTTCTACCATCCTTCAGACGAGAGATGATGACTACACATGGTTATGGTTAGAGTATTACAACATTGATTTTTTTTACAGTAAACTGAAAAAACTTAATTAAGTTATTAAGTTATAGCAGGTATAGGTTGCTAATGGCGTTGCATTATATGAATACTAAGCCCATGATTTCCTGTCCATGAAATAATGCCTCTCCTCGGCAATTCCTGCATATAACACATACAGAGCCTGCTAACTGTCTCTCAATGCAAATGATCAATTCTGTGGCTTTTTCTTTTTTTAAAGAACCGAGCAAGCGATCACCCACACAAAACCTTGAAATAATTAGTTTGGGTTCTGTACAAAATGAGAATAAAATTCAGAGTTTTGCTTTAAAATGTTGGTAAACAGTTATTAAATATTTATAATATGTTAATTTGAATATATTCTAAACATTACTTGTGTTTTCTTCAACCAATAGTCCAAAATCCAAACGCATTTAGTTTACTATAATAAAAGAGTGCTAAAACATTTTAAAAGCTCTGATATGAGTTCTGATGGTTTCTGATCAGGGAAGATCTCCTTTCTCCAGTGTCGCCCTCCCTAATCTCTTGCTGCCTCTGTTAATAACCAGCTGGTTCTGAGCAGAGCCGAGCTGACAACATTCCCTGACTTTGTACTCATGTACCTGCCACAGGACTGCTGATAATACACCAGCTGCCTCTTTACACAATCACAAGTACCACTTAGCAGGGTCAGCCGCTGCCGCTTTGTTTTACATGTAGTCCAAGTGTCAGGAGTAACGCCTAACTTCAGAGAGCAGAGGGCTGTGTGTGTGTGTGTGTGTGTGTACACACACGTGTTTGTTAATATCACCTCTTCAGACTCTGGGGATGAAACTTCCTCTCGGCAAGCGTCATCTGGCTGCACCCTAATTACTGGCAGAGGCTGTTAGGACCACTCGTGTGTGTGTGTGTGTGTGTGTGTGTGTGTGTGTGTGTGTGTGTGAGAGAGACATAGGCCTGCAGCCACACAGATAAAGGTTATCATTCCAAAAATATGTTCTGCTGACTCCTTTTCCAGCGCAGTTCTCCCCCAGAATGCCTCATTGATTTCGTCGTGTTGTGCGAGAAAGCCTCATCAAAAAGCTGACGTTTTGCGCCATGGAAGCCCGAGCGGGCCCGAGCCTCTGGACGCGTACGTCGTCTTGGTTCACTCCAGTCACATGGGGGATGAACAAGGAGTACTTGTCGAGGTGGATTCCTGGGCGAGTCTTCGGACTCGCGCGCTGCCCGTGGCGTCGGCATTAGCTCGGCTTAGCTGAGCCGCTTTAGACGAAGACGTGCTGGATGCTCGTGAAGTGCTTTGAAAGCTTTGTCGCAGCCTCTTAATGGGTGATTACGTTGTGTGCAAACACGGTAACAAGCCCCAGCATGTTTATTGGCAACATATAACACTCTGTTTTTGTTTGTTTATTGCACATATATATTGTGTGAACAGTGTTGTTGTCAAACACAGAATTCAAAGGTGTTTTATTGCCTTGTGTTGGCTGAGTTTGTAAATACTCGAGTATTGATTCCCAGATAGCACGTCATTGTGTTAGTTGAGTAATTGCCCCTTTGCTGCCAGTCCTGCTTATTATACGTACTCTTTGTTTTATCAAACCATGATACCTTTTTGTTAGAATCACGTAATACAGAAACCTGGAGTTGAATCCCTGGAAAGTGCCTTGTTTTACTAACTGTTTAACTAACGACATTTACTCTAATGTTCTCCATCTCTTGTTGACCTTCAATAGAGCACTCAAACTACTTTGGGACGGACGATAAGATGGGAGCCGTGGCCGTGAGCATCCGCAGGGAGAAGCTGGAAGACACCAAAGACCTGAAAGACCAGTACCAGTACCGCCTCATCGTCAGGACCAGTGAGGTATGGACGAACCGCCGTGTGTCTGCGCCTGCACGTGTCCTAGCTATGGCTCTCCTCACCCTCTGGGTTTGACCTTTCCCCTCCCTCCTCACCCCCTCTGTCCTCCATCCACTTTGCCAGTGGAAAATTCCACCTGCCCAGTGGCAGCAAAGCCAAACCAAACACCGGCTGCTGAGGCCAAAGTGTTCGCTCTCACAGGAAGCCCACCCGACCACTTTAATGGCTGAAATACTTGTGATGCGTTAAGCGATGCGCTGGTGATCTCTGCGAACTAGTTTGGATTCTCACTCGGATTTGTTCAAAGACTACAAACTAATGTTTTCTGCTCACGTTCCAACTTTTCGGGGGGTTTTGCAATGATGAAGAGTTCTTACGGGCAAATGCGATCAGAATTTCTTTTGCCTTCTGCCATATTTCATTCCAAAAATATTGAATTGATATATGATATATACATATCGTTAGTCTTCTGTTTTAAAAGTTCATAAGTAAAACAGCCAAGTGTGCCTGTGTTCATAGCGTTCCTCTGGCACTCTGTTGATTTTAGCTGGATTACATGGCTGCCTGGCCTCATCACCTTCGCTCTGGCATTACAATAGAGCCTCTCTGCCATCAAAGTACATAGAGCTCAGCTAACAGACACAGGCAGCACACCCGAGGCTACCGTTCCCACACGGAGAGAAAAGGGGGAGGATTGATTGCTCTGAAGCCGCAGCTGCTCTCAAATATCCACCTCCCTTAAGACCGTCATTTAATTCTGTGCGGCAGTGCTGACGCAGCAAGGTGGATGGACTTCCCCCCTTTTTTTTTTCCCTCCATCACACACACTGCTGCACGCAGCCCTCTGACGTCGCCGGCCGGCGTGTCACGCCCACTCCAAGCTGGCGAGTTGAAAGCCAAAGGCTCCATAACTTCTGCCGGGTGTCAATCGGGTTTAATGTATCGCCGACACACACACGCGCGAGTCTCCGAGGTTTCGACCATCTCTCTGGCCGCAGCCTGCTCCGAAGACTGCCATGCATTTTTAATGAAGCCGCATTTGTGTGTGTGTGTGTGTGTGTGTGTGTGTGTGTGCCGGTAATTGTGTTTGTGTGTGTGTGTGCGATGAGAACAGCCTGATCCTCCCAACTGTATCCGAGGGTATTCTAGCCTCACTGTTTTGAAGCAGGTCAATTTGCTCTCACCGGGAAGCAGCACTCTGTTGCCGCACAATACTGAGAAGAATATTAATATTCAGTACTGCCGACCAGAAATCCCCCTCACAGAGCACTTTGACTCTGTGACTGCGTGTGTGTGTGTGTGTGTGTGTTGGGCACAGAGAGAGTAGCGTCAGGGCATTTTGAGAAGGGAGACCATCCCTCATGGACCCTCTTCAGTTGCCCAGGCTGCTAATTATCCTCCACTCCATTTCCAGAGGCGCGGTCCTGTAGCTGAGCCTGACCTCTGGGCTTAATATCAATAATATTACGTAGTATGATTTCTTGTGTCATTCTTGTGTTACTGTTTGTCTCTGTCAGCCCCACCTGTAAAATCCAGAGCTATTTATAAGTGAGTCCAGATATAAAATAATAAGGAGCCAAAATACGCAGCATGTTATACTATATAATTATACACAACACAAGAACCGTTTTAACCCACACCAAGAAAAGAGGAAATAATTCAGACCTAACACTAAACTAGACTGTGAACAAGCACAAATTTAGACTTAAAGAGAGGTAAGGAGAAAAGTCAAAGAAAAAAAGGCAAGTCGGCAATCCAGTAATGAATAGTGAAGGTGATTAATAATAATAATTAATAATAAATTTTGACTCCTGTTCTGCATTAAGTGATCAATGAATGGGGACCATATGACAAAGTACTTTTTTTTTCCCATCCCAAAGTGTTGTTAAGGGGTCGAGGTCAACGATGTGATACAAATGGAGTAATTTCCTAACATTTTTGTTGTGATTTTATATCTTTTAAATCATTGTTCCCTGCCCCGCGTCCAGCTTGTGACGCTGCGAGGCTCCATCTTGGAGGATGCGGTGATGTCGACGGGGCGCCACGGCACCGTGCGAGGTCTGCCGCTGAAGGAGGTCCTGGAGCAGGTGGTCCCCGAGCTCAGCGTCTCCTGTTTGAGGCTGGCGCTCAACACGCCCAAAGCCACCGAGCAGCTCCTTAAACTGGACGAACAGGGGGTGAGCTACGCGCCTATTCCTGCATTTAATTTATGGTCTTGTTTGAATCTGACAGTTGAGCATAACAACATGAGCTGATGAGGAACACAGATGCTTAGAATGCTGCTCAGATAGTGTGATTAAAAGTACTGTATGTGAAAAAGAGATTTCATGTTGGTGCAAGGTACATCGGGCTGAGGTCAGTGAAAGCAGAGCAGGGTGTGGTGTGGTGGAGTGTGTAACCATGAAGGCTTTAATGTTTACCCATGTTATCTTTTTATTTAATGGAGGCCGAAGTGCAAGGCTGAGGTGTTTTTTTCCCTGCAGTCCTTTTGTTCTGTATGTGCAGGTGTTTAAAGCATTAAAGTGGTGCTCGGCGCTTAAGTGCATCCATATATCCATCGGGGGCGTGACACCCAAGTACAGACCGCAGTGTTCCGCCTGTTTGCGCGCGCGGCGTTAATGTTGTCTCTCTGCTGTTGTGCAGTTGAGTCAGAAGCACAAGGTGGGTGTTCTGCTGTGCCGTGCGGGCCAAAGCACAGAGGAGGAGATGTACAACAACGAGGAGGCGTCACCCGCCTTCTCTGCCTTCCTGAAGCTGCTGGGGGAGCAGGTCCTTCTCAAAGGATTCACCAAATACGCCGCGCAGCTCGACACAAAGAGTGAGTCCTTTGAAGAGGCCCTTTCAGACGTGACTGACGTCCTTCACTTATTTGAAGGGACACAAAACACATGATATCATAAGAACAAACTTCAGCTGTGAGAATTTTCCTCAAATAAGTCCCGATGGAATAAAGCCACATGGAACATTTGCACAACTATACCAAATCAATTACTCTTAAAACCTACATGTTGCCAATAATGTTAGGTATTCTATGTCTAAACAGTAAAAGCCGGGCCAGGTGTCCTAAGCCTAACCTGGAAAAACATATGTTTGAACATCTGTTTTTGGACTTTAATGCAGTAACATTGTCATTTGTAAGTTACCAATGTGTCATTTGAAATCCAAATCTCTTTCTCCAGCGGACTCTACAGGCACCCACTCCCTGTACACCACCTACCAGGGCTACGAGGTCATGTTCCACGTGTCCACCATGCTGCCGTACATGCCCAACAACCCACAGCAGGTCAGAGCTCATGAGCGGCACTCTCAGGCCTGTGATGTTACTCAAAGTCTCCCCGAGGTTGTTCGAGAAAGCCTCTTTGCATCGTAAAACACAGCGAGAATTTATTAAAGTGGCAACTCGTGGCTTGTGTCACCCTTTTTCATTTGGAGTTCTTCCCTCTTTTTTTTTCAGCCTCACGTGTCATGTCTTTTTTCTCCTCTTTCTGTCTGCCTCTCATTCACATTCACTTTACTGCATACGAGCTGGGTGGGGTTCACTAGTGAGAAGTTTTTGCTTTTCTCCCTTTTTCTTTTCACTCCTTTAAATAAAGCTGCCTTCCCACACGTCCTCCTGGGCGCTGTGGGCTTGCAGCGTGTGTCATTGAATAGTGTGTAAGATAACATTTTGCGTGTGGGTATTATTAATAGTTTGCGTTGAGAGGACGTGTGGGTGCTCAGTATTAGTTTATTATAATTCAGTGATGGAAAGGCCATTTGATCTGCAACAATAATTTTAAAAGGAATGAATAACATTGTGAATTGGAGTAATGTACTCTGATAACCATGCACACAGCAGCAATCTATCGTTTATTATAAACAAGCTTGATCATCTTTAAATACTTGCTTAACATCCTGTTAAGTTGTTGAGTAAACACAAAATGTGCAGTTTGCAGGTTAAAAGTCTGCACAGTTGGAACAGTTCATTTATCTTCATAAATCGGAAAGTGTCATTTCATCAATGGGTCTATAACTCCATCCAGAGGCTGAGAGTGCAGCAGCAAGGGGCTGTACCTGCTCAGATGAACCTCTAGGTGGCAGTGTCTGGCTGATTAAATAGAACCTGTAGTGGATGGAGGCGGCGAGAGGAGTGAAGTAGAAATATAGGTTCTGTGACGACTCTCTCATTCAGACAGAAAGAGTAACAGAGAGGACTGCACACCTTGTGGTACCAGAGACCGAATGTAAAGCAAATATCTGTTGGATTTCAAATGTCTGCAGTATTTAGTTTGGTTCAGAATGGATGCTAAAATAGAAAATAGTCAAGATGTAGATACCTGGTCCCAAATGATCAACTCCACCCATAACAGTGAACTTTTGAAAACCCGCAGCATCAGGCAGCACAAGTGAAGGAGGCTCCGTGATGGAGGGTGTTTGGGGTATCTGGGTAGAATCAGTTGGCCGGATAGGATTACATAATTGGTACTTTCACACTTATCTCTGCAGATGAAGAGAGGATTGGCAAGCGGCAAACCACAGTGTGCCATGTCTTCTACACCAACACACACACACACACACACACACACACAAATAGCCCACAAACGATCCGAAAAATAAATCACACAAGGAACCGTGTTTGGTGTCACGCAGTGAGCGTCTTACTCTCTCGTCAGACTCTCTGTTGTCGTCGACTGAGTCACTCGTGTCAACGGCCGTTGTGTTAGCGCATCCAATTCATTTGTTACTTCTGTCTCTCGTGTCTTCTCCCTCAGCTCCTGAGAAAGAGGCACATAGGGAACGACATTGTCACTATAATCTTTCAAGAGCCGGGAGCGATGCCCTTCACCCCGCAGAATATCCGCTCGCACTTCCAGCACGTCTTTGTTATTGTCCGTGTGCACAACCCTTGCTCTGAAGGCACCTGGTACAGGTAAATGTTCACACAAACACACACACACACACAACTGTAATATAAAAGGTGTTTTTTCTCACACCTTAAATCCGTTCCGCCTTTTGTTTCAGCGTCGCTGTGACCAGAATGAAAGACGTGCCTCCTTTCGGCCCGCCCATTCCCAGCGGCGTCGCTTTCCGTGACCCCGAAACCTTTCGGAACTTCCTCCTCGCCAAAGTCATCAATGCGGAAACCGCGGCGCACAAGTCCGAGAAGTTCCACACCATGGCGACGCGAACGCGCCAGGAGTACCTGCGCGACCTGGCCGAGAACTACGTCAGCAGCACACCGCTCGACACCGCCGGCAAGCTGAACAACCTCATCTCCCTCGCGTCCAAGAAGCGCGAGCGCTCCAAGGCGAGGGAGGGAGCCGAGCTGGGCGCCGCGGGCGCCATCGCCTGGAGGGTCCAGGCCCAGGACTTCAGCGGAGGTGGCACGGAGCTCCCCTGCGCCCTGGGTCTGTCGGCTGAGTACGTCCTCCTCACGGACTGCTCCACCAAAGAGGTGGTGTTCAACTGCTTCTGTGCGGACGTGATCGGCTGGACGCCGGAGCGGCTCACCCTGAAGATCTTCTACGGCCGAGGAGACCACATCGCCGTGCGCGTACCAGAAGGCTGCGCACAGGACATCAGGGAGATGGTGCAGAGGTTAAAGGTGAGAGGTTAACAGCCCGTAGAGGGACGGTGACTATCGGACCAGAGAAATTCATTTTTTGTTTGGCGCATATTTGGGCCTGTGTTGTGTTAATAGGCTGTAAACGGGTAAAGTTAGATCAACGTGTTAATGTGAGTATCCTCAAGGCCTAACAAATGTTTTGAATTAATTTGTGTGCCAGCTGATTTTCAAAAATGTAATTTGCATCTCTCTCTCTTCCGCCCATTTCCTGTCTCTCTTTACCAGCACTAATTACTGTGGAAATGCTTTTTACTAGCTTGCAGGTTTTTCCTTCACTGCTTTTATCGGGTATCGTTTCAATTTTGGAGTTTTGCTCAGTTCTGTTACATCTGCGTCCTGCAGAACCTGCACAATGTATCAGAGCTGACGCTAACAACCTAGTCTGCATTGATATGAAAATATGAACTCAAAAATTTGTAATTCTATTAATCATATCTCAATCTTTCAGCTAGTGGATGAGAGAAAGATAATACTGAGATAATTCCTTTACAATTTCAACAAATCAAATGTCAGGAAAGGAGATTTCCTGGACTCCACTAAGCGTTGGGTTCTCTCAACAACCAGAATAGTCTTTCTATAATGCCAATCATATGCATCGTTTCAGATTACTTCACATAGAGCTTTGTGTAAATATTGTTTAAATTACTGATAGAGTATTCAATGCTCCTACTTCTTTTAATTTAATGTTTTATGTTTTTTCCTTTGTTTTAGAAGATACCCCGATACATACGAATACGATCACACTTTAACCCCGTGATCTATTTCTTCTTGTCTAGTCCCTGACCGTAGGATGTGAGACGGTGGATATGACTCTGAGGAGGAACGGACTGGGTCAACTGGGCTTCCATGTTCGCCTGGACGGCACAGTGGCCGAGGTACCGTCAGACGACCATCTGCCACTCCGGATCTGGGACACTCATCTGCCAAGACTCTTGGCTGTGCATAACTGGCTCGTTTGAAGACGTCTCTGGTGGGTTTTTGTTGTGCAGGTGGAGGAATACGGCTTCGCCTGGCAGGCCGGACTGAGGCAGGGCAGTCGGCTGGTGGAGATCTGCAAGGTGGCCGCGGTGACGCTCACCCACGAGCAGATGATTGACCTGCTGAGGACCTCGGTCACTGTCAAAGTCATCATCATTCCTCCGTACGAAGAGGGGGGGCCTCGCAGGTGTGTTGAAATGCCTTTGGAGCTAAAGTAATGACGGTGGCTTATTTTCAAACAGCTCTGTTGAATACAGATGTTGAGGAGGTAGGACACGGCACTGCCGAGTGTTGGCAGGCAGTGGTGGAAGGACAAGAGCCAGGGTGAGTGCAGGAGGCTGTTCGCACAAACGCACAAACCGGTGAGGTAATGGCCAGACTCCAATGTTCTGGGAGGATTTTGTGTGGGAGTGCGTGAAAAGAGGAAGCAAGAGACAAAAGGACGACGTGTAGTTGAAGAGGAAACCGCTAGAATGAAGCGCAGAGAGAAAAAAGACAGGTTTTTGATTTCTTTGTTTCCCTCCCCACGTGTGTGTAGTCTCATCTTGCTCAGCTTACTATCGCCATGTTTCCCCTCCTCCCACGGTTTATTTTTTTTCCCTCCCGTCATCCTTCTCCAACCTTTCATCTACACGCACGGCCTTGACAAAGACAGAATAACGAGGCCTTTCGAGACACTGATGTGGTGCTACACAGCGGTTACAAAGGTGAAGAATAACCACAGTGGCTCCGCGTCTCTCACTCTCAAAGCCCTTTTAAATACGGTAATTGTTGCTGGTTGTGTCATCGCACTGTGGTTAGATATCTTTATGTTGGAGGCAGTTTAATTACACCGAGTTAAATCCCTTTGACGCACACACACACACTCACACACTCTCTCTCTTCTCTCTCAAGTAGAAGCTGATAATTAAGAGTCTTGTATTTCACTCATCCCCCACTCTCACTCTCTCTCGCTCTCTCTCTCTCTCTCTCTCTCGCTCTCTCTCGCTCTCTGACTGGTATGCCGTTGTGTGCCAAGCAAGCAGATTGCATCAGATTAAGGCTTGGATTCTGCAGGGAGAAAGGAGGAAAAAAAAGGGCTGCATAAGATAAATAAACGAGTGGAAGTGATTAATTAAAAATGCATGCCCTGCCCGAATGAAAAGGACGGAAGAGCGGGGGGATGGAGGGAGAGGCGAGGCAGGGTTTATTCAGTTGGAGATGCAGAGAAGCGCTCGTGAGGAAGACGTGTCTCAACACCACCTAGAGTGAAGGAGGTGGGTGGGTGGGTGGAGGAGAGAAAGAGAAACCAGAGTTGGAAGTGCTCTTCCTTTCTGCTCTGAACGGTTGCCGTGCTCTTGTGCAGTGGAGGGATACGGGCGAGAGAAGATGTGATGTAGCAGTCCTTTTGACCACGTGTGTTGTTGGGAGCTACAGCTGTGTCACATCTGCCGGCGTGATGAAAGAAACAGTTCATGTCACCGTACTTAGGCTGCGCTCTCTCTAAGGTCTGTACTGCTGCTGCGTAACTGTATGGATGTATGTTGATGTTGATTAATTGGTGATTGTGTTTTCCACAGACATGGTGATGTGTGTGTGTTTGTGTTTACATCCATACATCTTTCCTTTGACAGTGTTGTTCTGTGTTGTGGCAAAGTTTAATGTCACCAGGCTCCTCAATTAATTCAGGTTAAACACCAAAGAATCAGTTCACATGAATTGAAATAATACGTATTGTTGCACTTATATCTGCTGGTATGTATCCATGCAGATTAGGTTGTCTTTATTTTAATGTGTTATGTACTGAGAGTTCTTCCTCCACCACAATACAATACAGGTTCATTCATTCTAACCACAGCATTGAGAAACAATATTCGCTTTTTTTTACAGCACTTATCCTAAATCTTAAATAATGTCTGCGTTATTTCGAATAATTTAAACTGTTCACTGTGTACAGTTTTAACCGGAACTATGTTCCGGTGAAGAAATAGTCCCTAATAGTTGAGTTGGTCTATGTCAATGCCGGCCTGTGATTGGCTGTGAATTAAGGAATTGTGACGTTTAAAAGATATGTGCTGCACCTTGGGCTCGCTAGAGGCTACATGAATGCATTTCAGTTGTGCTCGTGGCCTGATTTTGCAAATACAAATATGTAGAAGCATTTTCACACACTAAACTCTGTGCAGAAGCCACAGCTTCAAAGCTTCTACACTGCAAGAATGCAGTCCAGATCTTCAGAGAGGACGCAGTGCTTCTTCTTCTTCTTCATCTCCGGGGGCCGCCCTGAGCCAACATAACGGGTCTTTGGGAGGGGAGGGGGGGGGGGGGGGCTTCAAGTGTCAAGCACTTGATTGACTTGTTGTGCGTGATCTCCCTTCATCTCTCTCTCTCTGTGTAGGGGCTGCACAGAGGACTATGAGATGAAGACCATGGAGCAGAAGCCAGAACCTGAGCCTCTGGCGGCCGGCTATCGACCCTCCCCTCGCGCTGCATGCCGATGGGACAGTCCCGTCATTCCTCCGGGGCTCCACAGTGTTCCTAACCAACAGCGCTGGGGCCCTATGGGTCCCCCGCCTCCTTCACTGGCCCGCTCACACAAGACCATGATTCCCGTTCCCTACAGGGAGCCCCAGCACCTCAACTCAAAGAGGTGAGACTTCCTTTATCTCATTTGCTTTCTCACTCCATGTAGATGAATGGTTACTCGTTGTCCTGATGGTTAACCGTCTCCGTCCTCGTGTGTCCTCCAGGCCAGTGAGCTACCCGGAGAACCACTACAGTATGTCTCCCACAGTAGTGCTGCCCTACAGAAACCCCTCAGCCAGCTTCTCCTCGCCCTCCTCAGGCTTGGTAGGCCTCTCCACAATGGGGCCACCTGGAATCACACCAGGCCCCTTCATACGCTACAAACCCTCCCCCGACAGGTGTGTGCGCTCTGTTTGTTTTTCCCAGCGCTCCTCCAGCGCTCCGTGTCTGATGTAACTCATAAGCATAGTTTTGTTTGCTCGTGGTGGATTATGTCTGTTTATAAGATGAGGCTGACTAATGCGTCAGGTCTGCAGTTAGACGTGTATGAACACACTGTCTCCTTGAGGAAGGATCTGGTGTGTGGGCGGCGCTTTCCCACTGTGTGGAGGTTGATAACATCTCACCAAACCGGATGAATGTGTTTTATTCAACTGCCATCAGGGCGCAAAACAGAACTTCGAATTTTCATGCTAAATTTTAGTTGTTGTAGTTGTAGTTGTAGTAGTTGTTAGTTGTTTTTTTAGCCTTTGAGTCATTTTGCCAAACATTTCAGTTTTTTCTTATTTAACCGACAGTGACATGAATGTGTTTATTGATCAAACGTCGCCCTTCCTCCTATGATCCATCGGTGTAGATATGGAGCAGGACAGCGCCCCCTGCTGCCCTTTGAGCCCCATTTCAGTGTGGACATCAATTCCAGTGGCGAGTCTTCCTCGGGCTTCACCAGCCAGGAGAGCACTATGGAGCGCTGCAAAACAGGTACGCCACCTTCAAAAGCTACAAGCAACCGATGAACAACATGTCGTGAATCCTCCTACAATCACTGTATCACTGATTTTGTATTTGCAATCGATCACATTGTACGTGAAAGGGTTTCGTCCATAGCGATGAACTCACAGATCATTATCACCGATTGATTCTCAGATCTCGTCAGTGGTTTTTTGGAGAGCTTTTTTCAGAAACATGCAACTGATACTATGTGAAAATTAAATAATTATTTGCGGACTTCCTAGTAAGGCTAAACTACATTCATAGTCTGTTAAGTCTGTGTGCGTGTGTGTGTGTGTGTGTGTGTTGCACAGTAGAGGTAACGCAGTGTGATTTTGTGCACTGGCTGAGGTCAGTGTTTTTATATGTGCTATAAGTATTTAATCCTCTTTGCAACCATAGAGGTTCAGTGTAATTTTCTTTAATCCGGTGAGTGTCTGCGTGTGTTTTCTGTCTAGAACCCCTCTGGCACGTCCCGGTGCCGTCGTCCCGGGGGCCAGGCGGTGGAGGGGGGCAGAGGAGACCAACCAGACAGGATGTCCCCGGGAAGGACTCTCCGAACAGACACTCGAAGGTCGGACTGGGCGCCATCGCCCCCCGTCTCAGTTCATCCATCTTCGTTGCCTGGTTCCCTGTGAGTTTGTCTAAACGCTGTGTCCTCTGCAGGGCGAGACGCAGTACTCCAGCCACTCCAGCAGCAACACGCTGTCCAGCAACGCCTCCAGCGGCCACAGCGACGAGCGCTGGTTCGACGGCGGACCTGTAGGAGAGCGAGGAGTCGGCGGTTGCCTCGGCGACCCGGTGGACCCTGACCCCGACCTTCTCAACAAGGGGGGGTCCAACGACAGCGGAATCGACGCCTCGACCCACTACAACAACAATCGCCAGGGAAACGTGTCCAGCAGCCAGTCCCACAAGCCCATGCACGGCTTTGCAGCGTACAGCGGCGTCCAGGAGCTGTCTGTGGGGAGGGGCAGCAGCGGAGAGGCGAGGAGACGGGAGTCTTCGCCCATCATAGCAGCCAAGGCAAATCAGAACAAAGGGTACCGCACCAGGACATTCCCGCCTCCCGGCTCCAGCGCAGATAAAATGGATGCTTTCAAGCCCAGGCAAGTGTCCAACTCACTAATGAAATGCTTCTTCTGTGGCATTTTTATGACGCTAACATTATTTTCCTCATTAACTCAATGAAGGGGCTGTTTTTTATTATATGGAGAGGGTGTTGCATTCATGAGCCTTGGTGAATGTCTGTACTAACTTTACAAAGTACAGACTTTCAACAAGTTTTAAAGCGATCTCAAGTGAATGCCTTAGTCATTGTGTACCACGGCCAGATTGACACACGACAATCAATCTTTAAAGGCTACGTTAGAGATTAAAGAAGCCTAATCCTTGGGAAGCATAGAGATCATCATGTGATCTCTTCTGCTCGTGCGCTTGCTTCCCCCACATCATAAAACACACAAACGTGCACAGACACGGCTCTGTGTTGGATTAAGACGATCTCTGTCTAAACCTCCTCCCCTGCGTTCGTCCATCAACAGAAAATAGACGTGAAAGTACATCCGCTGTTTCATTACGCTTTGTGGACAAATGGACATATAGTTGTAAGGTATATGATTTGTTTTCCAGGCAGAGGATTACAGTTGGTGTTTTGGGGTGATAAATGATGGTAGTTCTGCTGTTTAACCCTTCGCTGAGAATGGAGTTGTATCAGCAGACGCTTGCATGGTGTCTGTGATGTGAGCTGGAGTTGCATACTCTTATCTTCAATGCCTGATCGACGCATGGGAAGAGAGTAAGACGTACTCTACAAGAATAAATTATGCATTGATATTCATGAATATATGAATGTGGCAAGACAACTCGTATAAAGAGCTGAACAACAAACTCAATTCACTCCCTGTGAGCAAAGCCAACATATCTGTGCTCTGATCATTTCTTTCTCATGTTTTTCGTAGCTTTGTATGTTAAAGAATCTCCCTTAACTGTGATTCAATTGCAAGTTTATTGTTTTATGTTCCTTAGGAATAGTCTGGCATTTAGGGAGAATGTTCATTGAAACAGGAGGAAACAGGTTACCTGGCTGAGTCCAAATGTATCAAAATAGCGTCACACCTGTACGGCTAAAGCGTACTAATTTACATAATTGTTTTTTATTAATTGTTCCACAAAATGTTGAACTATTTTTAGAAGTTCAAAGGACAAAGACTTTAATCTCCACCTGTACACACTAGTTGGATCTCTTGAAAGTGACATCCAGAAACACTGTCGCATTTACCGAGAAACAGATCTTTGACATCTGTGACAAAATGCTGAAGCTCCTTCCCAGCAGATGGCATTAATTGTGTGTGTATGTGTGTGTTTGTCCTCTCAGGGCCTACACACCGCAGGGCTACAAAACACCAGCTGAGAGAGCGCGGCCCGTCCGAGCGGCCACGACAACGCCCACCTCCGCTCATTTGAGCTCCGCCCCTCTGTCCAGCTCCGCTCCCAAGGCCTTCTATGGCAAGAGCAGACAAAGCGCGTGGCAGAACCACGACAGCAGCCCGTCACCTTCGAACACAACGACCTCCAGCTCCGACAGCAGCAAGAGCAAGAAGTGAGTTGGTGACGGAGGTCTGGCTCGTTTTCACGCGTTTATGATCCCATTTAGTTTGTGATCCGCACCACTCAGCAAATTATTCTGTTCCTGTAACATCACATTAAATATGAGTTTACCAAGCACGCTTAAGAAGTGTGTCTAAAACCGCCACCATCTTATTTCTGATGGTGGAAGCGCATAACTCTGCTCTGCTGCCGTCGGTGCTTTGGATGCTCATGTCTCTCGTTTGGTGTCTCCAGGCAGGTGGATGCAAACTCAAAGAACGTGTTTGGGCAACCTCGCCTGCGAGCCTCACTGAGGGACCTGCGCTCCCCGAGACGCACTTACAAAAGCACCATCGAAGACGACCTGAAGAAACTGATCATCATGGACAACCCGGGAGAGACGCCACAAAGGGATCCGGTGAGCGAACCCTCGGACCCAAAAGGTCTGGCTTTGATGAGCCTTCACAGGCGCGCGCACAGAGCTCTCTGACCTCCCTTATCTCCCGTAGTCTCCCAGACGGACCTTGCAGCGCACCTTCTCCGATGAGTCACTGTGCAGCGGGCGCAGGGACGCCAGCTTCGCCAACTCCGAGAACCCGACGACGGCCACCGACGTCCTGTTCACCTGCACGCTGCCCACGCGCAGACATGCCGTCTCCTCCAGCCAAAACCAGAGCAAGAAGGGTGAGTTTAAACTGCCGCGTTGATGCCGGTGGACTGAAGTTACACGGCTGCGTTTAGCGGAGTGCATTTTCCCGGCCAGTCAGCGATGAAAGCGCTCTTCTTCCACCTCGTAGTGGTGTATCGTTCATTGTTTGTTTGCTCACTGCAGCTCTGCTGCCCTCTTGTCCCTCAGGGCCTCTGTCCGCCTCAGAGCTGTCCCTCACAGAGGTTAGAGACAAAGTCCCCCCCCTGAGGAGGCTCGATCCCGGGCTCATGCCTCTTCCCGACACAGCCAGTGGCCTGGAGTGGTCCAGCCTGGTCAGCGCTGCGAAAGCCTACGAAGGTGAGGATGGAGACACCTCAGGATTAGGTTGGTTCCACTCAGTGTGAGATTATACTTGTTGTATGAGGCATTTCCTGTATTGTTCTGCTTCCTCGCTGGCAATGATCTTGGGCTGTCTGTCCGTCGCACAAACAACATCTTAGTAAAGCCAGAGGGGAATTTCTTCACATTTACAGGAAGAAAGTTGAAGCTATAACATGAAGTGAGGACTTTTTGAACAAACATGGATGTGAACGACGCTCTGGCTGAAATTTCTGCAAAAATAATTGTATTACAATTGTCTTGAAAGTTTACAACACAACAGCTTACAATAATCCTGTACATATCAGATTTGTGTGTTTTTTGTTCAATCGTACATACCTGGTGGATGTGAGACCTGTAATTTGGTATCTGGGGGCTTATCGGTTCCATCAGGTCTCGCCTCTCTTCTGTCCCAGGAGAGAAGGCGATCTCTGCGTTCGTCTGTATTTCGACCGGCTGCTCTGCTTTTCACTGATTCCTTCGTGGGTCTCTCTTGTGTCCCCCCGCCACCACAGGGGGACACAAGACAGACACAAGCCAACCCTTGATCCGTGACCCTTCCCTTCCTCGCCGAGGCGCAACTGTGTCATTGATATTGAGAGACTCATTCATGCAGCTGTTATAAGGGGCGATTGCGTGTCTGTTGCAGCACAACGAGCAGTTTCCCTCTTCTCACTGACCGAGCCACCGGCCGGCAGTCCGGACACGAGACCAGTCGTCAGCCCGGTGCAGTTTCAGACTCCTCAGACGCCGCGGACCACACCGACCTTTGGCGGGTAGGCCGACCTCGCTCTCTTTGTCGAGTTGTGCAGAGAACTCTAGGAACGGGAGTCCTTCTCACTGCTGCCATCTGGTGGTGATGCGCTCCACTGTTTTGAAATGAATGGATGAAACTTGTATGCTGTTACTGTCCTTCAGTCGTGTCTTACTGAGCCAGTGAGCTGCACTCTACATTGTTGACATGATTGAAACCAAAGAGCTTCAGTTCCAACATTCTTTAACTAGAATGAATTCACTCACAGATACACCAGTGAAACGTGTCCTTCATTAACCACTTAAACAACCAGTGCGGCTTTTTTTCTCAATGCAAAGGGATTTGTTGTTTAGAATGTTTCTTTTTTTACATACTGCTTGTGTTTGTTCCTATGTATAGAATAGTATATTGCATACTGTGCACTGCCCTTTGCGCAAATAGAGGAAATATAAATAAATCTGTGCCGTGTGTGTTAACAGCGACGAGGTGTCCAGCGATATGTCCGGTCGGCTTCTCCACCTGGAAGTGATGTTGAAACGGCTGAACAATGATCTGGATAAAGTAAGAATTTTAATTTCAATTTTTAATTATATATATTATGCTACATTATAGTGAAATAGTGACCAATTTCTTCATTTTTTTGACACCTTGGCTTTCTCCCCTCAACAATAATCCAGCTTTCAAGACAGAACAGGTTCAAAATCAATTTAAGTGAAAAGACGACAACTTTTTAGGAGATTCTGTGGTGCTCGCAGGCAGTTTTGTAGTTTCCAGGATTTATGCTAAGCTATGCTACCTGTCTGCTGGTTGTACCATTTTTATTTCATGGATAAACACGAGCGTGGGATCCCCCTGGTCACGTGACTTTTAGCCGAGCGATTGCGCAAATGATCCCTCCAACCGCCAAAATAGCCGTTCCAGAGGTTGTCGGATGACACGTTGTTTCTCTTCTTCTCTCCTCATGTCTTCTCTCTGCCACCAGGAGAAGAAGGATAAAGTCATTCTGCTGGCAGAGATGGCCAACCTGAGAGAGAACAACCAGCGCCTGCAGGAGGAGAGCCTCACAGCCAGCGAGCAGCTGCGCAAGTTCAGCGGCATCATCACCAACGACAATAAGGAGAGCGAGCGCGAGGCTCACTCCCTGACGCACAAAGCCGACTCCAGGAGGGAGTGACACCTGCAGGAGAAGAGAGTCTGCCCGCGGGGGAGAGCCCCCGTGACTCCTTTCACGCGCAGCGGCGGCAGAGGTCACACCGACGTGCCCTCGCTCAGCTTCTGCGGGACCGCCTTAAACTGTAGAGAGAGCAAGAAATAAGACGACTGATTTAAAAAATGCATCGCTCCCTGAAAGTCTCCCCACAGAGCAGAGACCCCCCCTCTCTAGTCTCTGTGTCTGTTTATTTTTATAGACTGAAGTAAAAAAAAAAGTCTTGAATACTAGCAGTGTCTATATATCTATATAGATACATACATACATATGCTACTATGCCAGAGGAGCGAGTAGGAGAGGAAACTGTTTGAGAGAACGCTACATCACCTGGAGAGGCCTAATACTGTTCCCGAAGCGAATCAGCCAAAAAAAGACTCATTACAGACTGCATCTCCCAGAATGCACTAGTAATGGAAGCTCTACAGACATGGTACTGTAGGTAGATGCCTGTGTGGTACAATTCTCATGTATCGATATGACCTATATTGTGCTGATATTGTCGTACTAAAGAGGTGTGTGTGTGTGTGTCTGTGAGTGTGTGTCTGTGAGTGTGTTTGTATAGCTGATGGTACTCGGAAACATTACCGCACAACACTGTTTGTGCTCAAGGCAAAATGCATTTTATTACCCTGTGGTGCGAGTGTGTGAGGTCGGTTGTTTTTGAGTGATGAACAAACCAGTTTACTGTAAAATGAACACCTGCGGGCGCCGTCGTCTTCTTTCCTCCGTTTACATGGATGAACCTGTGGCCCTTTAGATGTGAAACAAGCCAGTGTGAATGATGTCATGCAGCTCAGAGATATTGTTAGTGTCACATCACTAATGTGGTTAATTGTTTGAATTACATAGTCACTGTTTTTTCAGCGGGGCCGCATCATCTCGGATCCAAAATGTACCGGACAATTGTTTTTAACATTGAGTCGTTGTCACAAAAAGAGCATTTAAAAGATGTACAGATAGTTCAAGCAGGAGTTTGACAGACAGTTTGACAAACGGGAGAACACGCACGCCTACCAGCACCTCTTAAGCTCACTAACTGAACACCTTATCTCGTCTCAGTCTAGTCTATAGTCTAAAAATCCATTGTTTTTCAGACTATTGTTCTGAGAGTCGTAACCTGCGGCGATTTTTCAAACTATTTATCACATTTGATCAAATACTTGATAGCTGTTAAACCAACAGTGCCCTCTAAAAAAAGTCAAACTATTCATTAACCACGTCTTATTTGCGTACTAATCAAAATGCAGCTGTATTGTGTGAAACTCCTTCATATTAGATCCGGTGCGTTTGTGCGTGTGAGAGGATTTTGTCCTGTGTGTTCTTTGATAACCCAAAATGAACACAAGACACTATTTATACCGCTAGCTTGCTTGATGATATTGTCTTACTATATCTATTTTTCATACAGAAATAATGAGTGTTTCTTCGGACGTTGGTTCTGAACAATTTTCCATGGGCCAGTTTTACTTATTGCTGATCAAATCGTACTGAGCGATGAGGTTTCTTCTTCCCTGGTCTGACTGGAACTGTTGAACTATGAATCCCACTTCTCTCAGGTCCCTCAGGATGCTGTTAAGCGACACTAAACCCTCAGACGATGTAAATGAAACATCTGCAGCGTGCAGGTTACAGTCATCCCTTTAAAATGTATGGCTTATTTAGACCTTTTAACGGCAATACTGACAATTCTAATACATGTTCCTTGTAGTCGACTATATCAATATCTTTACATAAGGTGATATATGCCGGGGAAAGGAGCATCCTTCTTGCCCACTCCTACTGTCAAAGTCCTTTTCTTTTTACACAAGAAGGAACAAGAGTTGTATTCTGCCTGCGAGCTGCACAGAAAACTGCCATTTCCTCCTGCTTTCCTGTCAGCGGTCACACTAACACCAGTAACGCTCCTTTTACAAGTCCCTCAAACAGATTCAGATTCTCCTTATTTCCTTTTGGGGCATTTTTAGTTCTCGTGGCACTTCTCCCTGGAAAGAAGTCCTTCATTCACGCAGCTTTACAAGTCTCTTTAGTTTGCTTGTGTAAAAATGGGGCGAGTTTTTTTTTGTACTATATAATTAAGCTATTTATAGCATACAGTCTGTGGAACAAATCAATACTGCATCATGGTTAAAGGTAATATTGTATAATTAGTTTTTTTAGATGTTAAATATTTGGATAATTTATTTAACACATTCCCGCTGTTGAGAGATGTGAGGGTACTGTGTTTTTGTTTCTATGCCGTTTTATTTGAGAGTACAAAACTGATTTGTATGATTCCTTTTCCATTTTCTGGCATCCGTGCTTTCTGCACAGGGCAGCGGTAACGTCTTGGTTGGACATTTTTCCTTTGGGTTGTAATAACTTGTACATTTAAAAGTGTAAATTATGTTTTCATTATTTTATAAAAAAATATTAAAAACTAAACTTGTTTCCAGTGTTTCATTTTAAAGCGTCAGGGTTTTCCAAAACTCATGGGGATATTTTAGACTTTTAAAAGACCAGCTAGAAAATGAATGCAGTAGTTACTTCACATCCTTTCCTCTAATCTGGGGATCCAATGCTGCCTGAAGAGACATTTTTCTTCCCTTAATATGATTAATACCAGAATAGAAAAAGATCCACCACAAACCGTAAAATGTTTTATCAAAAGTTATTGTATTTTGACATAAGCAGAAAACTTATAAAAATACATTCCGACAAGTGGGTTAGCTTTGTTGAGGCGTCTGCTTGCACAGATTGAGTTTAACAGCAAAGTCTACGAGCCGCACATGTCACAGTTGTCCCGGTTCTCCAGAGAACACACCATGGCAGCAATGTTGAGCTCTTTGATCGCCTCCTCCGCGGCCTTGCCGGACTCATCCTTCAGCTTCTCCTTGTTCAGGGTGAACTGGATGGGGTTGGCGGCGGGCTTCGTCCTCAGGTAGTACATCCCCGTCTTCAGACCCTGTGGCGAGAGCAAGAGGAGTCTCACAAAACGTTGGATTCAAAGCAGCCAGCCCGTCCTTCATCTCCAGGCTTCACATACCTGTTTCCAGCCGTAGAAGTGCATGCTGGTGAGTTTGCCGTAGTTGGGCTCTGCGATGTGGATGTTCAGCGACTGGCTCTGGTCAATGAAGGCGCCGCGGTCAGCCGCCATCTTGAGTATGGTCTTCTGGGAGATTTCCCAGACGGTTTTGTACAGCTGCTTCAGATCATCTGGAATCCCATCGATGTCCTGTTGAAACACACGGCGTCGTTACAGGGGAAAAAAAAAACAAAGCGACATTTATTTGACAATCTGCAACATAATTAAAAAGGCAAAAACATGCAACGCCTCGGAGCGATCTGGGCTACCTGAACGGACCCGTTGTGACCGATCAGCTGGTTCTTCATCTCCTCGTTCCACAGCCCCCTCTCAGTCAGGTCTTTGAGCAGATGGGGGTTGACTATCTGGAACTCCCCGGAGAGGACCCTGCGGGTGTAGATGTTGCTGGTGTAGGGCTCGATGGACTCGTTGTTGCCCAGGATCTGGGCGGTGGAGGCCGTGGGCATCGGCGCCAGCAGCAGGCTGTTCCTCACGCCGTGCTTGGCGATCTTCTCCTTCAGCAGGCCCCAGTCCAGCAGGTCGGTGGGCTTCTTCTCCCACATGTCGTACTGCAGGATGCCCCGGCTGACGGGGCAGCCCGCGTACGTCTCGTAGGGGCCGAGCTCGGCGGCCAGCTCGCAGCTCGCCTCCAGGGCGGCGTAGTAGAGGGTCTCGAAGATCTGCGTGTTCAGCAGCTGAGCTTCGGGGCTCTCGAACGGGTAACGCATGAGGATGAAGGCGTCGGCCAAGCCTTGCACGCCGATTCCTATCGGCCGGTGGCGCCTGTTGGACTTTTCGGCCTCGGGCACCGGATAGAAGTTGATGTCGATGATCTTGTTCAAGTTTTTGACGATTACTTTGGTCACGGCTGCGAGTTTCTTAAAGTCAAAGGTCTGCTCGGGGGTGACGTACATGTTGAGCGCGACCGAGGCCAGGTTGCAGACGGCGACCTCGTCGTGGCTGGTGTATTCGACGATTTCCGTGCAGAGGTTGCTGGACTTGATGGTGCCCAGATTCTGGTGGTTGCTCTTCCTGTTGCAGGCGTCTTTGTACAGCATGTATGGCGTGCCGGTTTCGGTCTGGGACTCGATGATGGCGTGCCACAGCTGCTGGGACTTGACCACGCGCTTGGCCCTCCCCTCCTTCTCGTAGGACGTGTAGAGCTTTTCAAACTCCTCCCCCCAGCACTCGTCCAGCCCGGGGCACTCGTTGGGACACATGAGGGACCAGTCCTGGTTGCTCTCCACCCGCTTCATGAACAGGTCGGGGATCCACATGGCGTAGAAAAGGTCCCTGGCTCTCTGCTCCTCCTTTCCCGTGTTCTTCTTCAGCTCCAGGAAGTCGAACACGTCAAAGTGCCAGGGCTCCAGGTACATGGCGAAAGCGCCGGGTCTCTTGTTCCCGCCCTGGTCCACGTAACGCGCCGTGTTGTTGTAAACCCTTAGCATGGGGACGAGCCCGTTGGAGTTGCCGTTGGTGCCGGCGATGTAGCTGCCCGTCGAGCGGATGGAGCTGACGGCCACGCCGATCCCCCCGGCTGATTTGGAGATGAGGGCGCACTGCTTCAAGGTGTCGTAGATGCCCTCGATGCTGTCGTCCTTCATGGCGAGCAGGAAGCAGCTGGACAGCTGTGGCCTGTTGGTGCCCGCGTTGAAGAGGGTGGGGGAGGCGTGGGTGAACCACCTCTCCGACAGCAGGTTGTACGTCTCGATGGCCGCGTCGATGTCCGTTTCGTGGATCCCGACGGACACGCGCATGAGCATGTGCTGCGGCCGCTCGGCCACTTTGCCGTTGATCTTCAACAGGTAGGATCGCTCCAGGGTCTTGAAGCCGAAGAAGTTGTAGGAGAAATCTCGGTCGAAAATGATGGCCGAGTTGAGGCGGTCTTTGTTGTCTTGAACAAGCTTGAGCGTGTTCTCGGAGATCATGGGGGAGTGGCGTCTGTTCAGGGGGTTGACGTAGTTGTACAGGTCCTCCATCACCTCGCTGAACACCTTCTTCGTCTCTTTGTGCAAGTTGGAGACGGCGATCCGCGCCGCCAGGATGGCGTAGTCGGGGTGTTTAGTCGTGAGGGTGGCGGCGATCTCCGCGGCGAGCGTGTCGAGCTCCACCGTCGTGACGCCGCTGTACAAACCCTGGATCACCTTCATCGTGATCTGGGCCGGATCCACAAAGTCAGCGTTGAGTCCGTAGCACAGCTTCTGGATGCGCGACGTGATCTTGTCAAACATGACACGCTCTTGGCGGCCATCTGAAAACACAAAAGGAAACATTTCTTCGTTAAACCCAAAACACCACTATTCAAAATTGAAATTCTAGCAAATTAACTGTAAAGCTTAAAACGTTGCTTTTGCTGCCTGGGTAACGACATAAACCCAGTCTGGTGCTGGGCTGCTAATGTACATATGGAGGCTTAATCAGTCAAGATACTTTGTTCTCTTGTAAAAGGTTTTTAGATCAATGAGGGGTCGCCACAAAAGGTAGTTATTAGCATAAAATGAATATACTTAGCATAAAGTAATGTTAAAAACTGTACTTTAGTAGCGTTACATTGATGTTATTGGTGTACTTGCATTAGAGTTTCTTCAGATTTCTCTGAACATTTTGTTCTTCTGCTTTTATTTAACGAGCATTTCCTCCAATCAGAGACTCCGGTCCACAAACTACATTTTGGGGCCAACCGTGACAAAGGCTTGAAAATAAATAAGAGGACGAATGACATCCTATTTTCTTTTTAAAGGGTTCGAGGATTATTTGAGTAGCCAGCTGGTAATCAATCGGACACTTTATCCACACAGCTCGGCTGCACCCTGTTATGTTAACTAGCCTAACCAACATTACATAAGTAGGTCAGGTAGTTGGTTAAGTTAACAGACTAAAGCCTCGTGTATGCTTCTGCGTTTTCAGAGAGACCAGGGACACGCTGACGCAAGACTTCGCGGTTGCGCGCCTTTTCACGGCTCGTTGCGCGCGTCGACCCATTTTTCTAGACTTGCGTCAAAAGCGACGCGAGTCTCCGATTGGATCTACGAACTGCCTCCTTTCCGGTTTCATAGCATAATAATAAAAAGCAGCAGTGGCGATGCACGGGGCAATAAAGTCTATGATAAATACATAAACAAACCAACGACTCCCACACACGAAGACGTCTTCGACAAAAAAGCGTTATTCATCTAGTGTTCTGGCGGTGAATTGCTCTGCAACACACGCGAGACTTTTTGAACCATGAATAAAATAAAACAAGTGCGTCGACACGAGCGCGCGTACATTCGGGGTTTAGCTACAACGATCAGTCGGATATCGGCAGCCGATAAGTCTGCGCGGCCTGACGGCGATAGCGCCGAAGCTAACCGAGGCCGCGTGCACAAGCAGACAGCCGCTCACCTCGCTTGAGAACGTGCATCCTGGCGCTGCGTGACGTTCCTCGTGTCCGGAGAAGAAACAGCGGATGACCAGCGAGCTACAACTTGGTGTCGTCAAGCTGCGGGGAGACGCGAGGTCCGTGTGGCCTCAGAGAGAAGGAGGGAGAGCGCGAATAACGACACAAACTCCCGCGTACGACTCCGGCGTTAAGCAGCCAGGGCGGATGTTGTGACCAATCACCGGCTACAGAGGGCGGGGCTTTGTGTCCTCGGTTAGATGTTATGTCATCCTCTAAAGTGTGCAAGTTAACGACTTTTCACTAATAACTACTGACGATAAATGTGTGTTGGTATATTGACGTTGGTAAGAAACATACATGACGGGGCCTAGGACACGGAGGGGGTTCAGGCGAGGTGGGCAGTGGGTCAGGGGCTCTATGTCGGGGGGCGGGGCTCTGTACGGGGGGCGGGGTCGCAGCACGGAGTTATTAAGAGCAGTTTGTTCTGCATGATGCAGCCTAGAGAATTAAGACATACCCAGAGACGTCCTGACCCGATTCAGAGCTCACTTATTAGCATTACTCTGGAATGTATTATGTTGGCTCTTATTTTCTGGAATGTATTTTCAAGACACGCCCAGGGCATCAAATGAAAAAGTCCTGCAACCAAAGCCAGAGAGCAGAACGATTTAGTATCAAAGCAGAATTAAACACACAAGGCATTTCAATCCTGATGTAGAAATAACAGCTGTGGACAACGACAACAAGCTTGACAGGTGAAGGAAAAATAATATACAAGATGATGATGCAATCATTTTTGTAGATTTGTGAGACAACTCGTTTTTTTTTCTTTTATAATATTTAGTGTCACAAAAGTAATCAGATTGAATGAATTTTACAAAAGGAACACTAATTTATAGACTGAAATGTTTTGGTTATAGTAAAAAATATGTTTTTGCAAATACTATTCACAACTCTAGTATATGACTCCAAAATTAAGTGAGGTAAGGTAGAAGTATTAAAAAGCATGTAATTAAGAAGTGTGCGAATCAAATTTGAATGCCAGTACTCAAATGTGTCTCTTTGACTGTTGTATCTTCACGTGATCCGTGGGGGCGATAGCGCGCCACCAACCGCTTCTTCAACCACAACATCAAGTTAGAAGAAGCTGTTCGACCTCAGGCTACCGGGGTGCAGCTTTGTAAATAGTTTAGTGAATTATAAATGGACTAACAGGAAGACTGTAACACGTTCCTCTGCGCTGCAGCGTCTCTCGGTTTCCCCCGCTAGTAGGTGTGATCGGATGAAAATGATTTAAACGCAACCAAAATATTCATAATTACTCGATTGATTTTAACACAGCTATCCATACAATCCACAATGCCTTCAAATAACCGGTGTGCTGGACTCACGTTGAACATCGCTACCGCGGAACACAACCACACGTAAAGGGATGGATGGGCCGTCGTATCGAGACACCGACACGTGTACCAACGCGCTACCCGCGTGACTCCGCCGGTCGGCTCGGACACGCAGCTGTTAGGACGACGTCGTCGTCGACGTCCTCCACGTCCCCCCGTGTGTGTCTGCGCCCGTCATGTCCCGCTCCGGTCGGAGGTACAAGACGCTGCAGCAGAGCGGCTCCCCCCCCGGATGTGACCGGGTGCGGATGCCCCGGGCCCGGGTGCTGCTGCTCGGCCTCGTCGGGGTTCTGGTGTTCGCGGTGGTGCTCGGAGTCTACCTGTCAAACGACGTCCCCGAGGGACACAACCGCGTGCCCGCCGCAGACGTCATCAGAGACCGGGTGAGAGTGGTGACGTGAACGACGGGTCTAAACTCCACCGCCGTGTCGGCTGTCGCTGATGTAACACCGTGAAGCGACATCTGTCAGCAGCCAGATGTGATGCGTGCTGGTGACGGCTGAGCCGAGAGCCTCGGCTTGCACTCTGTTTAAACACTTGATCCTATTATTCTTATACTGGTCCTCATTCTTAAGCGGAACGCTAATCAATTTATTGTTTAAGTAATGATCAAATAATAAAATATTCCAACTGTTTTTCATTCATTTTATTTTTATGTTGTACAGAAGTTCTTCTTCCCCAGAAAAGGCCTCATACAAAAACGTTGGAAAACGAATATGAATATGCAAACATTGTTTATTTCAAAAAAGTTGCATGACGGGATACAGGGAGAGGTTTCACGTTTCCACACCACACAAGTAACATATTGAAATAATACGTACTGGACCTTGTTGTATTGGACCTAGACCCCAAAATCCTCCTCTGTACTACTTCTTACTTTTCCTTCTCTTTGCCATTGGTTCAATTTTTGATCACATTTTTTCTTCTTCTTCTTCTTCCTGCTTTTAACCTCCTAACATTTGCTTGTTTGTCGTTTATTTCCATCTCGCGCCCATCCAGTTGTCCCACAAACCCAGCAAGTGCTCCCCGGCTCAAGTCCGCCGTCTGGCCTCTCAGGTGGACGCCAGCCGCCTGTGGGAGACCTACCTGAGGCCCATCCTGATAGAGAGGCTCCCGGGGACACCAGGCAGCACGGCCGTACAGCAGGTGTGTGCACGTACTACTTATAGCTTCCTCCGCCCTTTTGACGCATTTTCCTCACTCGTCTTTAACGCTCCGTCTCCGCTCTGCTTCAGCACATCACCTCCGCTCTGTCCGCGCTGTCCGCCGGCTGGGACGTGGACTTGGACTCCTTCCGGTCTTCGACCCCCCGTGGCCAGGTCACCTTCACCAACATCGTCGCCACCCTGGACCGCTTGGCCCCGCGGCGGCTGCTCCTGGCCTGCCACTACGACTCCAAGGCCCTGCCTCCGGACCCCCGGGCCCCAGGGAAGGTGTTCCTGGGGGCCAGTGACTCTGCAGTGCCGTGTGCGATGATGCTGGAGCTCGTCACCTCTCTGAATGCCCAGCTTCTCTCGTTCAAGCAGCAGGTCTGTGCTCTTTTGTTACTCGTGTGTGCTGATGTCCTGGCGGTTTGCAGCGGTTGCACCTAAAGCGTCAGCTTGACGGCTGCGTTTCTTACTTCCTGTGATCTTTCCTGTGACAAAGAGAACAGGAGATGCTAATAAGAGCAGCCTCGCTTGTTCTTCTTCTGAGTCATTTGTTTGCTCTGGCTCTGTGGCTACAGAACAGGAAAATAATCGCTGACTCCAGCTCCTCTTTTTCTTTGCAGCAGTCATCTTTAAATAGCTTCCCGACGTTGTGATTATATTTCGCTGCAGAACCAGAAACGGGCCTTCGATGCAGAATTTTTTTGTAAAGTGCACTTGAATTTCCTTCTCGCCTTTTCCTCCTTTTCAGAAGCTGCCAGTGTCTCTTCAGCTGGTGTTCTTTGACGGGGAGGAGGCGTTTGAAGAGTGGACGGACACGGACTCGCTGTACGGCTCCCGTCACCTGGCTGAGCGGATGGCCGACACGCCTCACCCTGCCGGCGCCGCACACGCCACCATGCTTCACGCCGTGGTGAGGAAACCCTCGTACTCGTCCTTCGTGGTCATCCTTGTATCGTGAATCAGAAGACACTCTAAATGAAGTTAGCAGACTGCCAAAAACACATCCCATTGTAAACTTCGTACTAAACATAAGACTGTGCACTTTCTCTTCAGGACCTTTTTGTGCTGCTAGACCTGCTCGGCGGTCCCGATCCACTGATTGCGAATCACTTTGATAACACGGCACGCTGGTTCGACCGTCTGATCGCTGCGGGTGAGCGCTGTCTCTTGTCATGAATACTTAAAATCCCATTTCTGTTTGTGTGCCCTAATTCTGCCTTCACCTTCACCCCCCCTCCGCTCTCAGAAAAGAGGCTTCATCGCCAGGGTCTCTTGACGTCTCACCCCTCAGAGCAGACGTATTTCAGGAAGGATGTGTACCTCGGCCCCGTGCAGGACGACCATATCCCCTTCCTTCACAAAGGTGTGTGTGTGTGTGATGAAACACTTTTTACAACTTAGTAAAACATACGGCATGATGTAAGTGTACAAGGCGCGCTGCCAGTCATCGTCATTAGCTCCTCCCCTTTCTGCCGCGCCTATAGGTGTCCCCGTGCTACATGTCATCGCCACTCCCTTCCCACAGTTCTGGCACACGCTGGACGACACGGAGGAGAACATGCACCGTCCCACCGTGGAGAACCTGACCAAGATCATAGCTGTGTTTCTGGCCGAATATCTGGGCTTCTGAACACGAAACACTGACAAATATTCCGTGAAAGGTGGTTACTTTTTTTTTTTTTTTACCCGTACTGGATTTTTAAATTAGGAATAATTGCTAAATAACCAGCGTAAATCTGACCTAAATGCACAAATTGAGAAATTATTGGGATACCAGCTAAAACTTTACCAAAGACTTGAGCCCTGCTGGGCCAGACTGCTTTCTTTTTACGGATGAGTTTGAGGCTTCTGTCCAAATGTCTCTGGTTGTGATGTGTATGGAAAGAGTGTAAATTAAAATGTGAATAGTTGTATCATGGATCCAGAGGAAGAGGAAAATTGACTCTGAATTCAAAGACACAATATTTTTATTAATTTTATGGTTCATTCCAGTCAGTAATTGATACCCTTGAAATGTCTGTCTTCTTGAAGACCGACTGTAATGAGTGAAAGTCTCTCTGCTGTAAACACTCTGTCATATCATACACACACATATATATATATATATATATATATATATATATATATGTGTGTGTATAGTAATAATTATTTGCCTTCACTTGACCATATAAAAGGTTTACTGCGAAGTTTGCAATAAAGATTTATTGAGTTATAAATGTTACTACTTAACGTTAGTACACGCCAGAAGACTTCTCCGTATAGTCCCAAACTTCTCTCTCAGTTTTAAGAATAATGTCGGACAAATCATGTTTTGGTAACAAACATTACTGTTTACTGACACCAGAATAATGTATATTCTTAACATTTTAATGTTAAACTACCGTAATCAAAAAGTAGATTGAAGTCACAAATGAAACATTTAAACGGCATGCTCAATCGAGGCCTCTACACATGTAAAGTACAGGAGGTGGTGGGTGAGAAAGGGGTGGAGGTGGAGGGCGGTGGTGCTGCTGATGTGGGCTTCCTGGAGGTGAAAAGTCGTTGTCAGAGGAAAGATGGACTTCTGCCGAGTCTCCTCCAGAGCCGGATATTTGGAAACTGAATGAAGAAATGATGAGCATCAGAAAGTTGCAACGTCAAATCCTTCAGGTATTAATTCAACCACAAGAGGGTCCTGTTGTAGTTTGAACTAGACAACCAGGGGGAGCGACTCAAAATGACACCGTCAATCCAGATTTACACGATTCACAGATTTCTCTAGTTGGGTTCTGTTGCAAAGGCTTTGCAGATGTTCAGATGTTTTTCCATTTAAAAAAAACATTTTTATTTTCTCCAAACTGGAAGACCGCATTGAAAAGAAAAATAACCTTTAATAGAGCACTACTGTGTCCGAGACATTGATCATTCTTAAACGGTTTAGTAAAGGTTTTTCAAATTTATTTAGAAATATTTAACGTTGGTATTTCCGTTTGATCACCACACAGGAAAAAATGATCTTTCTCCACTTCAATAATTTTTCATAGCATCTCTCGTTCAACAAAATGTGGACTTAGATCTTTTTCAATTGAATTTAAAGTAAACCCCAAATTTAAAACCTGTTCCTCTTTAGATGGGTGTCTTTATATAAATGAAAGCTTAAGACACTGGACAGCGGCAGAAAAATAAATATAAAGTGCACTAGTGTGCAGAAGGTTTTCCGGCATGTAGGGACACTAAATTACTTACTGGACAGCAGCATAGAAGGCACTTTATTTAGTCGTATCCCCCATAGATTTACCTATGAGCTTTTATTAGAAGTTTTATCCTGTTTTTAAAGGAATATCTTTTTCTGATATGCGAAGCATTCAACTACTAAAATTTGACAGATCCCAGAGAGACCTGCTGCCCCTTTCACTGACCCGTTAACTTCTGAGGTTCGGTCTCTCTGTCTGCGGTTCTTGAACCAGTTGCTGACCTGCGTGGTCGTCAGGCCCGTGGCCGCCGCTAGCTCCCCCTTCTCCCGTGTAGAGGGATAAGCATTGAGGCGGTACCACTTGCGAAGCATGTTCCGGGATTTTTCCTGTTGGAATATTGAATAAATAAAAAGTCAGGCCTGAGCAAAACTCAAACTCAATTCAAAGAATTAGGATAGCGCCATCAAAACCGCAGTAAATTGCTGGAGAATTGTATCTCAAACTAACAAAATGCAGTACCCTTCGGTAGATACTCCTAACTATTTGAAGTAGCGTTTGCCATTCAACGTCATTCATGATGGATTGTGATTTTTTAATTTGAAGGTAAACGGCGGCCAAAAGCTACGTTTTGTCCGTTTCTGCCTTTACAACTTCCCTGATGTTGGAAAAAGTCAGATATGGTGCTAAAATGTATTCAAAAATAGTGGTGACAGGTAATTTCATCAGCAAAACTTAATTCACATCAAAATAATATATAGATAGATACACATATATACCTAAATACCTTGAAACAGTAGCTGGTCTCCTCTCCGTCCCAGATGGTGTGTGGCAGAGGAAACTTCCTCCTCACGCGATACTTCCCCACGGCGCCCAGCGCTCGGCCCCTCTGCCTCTCGGCCTCCATGTAGTGGGCTCTGAGCCAGAGCTGCTGCAGGAGCGGGTGGCTGCGCGGGGAGAAGGGGAAGCCCTCCAGCAGCGCGTAGAGGCCACTGAAGTGGCCCTGGTGAAAGGCCACTGCGGCTTTGGCCTTCAGCACACTCTCCTGATCCCCAGGGCAGGGAGAGGAGGAGGAGGAGGAGGAGGAGCAGAGGGAGGGAAGAGGAGGCAGAGTGCGGAGGAAGGCCGCCAGGCGATCCATGCAACCGCTCTGCAGGAGGACCTCGCACACACAGGCCACTTGCTCTGGGGTGAAGATCATCGCCGTGGGCGTAGGATGGCCGCACTCAAAGTCCTGAGATGTGAGTTCAACCGAAGCCTGTGTGAAGATCCTCTTAGCGATCCCTCTCAAGTCTGCACAGGAGCGAGCTGAAGCCTCCGAGGAGCATTGCGGCTTGCCTGTGGATGAACCAGTGGACGTGTGTGCGTTTATCATCATGCACCAGCAGAATTGAATCACAGGTAACCTGAGAGCATCAGGGTTATAACAACACGGCGTACACCCCTCCTTCTCCTGTACAAACAACATGCACACACGCATTTGGGATTTGCTATTGCGCTGCCATTCACCCAGAGACTCTATGATGGCTTTGCAATGCAGAACACATTTGAATAAAATTTTCTTGCCAAATAAGAAGCATAACCCTCGGACAAATAGTTTTAGTGCGAACAATAATTGGCCGTTTCCAAACAGTCATAACAAAAGCCAAATGTTTTCTGTAAATGTAGTTTATTGCAATATTATGAAATATAAAAAATAGAATGCATTTGGATACAAAAAACGAGAATAACAAGAATCTTGAATGACGGACACAAACTTTCCCTTTCACAAATATCAAAAGATCGATCAAAATACATTATCTTTGGTAAAATGTGGAGCCATATACAGATACAGATGCGCATACGCCCATTGAGGCTTTATTGTCAAAATACTTTGGAATTGTAGACATGGCTCATGAAGAAATGCAGGTTACCATATTTTATATTATAGGAAACGCTTCCTTTTACCCCTAACTATTCATTTAAATGTAATTTATATTCAGACAATCGGATTCGTCCAAGCCACTCAACAATCTACTCAAAGCCCATTAAGAGCAAATAGCCTGAAAATGTATTAACGGGGAGTAACCTAGTGTATTGCCATCAAAAAGACATGATGACTACATGCTTGCTAAGATTGTAGAACCTCAGTTTGCACAACGATGTGGCATTCCAAGTCAAAATGAATATCATTTCCTATCTGCATCATCTCACAAGGACTCACTTTCTCACTGATTGATACATGCTTTAAATAGATTAAATGTACAAAAAAGACAAACAACAAAAAGAAAACAACAACCCAAAGGTCATTATTGTAACTAGATGCGGCACTGAAGTGTATTTTGGTGTACCATAAGTAGCCAACGGTCTGACCACTACCTGTGTTTAGACAGTGGAGAGCTAAACCATGATGAGCATTTCTATGGTTTAATTGAGGAAGCTGTTCCGTCAATCTGCGACAGATTTCAGGATGATTTGTAGTCCAATTTAAGGAAAATGTATATAAGAGCTTTCGAAAGAGAATATGAATCCAACCACTGTAATAACAACACAGCAGCGCCGTAAACATTCTGTGAATGAAAGGTGCAAAATATACAAATAGAGGATATCTGGCGATCAAACAGACAAGCAAATGTGAGTATTTGGAAAAAAGCCACCACATGAATCCTAAAATTTGGTTGTATAGCACTTGTAAAAAAAAAAAAAAACGGTGTACAAAGTCAAAACAATTCATATCAAAAACAACAAACCCCTAAGCTTCAAAATAAGGCACTTATCGATATTAACAAATTTTGGATGGATTCGACAAAAAATATCACAAAGTGGGATCACAGCAAATGCTTTGGTGTCATGCTTCATTTAAATGTTCAGTATTTCAAATCTCTCTCATCTCCCACGAGTTCTGGCTTATGAACTCAGCCATTGTGTCACAAAGAGTCCTATGAAGAACTAAACATGCATTGCATAGAGTATAGACCCTTTATTCCCTGTGTTACACTTTTACCAATGGAGTGCAGCCTTCTCACTTGAAAACTGCATAAAGTCCTTTAAAAACAGTTTATCGATTTGAATCCTGTTTGAGCCCAGACTTCAGTAACCTGTAGTAATAAAGTACTGCTGCATAGCCCCTGAAGCTACGCCATCAAACGCCAATGACCACGCTGCGATTCTGTTTGTGAGGAACATAATCTTCACTACATTCCTGGAGTGTTTCCTGGCAGAATACGTACCGAATCTCTGAGCTCTGGGCAGACAAAGCTATACTCAACTATTTCTAGATCCAATGGCTTTGCCCGACAGTCCGGTGTTTAGTTTCTTTGCTCGATCCGCAAAGAGCCCCTTTCCAGGCCAGCAAAAACCACACAAGTCATTGTTCCCAAGTACAGCTGAACTTGGTCTGAAGAAGAGCTGACGCCTTGCATAGGATAGTCTTTTCCTTTCCTTTTCTTTTTTTTAACACCACTAATCTGTGTTAGTTCTCCTTTCTGCATTGATAAGGCACATACAGAAAAACAAATCCATGTGAAATAGTGCTGCTGAGAACTCATTTGGCTCCTTGAGGTTGGACGACGAGGGCCATCATCTGGCGGACGTTGCTGGACTCTGCAACCTGCTGTGTTGCTTCACTGTTTTTGCAGACAGCCGGGTTGCGCGAGCAGCCGGTTAGAAGGACTACAAGCCGAGGTCCTCGTCCACGGGGACAGACTGGAGCTGAGTGAGAATCTTGGAGTCCCCGTCCAGCTCCTCCGGATTACCAAGTGCCGAGCTGGCGTCCGGCGAGGGGCTTCCCAGAAGCAGCGACTCTCCTCCGGGTAGACCTAACAGAGCCGGGTCCACGGGGAGGTCCCCCTTGCCGCGGGCATCGAACAGAGTTAGACTCGCCGAAGTGGAGAGGGGAACGGGGCTCCAGGCTGGCTGGGTGCTGGGCGTCACCCCGCCGTACATGGGACTCAGGGTAAGCAGACTCTCTGGCATCAGAGTGTTTGGTGTCGTGGGGGTGGTTGAGTGGTCCAGCGCGAGAGGGGAGGGGACGGCAGGGATGCCCGTCTCCGGGGCACAGTACGCTGGAGACGGGGCGATTAGGCTCAGGGGGGAGGACGTGAGGCCGCCGGGGGTCGGCCCCGAGGTGCTCGAGGCCGCAGGGAGGGCGGAGGAGGTGAGGAGGTGACTCAGTCCATTAGTAGAGACGGGCGAAGCCTCGAAGACTGGCTTCAAACCGGCGAGCTGGATGCCCGCTGGGAATGGTGAGGATCAGCTTGCCTTGCTGGACGCTCAGGTAGGGGCTCCCGCCGAGGAGGAGGTTGCCTACGGCGGGGACAAATGAACAAGAAGTGACGGCAATCAAGACCAAGTAACAACATTCAAACCAGAGGCGCAGCAGCATGAGATGTAGCGTGCTGGCATTACATTCTGTTGGAGACCAGTACTTATTATAACATGTGCTTTAGACAATAGAACAAGTGTTTTTAATGAATGGCGTGTGTGTTTTTTGCCCTTAACTTTCTACAGCTACAATATGCTCCAATGTTTTGAGGAAAAGCATTACAATGTTATGCATAAATATCCCTGATGCACTAATACACTTGACACAGTATTCCGTTGGCAGAGAATGTTTTGGAAACTATTGACAGTAATCATTGTATTGGTTTGTTTAGGTTAGGTTTTGGCTAATCTGTAGATAAACCGAATGCATGCGTGGGTATTTGAGCAAACGAGTAACATGATGACCTTGGGTATACATACTTTTTTGTTTGTTTTATTGACCGCTTTTTTATTATTATCGATAAATCACCCAATTAATAAAAACTATTGTTAGCCCCAGTAGTAATTTACCAATAACTCGCCGGACTCGACATAAATAAAAATACATTAATATCCCAAAACCCAAATATGTAATCTTGTTTTATCTGTCCAAATCACAACAATATTTAGGTTAATATTGTATAAGATATGACAATCCACACTTTAAAAAAGCTTGTGACAGCAAATAGTGCGGAAAATGTATCAAGATGCTGAATCTATTATCAAAACCGTTTCTGAACAGTTTCCTGTCGGAGGACCAATCGCTTCAGCTCCGCTTACTATCGAATGGACTCAGGGGTACCTGGAGGAGATGGCAGCTGAATGATCCCAGAGTTGAGGAGCTGCATACCAGGGGCCCCAATGGTTTGGGGACCCACACTCTGAATGGGTCTCAACTGGTTTATTCTGAGAGGAGCCTGTGAGACCCCTGCAGGAGATGAGGTCAGGATCTGTAAGGGCACTCCAGCAGAGGACATGGAGAGAGAAGGACTGGCTGGTACCACTTGGGGGAAAGAGATGCTGGATGAAGTTTGGATGGAGGAGACGGGCACCAGCTGAGGCATGGAGAGCGGGACTAACTGCGCTGCTGTGTTGCCTTTGTTCTGGGGCACTGAGACCACTTGTGTCGGGGATGAGATGGAAATGACCTGTGGGACCTGCATTTTACTGGGTGTGGAGTTTGTGCTTTGGTCCCCCGGCGGGTGAACCATTCGCTGCAGGAGCTGGTGGTTGTTGAGCTGTGAGATTGAGAATATAGTCGTGGCGCCTTCAGGCAAAGTTGTTGGCGAATCCTGCAGCTGTTGCACCAGTCTAGTGCTCGTGTTCGCCGTCTGGTTTTGGAAGTGAGGTGCAGACGAGGCGAGGGGTGATAGTGGGACCAACTGAGGACACTGGGACACCTGGGCCCCTGAGGAGTGCTGGACCAGCTGGGAGACCGGTACACCCTGGATGGAAGGCACGACCTGGGGCAGAGAGAAGACCTGAGGGGTGGAGTTACTGGAGGGGACGACCGAGCTAGAAGGGTTTAAGTGAGAGCCACCGGTGGCGAATACAACGTACTCCCCGTGTGGACCGGAGAGCGGCACAGAAGTCCCGGAGAGCAACATGCCCGCGGATGACATGGAGGCCGGGAGGGTGAGCGACTCCTGGCATTGGTTGTTTTGTGTTAAGACTAGAGAGGAGAGCATGGTTGGGGAGGACAGAGTCGGTGAGGAAGGGGATAAAGAAGAAGACGGAGATACCGTCCGGCCCTCGGGGACGCTGATGTAATCCGTCGCGTCGCCGCCGTCTGTTCTGGTTGGCTGGGTAAGCGAGATGACGGACGGAGGGTTCGAGACCGACGCGGTGTTCCCGCCGAGGACAACTGCCGGAAGGCTGCTGGACTTGGCCTCCACGGCCGAAAGCTCCTGCGGCGCCACGGAAAGTGCTTGCTGCTGCCCACCGACGCCGGGCTTGGTTCTTACCGGAGCCCCGTTCAGCATCAACGGGGAGTTGGTCGCAACGGGACTCAGCGTGACTGTCTGGCAATCGCCCAAGCTCAGCCCATTAATGATGACACCGGCGCCGGTACCGGAGAGCAGGGAATTTCCGTTAAGGAGTAACGACTGAGGCGCTGTGAGGAAGCCACCGGACCCGTTGAGGATGAGCTGGCCTCCCGCGCCGCAGGGGAGGGCAGAGAGGGAGATGATGGAGGCCGTGGAGCCGGCAGCCTCCTCTGGTTTGTCCGGGCCGTCGTCCATGGGGCTCGCCTCGTCCTCGGTGCTGTGGTTCCCGTCGGACTCGCTGGAAACCAAGAGAAAAAACAAAAGGGTCAAATAAAGGGGAAATGTGTGTGTGTGATGAATAATAAAGACTTCAGGGGGTTTGTTGTGGGGTGCAGTGCTCCCGCGCTCAACGAGAACACATTCACACAAGCTGTTGATTCGCTAATGTTATGACATTAGATGATGTATGTTCGGTTCAAGGCTACGTTTTATTAACACGTCTATTATACATAGTTAGATATAAAATTGTACATAACTAATACAATTAAGTCTATGTTGAATAAATAAGAAAAAAACATATGTATGCACTGCATTAATAACTTGTTGCACCATGTTGTTAGACAGTTTGGACTTATTCCCTGAGAATGTTTTTCTTTTTCACAGTCCAAGTAGCGTGTGAAATGGTTAGAATGAAAGAAAGATTTTAAAAATACATTTCGATTGTGGTAATATTCAAAAATGTTTTTAACTCATTCGCACTGTTTGTAACAAAACCTGTTGCCGAATATGAAATGATTCAATTATATTCAATCCGGCCATTCGGAAGAACTTCTCCTTGCACACACGAAAACCAGAGACCAGATCCCAAGAAACTCTCTTAGGGCGTCTACCTGGATAATGTGTGTTACGATGTGAGGCAGCCTGCACCTTTTATTTATTCTGCAGGGACAACGCACACGACCAACAGTTGTACTGCAAGTGAACCAGAGAGGCTCATTTCCATCTGCTGTCCTCGGCCAGATGTTTTTATGGCATACCGATTGCTAGTCAGCCAGACCACCACAAAGCCCCTCTGATAAGATAGACCTCCAGTATCTCTCTCATCTCCTCCCAACATCCCTCCTTCCACTCGGTAAAATAATGACCTCCCTTCTCTGGTTGAAACGTTCACCTTGCTCACCCTGCAGGCTCCTCGCCAGCGGTGCAGCTTTTCTTTTTTTAGGGAAACTTGAGCCATGGTGGGAGCCCGGATCTCACATTTCATAACAAAGCAACACGCTCCTCTCGGACCTGCGCGGCTTTTGGCTGTCAACGGGACAGCTCGCCGGTCCACCGTCCTCCCTCCGGCCCGCGATGTTCGGTTTGGTTTCCTTCTCCGGAGTTTCACGTGCACACACACACAGACACACACGCACACGGTGTTTCCCCGCTGCACTCTGCAGGCCTGCGTCTCTTTGTTTACCCTGACGGTTCGAGTGACCGTCTGACCGGGTTAACAGCGCCATAAAACACGACGCAAAGTCGCGAGCCGCCCACAAACAATCAAAGGGCTCGTTTAAGAACCGACGACCGCTGCGTGACAACTTGTTCACCCCCCACCTCGATCCAACAAATGTGCCCCCCCCCCCACCCCACCCCGTGTTGTTGGTCTTGCCTTTTGCTGTGGGTCCCGGACGGGGTCCTGTCCCTCTGCCTACGGTTCTTGAACCAGTTGCTGACCTGCGTCAGGGACAGTCCGGAGACATTAGCCAGGTTCTTCTTCTCGTCCGGAGTCGGGTACCTGTTGCTCTTGTAGCAATCCTTCAAGGCATTCCGGGATTTCTCCTTGAAGCAGTACACGGTCTCCTCTCCGTCCCAGATGGTTTTGGGCAGGGGGAACTTCTTCCTGAGCCGGTACTTGTCCACTGCGCCCAGGCTGCGGCCCCGGGACCGCTCCGCCTCCTTGTAGCGGGCTTTCAGGTACAGGTCCTGCAGGAACCCATGGTTAGACGGGTGGAAGTCGTGGCTCTCCAGGATGGCGTACAGCTCCTTGAATTCGTCCCGGTGGAAGGCCACCAGTGCCTGGGCCTTCAGCATGGTCTCGTTGCCACGTAGCAGCTCGGACGGAGGAGGTATGGTGGATAGAAATCTCCACAGGCGATCCACATTGCCCGCCTGCAAAAGGGCCTCGCAGAGGCATGATACTTGGTCGGTGGAAAAACTCAAAGCCGACTTTTGGAAACTTTGTAATAATCGTTCGGAAATTTGCACCGGATCTTCCTCTTCTTTGGACTCCGTTGCCGATGGCTCGTCTGGACCGCTCTCGGATTGTTCTGTAGACTCCAAAGACAAGGAAGCCATTTTCACTTCAACTTTTTTTTTCCTCCCGCAGTTCCTTCTCTCTCTCTCCCTCCCTCCCTCCCTCCCTCTCTCCCATTCTCCGCCAGTCGACCAAACCACGAACGTGCCTGCCAGCGACCCGCGGCCACGCCCCTTTTGTAACCCGTAATGTAGCTTCTTTGTTTCAAAAGTGGCCCAACCTTCATGACAGACGACTATTTACATCACACGTCCGTGTGAATGAGTAGATTCTCGTGGATTATTATTCTCTAGCTTCCTCACATTGACGCCTCTCACGTGTGCTGTTGTGACGGTTATAACATTACTACAATTATTACTAAATCTACTACTGCATTTCTACTAGTATTAACCTGACGCACCTGAAATGAAAGTCAAACAAAAGTGTCGGAATCTTCTCATTAAACAGTATAATGAAGGCTTTGTAAGACAGTGTATTACATCTCATTGGCTTCAAATGGTGGAATGAGCTTGAAAGCTTATTGTAATTCCTTTTGGATAAAGGCGCCATACCAGTATCGAATAGCCACATTTAAAGTTGGATCATGTGCTCCAAAGTTTCCAGCTGGATCAGGGTTTGGAGTGCTTGAAATGAGTCTAAACTAACACAATTGTGATGGGCCTAATGTTTGGACTTTTTAAACCCTGTCTCCGGAGCACAGTGACAATATATATAATATAATACAATAATAATAATTTATACATACTTATTAAGAAACGAGCCTCCTGAAACATCCATTTTGTGCACTTCAATGCGTAAATTCCTTATGGCACTGAATATATGAAACCAAAGCTCTGATTTTCTTTGTCAGACAAATTAATCGTAAATTCAGAAAATGCATGTCTAAATCTGAATTATGTCATTATCCTACAAACATAAAGCTTTATATGCAAGATGCCCTATAATCTGAATCTCAGACTATCCCAAACTGTGTGCAATAACTCTAGATGTTCTTAATGATATATAAAAATATGTAAGCATGATCTACGGATAAGTCACGCACAAGACAGGTTTGTCTTCAAGAGTAAGAGTAACTCTTGGAATGTAAATATTCACTGAGGGAGTGTGGCCTTGTCTCAGTTCCACACTACTCCTCCCAGTAAAGTGTTTGGTGGAGCTCTCAGATTTAATTGATCTTCTTTTTTCTGTCCATACACGCTCTTGTCTAATCTATGTTCGTTGAATACTTTGGTCCACCGAAATATTACCATGAATAAAGAAAAGGGCAGGTTTCCAAGCAAGTACATTGTTTCCTAAATATCAAAAATCTAACTGCAACAGGAGGAAATTACACATTCCCTTTTGTATAATCGAAGCATTTGCAATTGGAAATTGTGGCAGTATGATTTCCTACATTACACATGATATACTGCATTCTATGCATCAATGATGTGTGCGAAATGAACAATCGTGGAGCAGATTTACTACACAGAAGCCAGGATTGTAATGACCTAAACATGGCGTGGTTGTGCATGTCATTATTGAGCCTGAGATTATGCTTATTGGGTCAAAACCTTGTCAACCTAATATAAATTACAGAACCATCGTCTTATGCAACAGACTCGTTAACTTCCAAACAATTGATGCAATAGTTCACATAAAAATAAACTTTGTTCAGGCTTCGGTCATCATACTTTAAACTGGTGAACAGCGCCACCGTGCGGTCGATTCAATTATCACATTCTCCTTTGTCCGATGATTGGTTTTCAAACGTGTCCATCTACCGATGAGTAGGCGACAACCTAGCACTTTGCCTCTGCATCTGTAATGCTATTGGTTGACTTGATCTGCATCTAATGCAATTCGTACTATTCCCGTCTGGGGGCGGGGCTTATCTTTCCAGGGCTTGGCGTGACTGGTATTGAAGTTTGAAGCGTTTTGTTGATGCCGCCTTGGCTTGAACCAGCTCATTCTTTTTAACGCGATGGTGGGATGTTTCATTGTAGTAACTATTCAAATGGGTCACGGTTTCCAGTCATACGACACAGCAGAAACCGGGGAGAACAGTTCACTCCCGGTATTGCTTTACGTGAATGAACGTATCTCAAACCGTAATGTAGACGTCAGAACATACGAAATATGATGTATTTCTTTTATGTTACGCTTATCTGAAATTGTCCATTGGATCACGGGCTGTTCATTAAATGCTGGGTTATAACCGCAGACAGCGTGTCAGAGGGGCGGGGCTTGTATTAGAAAACAACGCGCGAGGCAGTGTGGTCACGTGCTTTCCGTCGCGGTCTAGCGTCTGAACATCTTGCTGCGACTCGTCCGATTAGAAGGGTGCGTATTCTGTCTGCTAATCCCGTTCGATCTAATATAGATTTCGTAGAACGTTCTTTTGCGAGTTAGTGTGCCCCCCTTGCTGTCCAGCCAAGAGTGTGTACTGTTACTAAGGTGACTCAGCTGTTAGCCGACCAAACAGCTAACTAACAGTGACGCAGCCTGTAGCTAGCTAACGTTAGCTACGAACATGTTAAACGTAGTTAAAGGATAGTGTTCAACAAGTTAAACGTAACCATTGTTGTTTCCCTATAACGTGTTTTGTAACAGACCGGTTTTAGTGAAAGGAAATTGTGCGTCTTAAATGGGAAACTGCTAAATATTTACTTAAAAGTTAGCTAACGTTAGTGCTCTTTATGTGGGTCTTCATAGTCCCTTCCATGAAATTGCAATAAATGAAATTCCCCGTTCAAATTTTAGTCACTGTCGGGTAACGTTAATCTAATGCATATTCGCAACCATGAAGTCGGATGACACTATTGCCTATTTGCAAGCGTTTTATTTCTGTTCAACTGTGCAATGTTGTCAGTTTCACTGCTGTTGGCTAATATGTCATATTGTGCCTATCGTTTTCAGAATTTGCTCATACAACCAGCATCATGGAAGGCGAAATAACAATAGTGTCCAACCCCACGGTGAACGTACGCTTAACGAACACCATCTCATCCTTTGAGTCGATGCGCAGGTTCAATAGAGGGATCACTATAGCAGAACTTAAGGTGAGGCTCAGTGGATCAAATACTATACTGCTCAATAGATGCATTGGCTCTATTCTTATGTACTAATTTGTGTTGTAACAGGGAAAATTGGAGATGATTGTGGGAGCATCTCCCTCCAGCATGGAGCTGGAGTTGTTCAGTGTCTCTGACATATTCCTGCAGAAGATGGACGACAATGAAGCTCTGTTGGGTTCCTATCCTGTAGATGATAACTGCAAAATACATGTATGTATCTTCTCGCTTCTCAAAGCTTGTTTAATATTGCGGCACATGAAAAAGAACATGTTTTCAAATCAGTCTTTGAATCCAAATCCAAAGTCTTCCTGGAGAAAAAAAACATCTCTTCAGTTAAAATACGTGCCTGGAAAACTTTCAATGTCTAAATGTTGCAGTAAATCATGCAAACGGCTTAATAAATAGATAAATATTTTCACCTGGAATGACTGAGATTTGGAGTTAACGTGAGGGGGTTTCTAAAATGGTTGCAGCTTATAACTGCGTTACTATTCAACAATAATTCAATAATGTTGACCCAAAAATAATTATCACCTACTTCTTCAAAACGTAGGTGATTTGCAGTTATTGGCTAAAACATGCAGAACTACTGGAGTGGACTTTTTTAAAAGAAGTTGTTTTTTTTCTCATCCGGAATCACAGGTTATTGATAAAAGTGGTCAAATTAGCGAGTTCACTGATGTTTCCAAAGTGGAGAAGTTTGAACTCCCAGATGACGCCTATGAGAAGAGAACAGGTACGGTCTTGCATAATTCACCATGTCTTAAAGTTATCATTTTCCGAGCATACTTTGCAGATTAAATAAAAACAAAATACGTCCCCTTTTTCCCATCATGGGGCTGTAACAGCAGCACAGTGACAATTAAACATTGATTTACAACCAATGGATCCAGATGATAATTTGTAAAGCAATCACTAATGATAATTACTTGTTGGACCAAGACGAGACCATACCTCCATTATGCAACGCATGAGCTTTTTTAATATAAAAATAAAAGGATATGTCAACCATTGATAAATATTATAAAGGAATCTTCCCATCCTATTAGATGTACACTCTGCAGCATCCAGTCTGTAATGTGCTGTGTTTTTCTGAAATCCAACTTTCTTTACTTCAGATTCAGCAAGGTCATTCATGAAGAAACATGGTGTCGGTCAGTTCAATGAGGAAGAAAAGGCCAAGAAGAGAGCTGAGAATGCTGCTCGGAGGGAGGAAGAGAAGGCTGCTGCTGATGCTCTCTCTGTTGGTAGTAGATGTAAGGTGCAGGTGCCTGAGCAACCCACGAAGCTTGGCACAGTCATGTATGTTGGTAAGTGTGGACAAATTGAAGCCAGTTACTTACTTTAGGACTAGTTTAGGTTTAAATCCTGTTTGACTATCAAAAAGAGCAGCCTTTGTAGTATGCACTATTAAATCGAAATGAAGCTGTATTTTTATATCGCCTTCCCAGTGTTGCTGAGTGAAAACGTCTACCATACAAGGCGCCACCTTCCTATCGGGACTGTCTAATTATTCTCAACCACACATACACCATGTCCCAGCTTTTAGGGAAACTGGGGGGGAGGAATAGTAACCCTTCTCATACACTGCCCAACTAGTTTTAAAAGGTTAACTGCCGGATATGCTGCTGAAGAAAATCCTTATAATAATAATAAAATAAATACATTTTAAATATTTGGGAACAATTATGCTTGAGTAATTAGCCAAAACAATGTCTTAAAATCCCCCAAAACTAGATTGCAAACAATTCATTCAGTCGGTTAGTTCACTTTGTAGATTTTTTTTTTTCACTCAGCAATCTGTTTTTTTGCTTGGTAGAGAGAGAGAGAGAGCGTCCAAATCAGGAATCAGGAAACATTTATTAGCCAAAATATGTCAAACATACAAGGAATTTGTCTTGGCGGTTAGTGCGCGACAGTAGACAGACAAGACAACAGTGCACAAGTAATAAAATAAAGTGGGATGAAATGCTAATGCAATGGGTTAGTAGAATAAGGCTAAGGCTATGGGTTATTATAAAACAAGGAAATAAAGTTAAAAAAATTTAAATATTAAAAAGTTAAAAAGAAAAATATTAAGCATAAAGTGCACTAACAAACAAGTAACAGACAAGAGACAAAGTGACAAGTGACAAAGTGATGAATTGCAGTTAAAGTGGCATGTGCAGTATGAGGGGGAGTGACCGGTGGAGTGTTATAGTCAGGCATTGGGGGACCGGGCTCTGTTGATGAGCCCGACTGCCGACGGGAAGAAAATGTATGACATATTAATATTTATTATTTCAGCTCACTATAAAAATATAGTAAGCATGTTATCTTTAAAAGTTGTGGTACCTGGGGTAAAGAACAATGTTGTCCCCTTCTTTGCAGGTACAACAGATTTTAAACCAGGCTACTGGGTTGGTGTAAAGTACGATGAACCGCTGGGAAAGCACGATGGAAGGTAAAGCCGGTAACATTTTTGCCGATTTATAGCTATGCACAATGTTGTTAGTCTTGATTTCTGTTTTGACCCCATCTTTATTGTCTTTTAATTGTTCCCACAGTGTTGCCGGGAAGAGATACTTTGAATGCGAGAACAAATATGGTGGATTTGTAAAGCCCTTCAGTGTGACTGTGGGAGACTTTCCTGAGGAGACTTACGATTTAGATGAAATGTAGGACTGTACTGTGACAAAATGGGATTTTTTTTTTTCACCCTGAAATTTGAGCTTCATGACCAACCAGAGATTGTCATGGTAATTGTTTGGTTCTACTCTCAAGGGTATAACCTACTGATCAGTCACACGGTCTTTTGGTTTAAGTTCCCTCTCATTAACGCTGAGGACACCTGGTGGATGTCAATGTCCGGTTTTTACATCTCAGTGTGATGAACACAACAGTAATAGTTTAGGATATTTACACTAACGAGGTTTGATAAAGGAGGGGATTAGTTGCATGTAAGGCTTCATAATAACGGTTACATGTGGTTTGTCTTATGTACTTCTGTTTCATTTAGTTTACTTGCTCTATCCATAGTTGTTGCTCCCATGCATTCTCACTCTATACTAATATATATATATATATATATATATATATATATATATATATATAATTATCTCAGATTATTGAATAAAACTGTATTGTTGACTAGTTTAAGGATGTACGAGTTAGTGGTGAATAAAAAAAAGCCTCCTAAATTTCTTTTAAAACTGAAAACAAAATGCTAGTTGCCTTGTATCCCAGACACACATGATCTCACATAAATATTTATTTCGGTGAAGCTGGACAACATTTTTCTAATCAATGATTGAAGTCACGGCTCAATAGTCAAACTTATTCCACCATATTTAGCTACAAAGTAGAAGAAGAAATACCTAGAGTTGCCTCAATGGTCCACAGTGCAACAAAGCTGTTAGGAGATATATCAGTATAAAATTCAGGAATTGGAACATGAAAGTAGGCAATATTTCATCTTTTTGTGCTTTTACTGTGTGGAACCAAATTTCTCTCTGACTGAATTCTTGTTAAAAATTAAATTGTTTGCAGAATGTGTCCTGCTTAAATTAATCTTTTTGAAATAATTGGAACTCAGTCTGACAAATATTACACTTAAATGTGATTGAGAAAATCTAGTCAATGTCCTCAATATTCATTTAGCTCTGATTCATTTATGTGCAGTGAATTGAAATACACCTGTAAAAATAATGCTGGTACATTTTCTAAAATGTTGTAAATTTGAATGCCAAATTCCCACAAGTCCTTTGAAGTTAATCAACCCATCAGTTAATATTACACAAGATGTTTGTTTGAAACAGGTGAGCTATTTTAAGTTCCTTCATGATTTTTTGTGTCCCATAGTTTTTTGACCTTCCTTCCTTTGTTTATCATATAGCATTTGTTGATCTGGCGGTGGGCTTGAGTAATGTTCATGTGGCTTAAGCACACCTGTTTATATCAATGATTGTGTCTAAAATGTTTTTGCAATGTAGCATTTGTATATTTTGATTAAAGAACAGATTGCTTGTTTTGAATATTTCTTTGCTAGCCAATCTTTTTTTTTAAAGACGTTTTTTTCTTCTTGAAGGTGCCAAAGGGTAATGCATATTAATAAAATGATTTGCCAGTACTGGAGTGTATTTTTGGGATATGTCTTACCTATCATTTGATACGGACCATTTCCAATGCCTGAGATTATCTTCATTACCTTTGACCTACTTAAAATCATCTTTAATTTACAAGTTTCTTTTTTTTTTACAGCTTGTCACGCTTACTGCGGTTATTTAAAGACCTTTAAGAATAAAGCATTATCTAATTATTCAGTTATATTTTTAGATATTCTGGCCAATCGATCACCTTGGATGCGGTATATAACACAACAGGATATGGTCCTATGGAGACGGTACAATGTTCATGGTAGGATCATCACCGTATACCGTGAATATCAGAAGTTAAACAGCTCATGAAGAATGGCCATTTTCTGAGCGTTATAACATTTTTATGGAAATCGTATGCAGCCTTCGAGGCTTTAGTTGGTTGGGATAGAGTTGATGCTCAGGTTTAATACTATGTGCAAAATTCAGTATTTTCCTTTGGAAACCAGCGTACGGCAACAGTTTTTTAAGAAGCTTCTGTTTTATTGAGGTTAGAAGAATTTTGAATATTTTGAAAGATCCACAACTAAGCTGTTTCATTCCGTTACATCAGCCCCGCTGTGCGTCGCAATAGGCATCTTACAATATTTATCAGCTTCGCATTTCTTTCATCGCTCCCCGGAAAAGGGGCACGTCACTGCAATGACGCTTCAAACTGTCGTCTCGCGAGACTCCGCACAGTTTCCCAGGCAGCGGTGTGGCTGTGTGCGCGATAGAGACGAGGAAAGATGGCGGAGCAGGAGAGCGAAGCTGCTAAAGCTAGCGCTGGCAACGGCGAGGTAAAAATGAATGACACTCTAATTGTCTTGTATGCGCTCCAAGTCCGGCGTAAAGGAAGGGAGCTGGGGCGTTTGTGTCAGTTGTCTCGTTGAGTGTGTGTCCGTTAACATTCAAACGTGTTACCGAGCTTGGGTGACGTTGTCAGTGCCGGTTTGGGTTTTAAACGGCCCCTTTCTGCTCGCAGCAGTGTGCCGAGAAACCAGCGTAGTTAGCGTGCCGAGAGAGGCGTTGACGGCGGTAGCTCGGTTGATGATATTTCAATTACGTGAAAGTGACTCGCCGATTAGCGGACCGAGTGCGTGTCGGCGGGCGCCAGCTTACTGCTGCAGTGTGTCCGTTGACTTTTACGAGGCCCGCACACCTGAACGACGCAGCTCGGCTAACCAGGCCGGTCTCGATGATCAGCTCGCGCACATTCGTACTCGCTGTCGGTCCGTGTCATCGATATTCTTATTAGTAAACGGTCATAACCGGGAGACGTTGAGGGAATCGACGTAACGTTACATGTTGTACGCCTAAAGTCAACTAAGGAAGGGTATTTAGGTAAAAATTGTCAAATGAGATGAGTCAGGGGTTTATCGACGTCAAAATGGGCTAACCCTTAAATATGCGCCGTTGAATTGTTAAAAAAGTAACGTGAACTTATTTAATTGTTAGGGGTTGTTGGGGCAAACTGCTATTATCTCCGGACAGACAAATGTCACAAGCTGCTTCTGGTCAACGTGATTCATCATGCTCGGGGAAAACTCGTTAGTTTACCCTCTGACGAACTAAACACAAAATATCTACTGAGTATCGACAAGGTCAAATAAGCAGCATGTGTGGCTGTAGTAAATGTGTGTTACCAACAAGGACTAGTATTATTCTTAACTACTTATAACGAATCTTTCCCAATTTGGGTTAAACTTTTTTCCTTTAAAAAAGAAAAAAAGGTTTTCAGTTCCTTATTTTGTTTTATAACCCCAGTTCACACCTCATGTCACTATCCTTAGACTGATTAAGTGGGATATTTTTAAAGGTACTTCCAGACCTTTCTCTTACGTTTTATTTTCCAGGATCGTTCCTAAGGAATGTTGGGATTCTATTATCCCTCCACAACACTGGAAGTCAAACTCTGACACAAATCCTAGAAGTGGCATGTAGGGCAAGGGTACGATAACTAGTTTTAGATCAGGCAGTTGTGTTGCACTTGTCTTGCACTGCTGCTAATTGGTTGAGAGAAATTTCGGAGCTGGCTATTTAGTGCTTTTTATTTTTTGTTTTTATTTAATATTTCTTTTGGTTATTAGTGTAACTGTATTGGTCCCAGCACAACGCGTAAGTAGTCAGCAGTTCCAAAATATTCTTTGTCTTTAATGATTGAAAATAATTAATTTTAGCATAGTTGGAAAGCCTTTTTATCCATTTACAATCCAATAGACTTCAATAGACTATTCTAACCATTCATGGGCCTCTATTGAATATGGCTTACTACCCTCTGTAGGAGATGCTGTCATCCTGTGTGCTACATATTACCGGAGCAGTCTCCACTTCTGTGAATGACTGATTTATCTTGACTGTTAGGCCCTTTCCTGCCAGGCACACACACAATTCAGTGTGAAGCATTTACACCGAATAGGTGGTTAATTGTTAATCCTGGTTCAGTGGGTATATACATTGTAAATTATTATCTTGAACTGGAACAGCTAAGCTTATCTTAGAGATCCATCTAAGATAATAGCATTTCTTTTATTTCAACACAACAGGACGTTGAGGATGAAGTGATCTAATTCATGGCCTTGACATTCAGGTTTGGATGGTGCTGCGCCAGTGGCTTATCACAAACCTCCACATTTCCGATGTTCATTTTTGTTATTTGGCCTCTTGGCACCTCAATAACCTGCTGAGCGGAAAACATTTTTCACCCCCAAGTGTTGTTTGTTTCTAGAGGCCAACCTCTGGTCTCCCTTGTGTCGGTAACAATGGGGGAGATTAGATATTTAGATCGTGAATGAGTCTCATGACTTGTTATACGCTTGCGTGTTGTTCCACTTGAATAGAATGCGCCCGGAGGCGGACGTGGACACGCTCAAACAAACTAAAGACAGATCTGACGAATTCATTGTGCTAACATGTATGCTGATACTTTGATGATACAAAAGTTCTAGAAGGTCAAGACATCGTAGCAGTTAATGGTCTTTAGAAATACAATTTGGAAACCCCTGATATCTTGTCTTGATATATTTCCTCCTGCATTTTGTAATTATTTTCATGCTGATTCAAAAACGTGTTCATCAATAATTTGTTCAACATTTCCTTCAGTTGAATGTTGAGAAAATCACTCAAACGTCAGAATATTGTTTTAAAAATCTTTCAGAACAGTTTAAAAGAAAAAACTGCAAATCATGTTTAATAAGCTGGAGCTGGAGTGTTTGGCATGCTATTTTGTCCTGCCAATTATCAAATCTGCCATGTGTGGATGTATTGTTGTCACCTTATCTACATCCTCTATTTAAAATGCACTTTATCCTTCCAAATTATACCAGATACTGAGGTTTAATCAGTCCCCTTTTAGATTGTACTCTTATCATATTCCGACATTGGGCTTCTTTGACTACACTGACCGTTTTTCTGTCTGGTTGTAGGTAAGCAGCAATGGGACTGCTGCAACAACAGACGACCAGACTGTGCAGACAACCGAAAATGCGGTGGATCCTCAGCAGCAACAGCCGCCTCAACCAGCACCGAATGCATGGCAGGTCATCAAAGGAGTCCTCTTCAGGTTAGTACTTCACAATAGCCGTAGCCAGTTTGCAAGATGAATTCAAACCGTTAAAAATCATTGTCAGACCGTTGTTACTTTTTGGCATCCTGATCAAATAAGACCCTGTGGTTGAGTTTCCTGTCTTATGCAAGCAGTTACTTTAACGAGCAGCCAGTGAAGAACAAAAATATGTTTCTGTACTTCAGATCTAAAACAAAAAGGTCAAATTGAAAAAAAAAAATTTAACCCGTATCTGTCCATTAAGTTATTAATACAGCTCATTAACCTACTGCTCTCATATTTTATATTTTCTCATCTTGTATTCTTTTTTTTTTTTTTCTCCAAGGTTCACTTTGATCCCTTATTCACCAGATTTAATTTTGTCCCCACTCTTTTACTTGTTTTTCCAGAATCTTTGTAATCTGGGCGATCAGTAGCTGGTTTCGTCGAGGGCCCTCAACTCCAGACCCCAACACCCCGGCTGGGGCCCCTAGAGTACCCAGCAGGAACCTGTTCCCCAAAGACACCCTCATGGTATTACACTTGTCCGATGCCTTTAGCTACACAGACAGTTGTCTATTTACAGTGTTTTCGATTTAATCGAACTTGTTCATTATTATTTCTTTCTTGAACTGTAACTGTTCTTGAAAGTATTTTGAAAGCAAACCAGTGCTATATCTTTTATCCAGGCTTGCCTACCTGCTCTCCCGTGGCTCTTTTTAATATCATCAACACCTTCCTTACTCTGCCTGCAGGACCTGTATGTGTATTTGTCCCAAGACGAAGTGTTTGCCGACTTCAACAACACAGAAGCCCTGTTCTGGTTCCACAGGGACTTGGTCTACGGGGACTGGACAATTGGCGAGAAAGGGGACGGGTGTTACGAGACGTACAAGGAGCTAGACATCCCAGAGGTGAGGATTAAGGGAAGGTGGAATGTGAGCGTGATGCTGCGGAAGAGAGGCGACACACTGTAGATTACTCTAGAGAGGGAAAAGGTGTTAGTTATGTTTTGAAGATGACTTTTGTGAAGCACAGGATAGACCGTAATGAACCTGAGGGATTTGTAATGTGTTTCTGTCTGCTACTCTAATTCTTGTTTGTGTTTGGTGTGTACTTGCAGAGCGTGCAGCAGAACGGTTCCCTTTACATGCATGTGTACTTCACTAAAAGTGGATTCCACCCAGACCCAAAACGCAAGGGGCAGTATCGCAGACTGGCAACCGTTCATTCAACACGCAGTAAGCACATACGAAGAACACGCCCGTTTTACAATTTTAACAGTAAAAATAATTTGCTAAGTGTTAACCTTTGCTTGTTTCCCTCTTCAGTGCTGAATAAATTCAAGCGACGGAAGTTTATGAAGACCAAGAATCTGCTAACGGGCGAGACGGAAGCAGATCCCGAAGTGATCAAGGTTGATACTTTTGTTCTACTGAATACTTTTTACTAATTTTGTGCAGTGTACAGCTAGAATGATTAATTGACCAAGATAATATATCACTGGTATTAGCTTATTGCATTTATATCGCTCTCTGTATCTGTCCATATGTGGGCTGGTTAAGGAACAAGAAATTCCAGCAAAAATATGTCATATTCGATTTGAATTTGTTTATTAAGAAAATATATTGCTATTGTTTCTATTATCAGATTTCTTTAACTGCAGAATATCCATTGAAGCCTCAGAAATCCATATTCTGTTTATCCACAGTATGTGTTGTTCATCCTCCTTTTGTGGCATCAATTTCCAAAAACATCTCACAGAAACACCCATTGTGGTTTATTTTCACGAATGAGAATGAGACTATAAATATACTTTTTAATTAAATGAGTAGGAATAAATGGCTTGTCTAGATGGATTATATTTTCTATTGGTCCCATCCTCAATAGAAGACCCTCTGTTCTTTGTAGCTCATTACTGACATGGCACATCAAATGTTTCCTTCCAGCGAGCAGAGAGCCACGGCCCAGTGGAGATCATCTCTCACTGGCACCCCAACCTCACCATCAACATGGTGGACGACCACACCGCCTGGGTTAAGGGTTCTGTTCCTCCTCCTCTTGACCAGCGTAAGTTCCTCTCACTCCACTCTCCACCGGGTCACAACCCCAGCAGCTAAGCCAAAAGTTGTGTTCTTTTTCCGTAACACCGTCTTGGACCTCTCCTTTCTTCTATCTCCTAGATGTCAAGTTTGATGCGGTAAGCGGCGACTACTATCCCATCGTGTACTTCAATGACTACTGGAACCTTCAGAAGGACCACTTTCCCATCAACGATACCCTGACAACGCTCCCGCTGCGCCTCTCCTACTGCCCGCTGTCTTTGTGGCGTTGGCAGCTGTACGCTGCCCAGAATGCACGCTCCCCGTGGAACTTCCTGCCCGATGACACGTATGAGCAGTCGGATGACGACCAAGACTCTGTTAAGGTAAGAAGTCATGGAGGCGTAGAGCTGAAACATGGGGGTTTACATGAGATTGAAACAGCAAACACAAGCCTGTTGTGGTGGTTCTTGTATTTGCTTCTGGGTCTGATGTTCAACAAACAGGTCGATTTAACTCTCTCTGGCGAGGCCTGTCGGGATAATCAATATATTGACTTATCGCACAATATGTGTAAATGAGTGCGATCATTTTTGGTGCCGCGAACTCACTTAAAATCTCACCTAAAACACAACCATCCCACCCAGTCCTTCAACCTGAACGATTGTCGGTTCCTCCGCACTGCGGTCCGCCTCTTTAGCCGTGAGGGCCATGTGCAGGACAAGGTCCCCAGACCGCAGACCTACGTTCCTTCCGGTCCGGCTGATTTGGAAACCGGACAGAGATTCCCCGTCTCTCGCAGCAACTCAGCCACGGGGGGCGTCGCCCAGCCGGCGGGTGTAGCCCTCAAGCCAACCTCCCCGGCTGGCGCGGCACGCCTTTCCGGTGAACACATTTTCGCAAACCCCACCGCATCACACCAAGCCCGATGCTGCACTCCGCGTCCCTTGCACTCATTATTTATTTGTTTGATTTATTTAGGATATATATATATATATATATATTTTTTTAACATTCCGATTCTAATGTCTAAAAATTTTAAAGAATCAAATGAGTGCACTTGCATGAAATGGTCTGAAAATGACAATATTGTTGCAATTAATTATGGTGCGGTAATCACACAACAAAAAATAGTTATGTCACAGCCATATGTCTGACACTAAAAACATTTCATATGACATATAAATGATTAAAGTCTACTGGCCCTCAGTCACACGTTGTTTTGTGTAATATCTTCACTTCTTCCTCTAATGCTGCAATATTAGTAGAATATTGTTGACGTTGACATATTACAATAGTATTGCAGTACAATTACTTATTTTTGGTTCTAGTGCTAAATGCCTGGACAGTCTTACTATATTAATACTACGTTGTAGCTATGGATGCAGGTAAATTGTCTTGTCACTCTTTTCATAGGTGGCCCTATTGGAAACCAACCCGTACCTGCTGGGACTCACCATTGTTGTCTCTATTGTGCACAGCATTTTCGAGTTTCTTGCCTTCAAGAATGGTATGGACACCGCAGCCTGACAACGCCAAAATATAGCTTGCACAATGTCTGCGCTCCAGCTTTAACTCTCCACGTCTCCTCCTCAGATATCCAGTTCTGGAACAGCAGGCAGTCTCTCGAAGGCCTCTCTGTGCGTTCCATCATATTTGGAGTCTTTCAGTCTCTGGTCGTGCTTCTGTACATCCTGGACAACGAAACCAACTTCGTTGTCCAGGTCAGCGTCTTCATCGGCCTTCTCATTGACCTGTGGAAAATCACCAAGGTCATGGACGTCAAGGTATGTCGGAGCAACACAAGAAGGGAATGTGAATGTTTTAATGTTTAGTTTGAATGAAAACAAGCGTACTCCTCTACAATAATTACTTTGCAAAGAGACATTGGAGACAAAGCAAAAAAACATGTGAAAACATTATTTTTATTTTTTGCACTTTCCCTTTCGTTGATCTGAATGCTGACCTATTGCACCTGTATATTTTAATATCTCTGTAACAGCCTATGTTTTTCTTTCTCTAGTTGGACAGGGAGAACAAAATTGCGGGGGTGTTTCCCAGATTGGTGTTCAAAGACAAGTCCACATACGTGCAGTCTTCAACCAAGATCTACGACGATGTGAGTGAAACCAATACTCAAACTACAGAACTCCTAACACCAGCCACGTTCTGTAGACTATCTATTTTAAAACGCTTGTTCGCTCGTTCTATTGTCATTCTGTAATCGGTGGCATGAAATGGTCTGAAAATTACAATATTAACAAAGTTCGTTTGAGCTTCTTACACTTCCTGAAGTTCTGGCCTGTAGTGGACAGGTTGTTTCTCCGTGACAGCGGAGAGCCCAAATGAAAAATGTCTCTGTTGGGATGAATGCAATAACCCAATTAGTACCCTTTTCTATTGATTTTGTTTCTAATAAAACCCCCTTTTCTCCTGACACGTGAACAGATGGCCTTCAGGTACCTTTCGTGGTTGCTCTACCCTCTGTTTGGCTGCTACGCCATCTACAGTCTATTGTATGTAGAGCACAAAGGCTGGTACTCATGGGTACTAAGCATGCTCTATGGCTTCTTGTTAACCTTTGGTAAGTATGTCTGAAGCATTTCTGCACTTAACTATTATCGTTTTGTCTTGAGTGTCATTTTCTGTTCTAGAGCAATATTTTTAAGAGTTGAAAGTTATTGATTTAATTGCACATAAACAGGACTTGATGGACTCTAATTGTATAACAAAAAATGTTATAGCTTAACTGAAAAGGGAATTAAACCAATGAACTTGATGGTTTACGCAGGTGCAGTGTAATGCATGAGTTAGCTAACGTAAATGAAATGATGAAGGGAACACTTTAGTATACAGTATTCGTTTATGAATTGAGTTGTAGCCCTTCAAAATTGAAAAATATCCCAGAAATACAAAAAGTACCCTGAATACCAGTTGACAACTTTATTGCTGACTGTTATTATTTCTCATTTAGTGACTGTAAAGTGTATTTTAAAAATATGAAACTAATAAGGTCCAGGACTAAGAAAATAAATGTACATACAGCTGATGTTTTCATGGTTGCATATCCAATTCCCAACTGCCTTCACTAATGTGCTGTGTAAAAATAGACTCTCTTGGTCTCATTGCTTGTTGTCGTCCAGTTTACTGCTTCTGTTATATTTCTTAACCAGTGACATCCTACTCATATCTGCTTTCTTCTTATTCAGGTTTCATTACAATGACGCCACAGCTATTCATCAACTACAAAATGAAGTCTGTGGCCCACCTCCCATGGAGGATGCTCACCTACAAGGCTCTCAACACCTTCATTGATGACCTGTTTGCCTTTGTCATCAAGATGCCCATGATGTACAGGATAGGATGCCTCAGAGATGGTAAGTCTTCCCTCATCTACAGGTTTTAATGAAATTTACTTGAATTAGAGGAAATTGAATAATCATTTAAAGCCATTTTAGCTTTAACATTTGAAGCAACCTCTGCTGGAAATGAACCGTGTATTTCTCGACCCACGGCCTGACCTGCTGAAAACGGGGCCGGGTCGCAACCCACCACTTGAGAACCACTGCTTTAGGTAGCTTTGCATCTTAACGTGTATGGGGACAGTATCGTCAGTCTTCAACCAATCAGGTCTTTAGTTTGACATGGTGGGCGTATTCTTTGACGTGCATCAACCTACAGCGCAGCAATAATGTGCGCCGTGATTGGTTGGTGCGCCAGCGGGACTTTTGTCTAACAAAGTCAGCACGCACAGAAGGCCCAGGTAATGAATACATGGGCCGCCACTGGATTTTGTTCATGATAATCAGGCTTTAGCCAGTCTGACTATGTTGGTACTTGATGCCAACATTTTAATTCCACTTGATAGTCCGTGGGCTAACCGCTTTCTCTTTTCCTGCAGACGTGGTGTTCTTTGTCTACCTTTACCAGCGCTGGATCTATCGGGTTGATCCCAACAGGTTCAACGAGTTTGGCACCAGCGGAGTGGAACGCGTCCCAGATGTCACGGAAACGGCTGACCCTGCTCTGGCCGCCGCCATCACAGACAAAGCAGAGGGGGAGAAGAAGAATGATTAAGCAAGACGACGACTTATCTGCCTCCCCGGCCCTCACTTGTGGGGCGACGAGGACTTGTGGAAATTAGGCAGAGAGGGGCGGCGTCGTCAAGCGATCCTGGACACCACAACAAAAAAAAGTGCAGTTCAACTGTTCACTGGGATTTCTGTTTGGATCCACAGAGAATGATGTTCAGTGTAGACTTGGTAAATTCTTATTTCTGTTCCCAGCCCTCTCGTTTTGCAGTTCAAGTGAAGTAAAACAAAACGTGATGTACTGTATCTGTATGATTTCTTGGGTAATGTCATGGAGTAGAGGTGGGGAGGAGAACTGGTTTCACTTTTACAACTTTTTTTTATATATATATATATATATATATATATATATATATATATATACACACAGAGTAAAAAAGAGGCTACGTGTAGCTTTTTTCTTTGTGTACATTCCTTGTGAAGTTTTCTTTTCATTCCATGTGAGCGTTATGTTTCGGATTGCCTGGAACCCGCTGAGTAGTGCTGGAGGAAAACTGCAAAGGTTGTGAGCCACGAAGGAGGTTAAAATAGAGAGGTTGGGACTGGAGACAAGATGGACAACCCACCAGGACACTACCCACCAGACCGTGACTACTACCCTCAACTTTAAACAAATGCTTAATGTTCTAAACTTGAACGTAAAAAATAACAGCCTTGTTGGTATTGATATAAATATATTAATATTGTCAATGACTTGATTTTTTTTTTTTTTGTATGTCGTTAAACTGCACAGAATCTCAGCTTGTCATGTTAATGTTGTCAAATCCGTGTAGCGTTGGCTAATTTGAGAGTCAAATTTTAATTTCATCCCCTCATCCAATGTCTGATTGATTCACATTCAAGCTCCAATATCGATCCCCTTCACAGGCGCAGTGGAGTCGGGTGTCTCTTGTTTTAATTCTGAGTGCTGTAAATCCTGAAACAAATAGGTTTCCATGTTCGTACATATTAAATTTTGATTCACTCGTGTTTATAGTAAAACATAAGTGTAATTTAAATTGTGTCTCCAATTTTTTTTTTTTTTACATGTTCAAGTTTTTAAATAACTTTCTAGGTACATGAAAATATATGCCTGGAACTTAAATATTTAAAATGTTAAAGGTTAATGGGTCGACGGTGGCACATGGGTAGAGTGGGTGTGCCTGGAGCCGCAAGGTTGGTGGTTTGAGCCCCGGCAGTTCCGTGTCGCAGTGTCCCTGAGCAAGTCACCTAACCCCTAATTTCACCCTGTGCAAAAATGTGAGCAGTGCTATTTGCCGCATGCCGGGATCAAATACTAGAGACTGTGTGTGTATGCAACACAGTGAAAATGCTGCAACCAGCACAAATCAAACTTGTTTAATGTAATCTAAATTCTTAGTCTCACAATACTGGTGTTTTCAGGCTGGTTTGGAATTTCCAGGAACCATCTGACGCCCCAATGTGGACCAAAGCTGGATGAGGAATACTTCTAATTTACCAGTTCCTACCTTGGGATTGTTGTTAGTGAACTTTCACATCTCTCTTCGTTCACAAAGAGCTTTCATGATGATCTAAAACTGCTTTATGGGGAGGGCTTGTGTAGTTTATTTTCTTACCTATCATGCTGCTCATCTTTTAGATTGGGGAACTGATGTGGATCACTGCATTTTAATTTTTTTTTTTATTGTATTCATTTTTACTTGGTCCCTACTTATTGTAAACGCTTCAGTGGTCACTTTCATTTCCTGTAAGCAGCTTGTCCTCTGTTTCCAGGAAGGGTCACTGTTAATTTAAGCAGCTTCTCCTCTGTGTTTCCAGCAAGGGTCACTGTTGCGCTTCTCCAGGAACCGAACCGGTCACTGTCTTAAGGGCCGTCATCGCCGTGTAGCGAGCTTATTGGCCCGTTTGACAAATGGTTTTTCATAGTGAAAATGGAATTTCCTGTTAGCCATCACATTGTGGGGCGTTACAGTGGCACGATGCAAAACCAGGATGAAGAAATAATTTCATTTTTCTGGATAGGAAGAGCAGGCGTGCGCTACCTTGGATTGTAAATAGCTGAAGGGCTTAGTTCTACATTTGTTAATCCAAACACTTATTGGAAAAATATATACAATTTGCTCCTGTGGTTTAAAATTGGAGACTAGAGGTACCTGCCTCGTGGAGCGGAGGGGGGGGGGGGGGGGTCGGTCTAAGAGGTGACGTAGGGGGATTTCCATACCCCGATTCAGCCAATCGGAGCGCGTCTGCTACGAAAGCAAAAAGTGAAGCAAACTACGTTTCAGATGGAGTCACGTCCGTGTAAACGCGCCTCCCAGTCGGTACCGACCCGTGTGCCGGGTTCATAGCCCGGCTGGTGTTTCGTCCCGGTACCGGAGCTTTTTTTTTTTTTTCAGGAGACAGACACGTTCCGACACAGAAGAGCGGACATCATCCGGTTCAGAAGAGATTCAAGGACACGGAGGTCTTTAAGGACCATTCACGGCGATGAACGACATGGACATCTTCAACGGGGCCTCTGGTAAATCTCAAGTGTTGTTTGCGAGGCTACGTGTAGTGTTGGTCGTGTGTATTTTTTTTGTTCGGGGGCGATTACGTCATCACCAGGCATGTGATTTTGTCAGAGCAGACAACACCCATTACCCAGGTCTCCGTCCCGCTGTTGCCGCTCATCTCGGTACATGTTGTTCAACTTTTCAACACTTTTTGTTTCTGATGCTTTGTGTTTGTCCCGCAGAGCCGCGAGGGCCTTCTGACTTTGGTGAGTCTCTGTTGTTCTTGCTTTTTATATTGTTGCTCAGGTGAGATTAGGTGGTGTGTGTGTGGGGGTGTGTGTGTGTGTGGGGGGGGTCGGTGTGTGGGTTATTATTGCACAGTGTAACCTCAGGTGACCTCATGTCGAATGGAAGTTGAGCAAGCCCACAATCTGTATTTCTGCTTCCTCGTTTTTTAAATGTTTCTTACAAAGCCTCTGGTTAGTAAGATGATCTACGAGCTCATGTTACTCTGGCGTATGTATTCACCATTCGGTGCTCCAATGATCAATTCATTTCTCACTTAATTGTCAATATTCAGTACATGTCTTATAAACTGTTATAGAATTGTCAAACTTTTCCATAACCTACGTTTGCATATTCAGGTCCCTTTCACATATTTCAGTTTTAAATCAATTGTTTTTTTTATTATTAATACTTAAATGATCACGACTTGATCATTACAATTGTTGCTGAAGAACCTTCTTTTAATTGCCCAATGGATGAGTTGTCTCTGCTTTGATAATGTTTTCTACTTCACCGCTGCAAGAAAGTGTCATTCCCCATGTAATTAATAGAGCAGTGCTCCCTTTGTTCGCACTAACCTTATTTCAATTATTTCCACAGATCTCATTGAGGAAATCATCACAGAGTGGTCAGGTGCATCCCTCCCCGGACCTCCTCCACCCCCCGCTGACCTCCTCTGTCAGGACCACAGGATGCGACAGCAGAGCCCGTCTCAGCCCGTGCTGCTGTCCCGAGGAGCTGCATGCCAGGTGAGCCTCTCGGAGTGCTGCTCCTTTGTGTTCAGACCATCTGGCTTCTGCCTGCTGGATGTTTCTTACACCGCTGCACCGTCATTCCTGGAGTGACAGTTGACAACACGGCAGCAGGGCGTGACAAATGCTTAAAGTTGAACTGTACCCAAGGTCCAGATTCATGCTAATTGTCAGAAAATGATGTAAAAAACGTTGCAATTATTGCATTGTAAACGATTATCATTATGACAATGACTACATTGAATCCCCATGTTGTTTAAGTCTCTGAAATAGATGACGGCTTTGCTGCTTTATTGGTCATTGTTTTGTATAATAACTATTATATAAGTATGACAAAGCGTTCAGTCAGATATGCAGGTTAAAGAAGTTACCGTGAGCTGAACTGAACTGACAACCATTTAAACATTTCCGACATATTATGAATTTAACGGTCAACAATTCATCAAAACAAATATCGGAAAATGAATCAATGATATTAAATATTTGTCATAGCCTTCGACTGTGGACAAATATTGTTCCATGCAGTCAGAGACAAAAGATCAGCGTGACACATTTTTTTGTCTATTGTGCGTCCATGTTGCTGTTGAATGTTTTTCAACATTACGCTTAAGTACACAAAGCCTCTGCTGCTCTATGACGACGTAAAAAGAGGTGATTGTTGTTTTGACCCTGCAGTATTTAGTCCGTCAGGCAGGTCGGGCTCGTACAATAAAGCACGTGGTATACGGATCAGACGTGGTGTAATCTGATAAGGCTGCAGTGACGTTGTGTCCTGCACAGAGGGGTCGCGATGTAGATCACAAGAAAGCAGCTGAAACCAGTCCACGAATAACCCGCATGTGAGATGCTGTATTCTGTATGTACAGATTGTTAAAAAAACAAGGTATTCGTGATGTTTGCCGAAGCACCCCGTCTCCATGCTTTTCTGTGAGAGGCAGCTGAGATGGAGGAGGAGGAGCAGTGGTTGTATTAACTGTAACGTGACACCTACTTTCAGTTTGCCTTCCCTTCTGTTTACCAGCCAAACCCACTGAGGAGTGAAAGGTCGCATTCTTCGCCCTGCGCGTCTCCAATTGGTCAATTCCTCTTAGAGCTGAGCTGGCTTCCTACTTCCTGTTTGCTGGTTCTGTCTGCAGGGCTTTTGTTTAGCGCTCGTGTTTTGAGGCTAACAGGTTCGCCCCGGCTAACGCGCTCCTCCGAAGTGGACGTCTGTGGCTCAACAGGATATTGTGAAAACATGATCTCATGCAAAGGCATCACCCAGATCTCCGCAGCGACGGTTTAACGCGCTCTCTGTCTGATTTACTACACAAGTGAAAAAAAGAGGTCAACTTCTTCACTTCTTTGTTCTCTGCGAGTTTGATTGTTCATCTTTTGTGAGATTGATGCTTCAGACAGACCTATAACTTGAATGGCTTTTCTTTGAGGTAATCTTTCTTCTGTTTACGTTACATTTCAGCCAATCTGAGAGATAATCTAAGAGTGAATATAGGGAGGACTGTAGATTAAGAAAAAGGAGATAATAGCAGCACTGTGAGAGGAGTATATATAACTGGGGCCTCGCTGGGAGCGGAAAAGCTTGGTTGTTTTGCTAATAAGAGATCAAAAGACTCAAATTAGCACATTGTTGACGCTGTGCACTGATGGGAAGCACATGCACGAAGGACAAAACGTGCATTGCTGCTTAGTTTCACTGGGGCCGTGATGCAGAATGCGTCATGTGCAGCGTCATCTGCTATGTGCTCTTAAAACGCACCTTTGACTGTTTGTTTCTCTGACTGCAAGTTAATGTGGTTTTTAATGCCTAGAAGAAGCCAATCGGGTCGTTGGATGATCAATGTGAAAGCTAGCAGATTATTTTAGGGGTCACAAGCCACAGGAACCTCAGCATACATGTTTTTATCTTAAAAATAACTATAGTTGTGAGATGTTATCGCAGAGCTCTTTACATAACTGTTTAGATGTGCGGCTCAGCTCCACACAATAGAAGTTGCTACTTCCACATATTTGTCTGTATGTGTGGAAAGGTTTTAAATTCGAGGCTGGAAGGTGCTGATGTTTCAAAGGCCCAGTGGATAATTAATCAGAATATCACTGGATCACAAGATGTTTCTCTAATATTTCATTTTAAACATTTATATTTCTCTACACGTTTATTCTGTCAACTTGGTCCAGTTTCTGACTTTATGTGTTGCCTGGTGGGATGAAGCTTATTAACATGTTGTTAATAAGCTTTTGTTACTGTTCGTCCACAGCCAACCTGCACCTTCCCGCAGCCCCAGCAGCAGTCGAGCACTTCCAAAGACATGGCTCATTCCTCCCGGGGAGCCGGCGCTCCACCCGGTTTCCCGCGGCGCGGTCGAGGCGCGGCGTGTTCGCTGACCTCCAAAAGCTCCCGTGGCGTTTCCTCCCACAGCCGCGGCGGCGAAACGGAGATGCTGGAGCAGCTGCTGAACAAGCCCAGGCTGGTGGTGTTGGAGGAGCCCAAGGAGAGAGGCATGAGGTTTCGCTATGAATGCGAGGGACGCTCGGCCGGCAGCATTCTGGGGGCGTCCAGCTCTGAAACCAGCAAGAGTCAGCCCACGATAGAGGTAGACGCAGTGCACTTCTTTCTTTTCTTCTTTACTTTAAAGGGGATTTACTATCTTTCAGTGACAGTTGGAGAGTCTTTTTTAACCACAGTTAATTGGTGCACACTTAACACCCCCCCCCTCCCCCCCACAACCACCCGCCTTGCAGATGTGGCGCTCTGGAAGGATGTGCGTTGTTGAAGTCAATTAGAAGTACCTGCAAATCCCAAGTCAAGTGTAGATTAAAAGGGCGGTTTTACCCGCGTACTGACAAACACTTCTACGCGTTCATCTTGCCCTTTTATACAAAGACCATCGCACGAGAAGACAAGACTCGAGGCGTGTGAGGATTTGATTGTTTCACAATTATTTTGAGAAAGGGACATGTTGTCATAACTATATTTTGTTGGGACCTTTTTTTTGGTTTTGTCTCAGTCAGTGGTGATCCGATGTTTGTGCTAAATGGGTCAGTTAAAATATCAATTTGAAAGTTCCCCTTCTTGCTTACCTTTTTATTTCTGTATATTTGAATTAATGACATCACTCCGTTGAAACGCTTCCTGTGTAACTGTAAATGTGTTGTGTGGTTGGTTCTGTTACCTCAATGTTTGTTTTATGTTTTTCTTTCCTCCCCACTTCTCTCTTTCAGATTCAAGGTCCCATTGACCACTTAAAGAGGGTCACAGTCACGGTTTCCTTGGTAACCAAAGACCCCCCGCATCGGCCTCACCCCCACTGCCTTGTGGGTAAAGACTGCGCAAACGGTTCGGGAATATGCGTGGTCACGCTCAATCCTCACAGCAACCGACGGCACAGGTGCTCGTCCCATCTTGCATTTTTTTTTATTTTTATAAATCTTCCTTAAATTCCATCCTGACAAGATATATATTTTCTGCTGGACTCGCAGCTTTGTCAACCTCGGTATCCAGTGTGTGAGGAGGAAAGAGCTGGATGCTTCACTTGAGAAGAGAAGAAACCTAAATATCGACCCCTTCCAAAGTAAGATGAATACACACACACACACACACACAGCTCATCACAATGTTGTTAATACTGTCATCTATATACACTTCATATGTTTACATTTGAAAACCGTTTCCTATTTTCTGGCTGTTTAATTTCGTTGTGACTCCTGAAAACAGTCGTGTCTTTTCGTCCCTCAGCTGGTCACTCAAAGGGCATTGAAGACATGGACATGAACGCCGTGCGACTGTGTTTTCAGTGTGAGTTTGAATGGGAAGACGGCAGAAAAGACTGTCTCAGCCCAGTGGTGTCCAACCCCATCTATGACAAGAGTAAGAAACAGGCCTCTATTTTTAAACCGCACCAAATGTAAATGAATTTGCTGATTTCCACGTATTGATGTATTATATTTGTTTTTTTCCACAGAGGCCACGACCACATCGCAGCTGAAGATCGGCCGTTTTAACCAGTACAGAGGTTCCTGCACCGGCAAGACCGAGATCTACATGTTGTGTGACAAAGTGCAGAAAGGTGAGAAATACCTAAGTTTATTCTGCAGTTTGTGTTCATTCATGAGGCAACGCACAGTTTTTAAAATCTTTGCACGACCACGGTTTCTCTTTAACTGAGACGATGTTGTCCTCTTTCAGGGTACAAGCTATTTTATATCATTGTAACGGTTTATTTTCCAATAAAGCATGAGAGAGTGAAATGATACATTATATTAAACTGAGAACATAGAAATAATTAAACAACCACTTTGTACTTCATCAACTGTAATCATTTTTATATTTAATTTGGAACTACTATATAAACAAAATACACACACACACACGACACTTGCAACTCAAACTTATTTCCAATGTTACATGTTGAGTGTAAGTAAATACAGACTTTACTTCAATACGTTCAATATTGAAATCACACAAATAAGGAAACCAAAAGAGAAATCCTTGACTTTTCCTGTTGGTTGAGCTCAGCTTTCATAACACTGTGACAAGAACTGCAATCGTCTGATAATCATGTAACCAGAGTTGTCACTATGCTGGATGGGGATACCTGCTGTGTATTTACCACTTCACCCTCCTCCTCCTCACCGCGGCTCTGCATGTGTCCCCTCGTCCACAGATGACATAGAGATCATCTTCAGGCGAGGGTCGTGGAAGGCCAGCGGGGAGTTTGCCCAGACAGATGTGCACCGGCAAATCGCCATCGTGTTTAAGACTCCACCCTATCAGGACCAGGACATCACAGAGGAGGTAGAAGTCAGCGTGGTGCTGCGCCGCCTCTCGGACCAGATGGAGAGCGAGTCCATTACCTTCACGTACCTGCCACACAATCCAGGTCGGTGGACGCTCCAGAGCTCTGCGCGGTCCGCAGCGTACATGATGTAAAACGAACGCAGCAGATCTTAGAGCCAGAAACGTTAACAGCGGGTTGGTTGAACTCGTTTCAGATCCGTATGAGGTGAACCGGAAGAGAAAGATAAAGTCTGACATCAGCTTCAGTGAGAAACCTTGCGTGACAGGTGAGGCTCCAAAGCATTCTCCTCAGTCCGATCCGAAGTTCCTTGTTGTAACTTGAATTGTGCTTTTGTTCCTACACCACCATCAAAAAAGCCTAAACTTCTCGAATAAAGTACGAAGGTCTCTCGCCAAAGAACCGACCTTTTGTCATATTCCTTACCGCCCGTTTATTTTCCCTGTAACGCGACCCGTTTCCTCTCCCTGCAGCAGAGAGCGCACCTGCAGCAGAGCAGCCCTTCCACCTTCATCAAACCATGATGGGCCCTAACGAGAGGCTCTGCGCCGCCCGGCCCGGGGCCTCCGCTTTAGGGGAGATGTGTTACAGCGAGCACCAGGACACAAACAACGACAGCGACGCGGCCATCTTGAATCAGCTGCTGGAAATGCCCGCGATATGGGACATAATATCCAACCCCGGCCTGACCTCGGCCATGCCCTCCGGCTTCGAGCAGGGGCCCGAGGCCGGCGCCGTGTTTGCCAACCTGGATATGAACTTCAACCCGAACTTTGGCCCGTACACACAGGACTTTTCCCATTACAACGACCTGCAGTTCAACATGCTCGTCAACGAGATCCAGAATCCGCAGTCGGAGGGCCGGGAGAGCCCGTCCAGCACGCTGCAGGTGAAGACCGAGGAGGAGCTGTAAGCCCCGGGAAGCTAAAACGTGTAAAAAATATATATATATAAAATATCTGTGGCACTTGGAGGGAAAAATGCTTACTGCTTTCTGGGCGAGAGTTAGATGAGAGAACTGGTACCGCTGAGGTTTCTATTTCCCGGAATGTCGAATCTCCCCTTAAGGCCTCTGGGTTTGGACGCAAACAAGATAATTTTGTCTCGTGCTGATTTCTCTGTGAAATGTGTTTGCCCTCCTGCTAAATTTGTCTGGAAACCTTGCGGGTCAAGGCTTTAGTTCAGCTCCAACATTCCTGCACGTGTGCTGGTCAGTGACATTTAAATAGCCCGCCATTTACTGCATAGTATCGTAGTAAACGATTGGTAAAGTAAGATTTAGATATGCTGATGACATCGTCAACGTGAAACACAGTTCACAGGATTGTTCTGTGGAAACTACGTAATTTCCTCAGTCGTATCGGATTTTAGGCTCAATTACAGTAGTTTCCGATCTGCTCTCCGCGTTCATACTTAATCACTGTGTCACTGTGGGCGTCGCAACAGCTGGCTTGCTTAATAATTAATCTGCTTAGCAATAGGAACCAGTCCTCTTCTTATTTAAATTTCCTCTCAGTTCCTGCCTTTTTATGCGGTTCCGCTCGTGTGCTGAACATTCAAATTTCCGCTTGAGTCTAACCATTGTCAGTGATCCAGAAAAGGAATAATAAAACGTCAAACTGTGGGGTTTTTGTCTTGTCGTTACTTCCTCTGAAGCCAACCGCTGCCTCGATAATTGGTCAAAAGAAAAAATATATATATTTAAAATGTGACCTGCTGCCTGACACACGTTTCTAACCTGTTCGCTGACTTTAAAGCACAGAAGCCAGTAGATGTGTATTTGCGGTAAATGTCAGCAGTGTCACAAGGCGAAGTTGAATGACTTGTTTGGATGGAAGAGGGATTGTGTTTTTATCAGACGCTTTGCGGCCTCCGTGCCTTTTCATGCTCACATTTCACTCATACAACTTTTGGAATATCTTTATAGACGTAGATCAGGGAATTAACACAAAGATGTTGAAATGTAAACGTAGGTTTGTGCAATTTTTTTTGTGTTATTTTCAGTGTGTTAATTAAATGGTTCAGTATTTTTAAACCAAGCCTCCATGTTTTCTGTCTACTGACTACTTTTGATTTATTTTTGACATATGATAGTATAACTAAAGGCTATTTAATGGCAATACTTTTATAAAGCATTGAATACTATCCAAAGGCTGTTTTATGACTTTATAAAATACTATACAACATTCATGAAATCCTATATCACACTGATTTAATCACATTATTGGATGTCACGTCCAATAATGTGATCCATGATTTTTTGACCCAACTTATATGGAGTTTTTTTCGACCTACCTTATTTTGACTTTTCCATTACATTCCAACATATTCACTTTTTTAAAGACCTTTTTTGAAGACTTGACTTTTTCCATGAAATCTTTCAACCTAATATTTAACTTTTTTATATTTGTTTATTTTTACCATGACATTTCGACGTACCATATTTTCAATTTTCTTTTGACATTTATTGACTTAATGTATTTAGACGCGTGCTATATTACTTTTTAATGGCTTTTTCAATGAAAATTGCTTTACTACTAATTCGTAAGAGATTGTATCAACATGTAAAACTTTGTGACCTTTAACTTTCTTCTCTTGAATACCATATTATCATTTTTCATAACCCCTGACTCCCTATTAGACGGATTCTGCCCATAATATAACATGAATATTTTATGACTATTCATACTCCTATATGCCCTCTCATTGAAATGTTTTGACATGTTTTTCAATAGACCCGTTTTTAACTATATAATTAGACATTTTTAGGACACACTGCTAGACCTTTTATTACATACATCACTTTCGTTTGACTCATTTTTATATTTCACAATATGCTATGACTATGTCATAGTGTATTATGACTTTTTGGACAAATATTAAGTCTGATCTGGCTCTTTTTTCAAATGTAATTTTAAACTAAATTACTCAAATCATTTAGTTTGATTTACATCTTAAAGGAGGCTTTGAAAATGGCAGATGTATTAGCAGTTCATTCAAAAACCTGTTCTGTGGAAGTTCTTTTTACGTATATCATATAATTGAAATTCCTAGAAAATGAAGCAAATCCTCACATTTAACAAGTTGAAACCAATATACTGTATGTTGGAAATTTGGAAACAGCAGGTGCGTCACATTTGACAACGTGGACGGCACGCTGCCGCTGGGAAACTCCACACGGGTCTGGTTTCCAAGGCTCCTGAGCTATTATTTCCTGTAAAGTGGCACCACCTCACCCTGTGTGACTTGTCTGGTCACGTCTTACGCCATCAGCCGTAAGCTGTGGTCATCCGAAAACTGGTGGTTTAATAAGGATTGAAATAAATAAAGTAAGTCCTTTATAGCGTCAGGAAGTATTGGAGTACTTCAGCATTTACTTTCAGGTTTATTTGAATCAAATCTCTAGCTTCTATCATCTGTAACATCCTGTGGCTGGTATTGTTTTCAGATTGTGTCATGTTCAAAAGTGGCACTAGAGACTCTTATTGTGGAAACTACAACAGCGGTTTTGTCAGACTTCCAGTGAACAGATACAAGATGAAGTCACACAACTTCGTAGGTGTGTAGTTAAGATTAAAATGGGGGTCCACAGCAAGACGGCGGTGAAGCCAACCTTCATTTTGAAAAAAAAAAAAAAAAAAGCCAGCGCCAGTGGAAGTTCTTCCACAGTGCGTGAGGCCTTACGGTAAGAGTGTCTAGGAACTGACTTCAAAATAAGAGGAAGAAAACATAAGGCAGGTCATAAATAAATAATCAATAAATACAAATAAGAGCCGTGAATATCCTGCACCGCGGTTAACACCGTTTTAAAGCTGTCATTAGTAGCGCTTCCTGTCAGGTGTCTGGTGGTTTGTGGAGACTCGGGGGAAATCTGGGTTGACACGACGACTCGTATCAGGTGAAAGCAATCACAGAAATAATGATGTAAAAGATTTCATCACGGTGCTCGAGTCTTTTTTTAACCTGAAATATGGAAGTTTAATTTTCAGTTACATCACTCAGATGAAGAGATTCAAACAAGAGCTTTTGCTGCTCTGTCGGGGGATCACAACAATCTACTCACTGATAAATGATGATTTAACGTGACTAAGGAAGTATTTAGCTGTTGTACTGAAGAACAAAAGTACGAGCATCAAAAGTGTAAAGTATGCAGAGTGGACGTGTGATTTTCTCTCCGAAGATCAATAAAGCCTCATCGCGTCTTTATAATACATTATTATTATACATAATTTCTTGGTTATATTTATTTTTATATTCAACTCAAATCACAAAGTATCTACTGACTGAAAGTGGAGTAGTTGACTCTCTTTAGAACCAAATACTAAAAATGTATTAAATGTATGTATTAAAAATCCATATTTGACCAAAAGGGAATTGTTGAGGAGGCAGCTAAAATGATAAATATTAAAGAGTGTATATATAGAGTCAAATTCTTAAAAACTGGTTTAACATCTCTAACTCCAAGTAATATTCAGCTCAAAGGATTGAAGATGAAGCTGCCTGACGTTCCTCTAACATCTGGCAGAGAAAAATCAGCAAAAGTGCCTCTTAAGATGCAGCTGTTCACGTGCACTACGCGGACGGGGTAATTCCAGACTACGCCTGTGTCTATGTACGAGTGAAGCTTTCTATATACATGGAACAGGTAGATTTATTTTCCACTTGTTGGCAAGTTACAACACCCACGGGAGTCCCCAAACCAGTAGGGACTCCCCATGTTCCCAAAATAGCAAGCCGCAAACACTACACAATTCCAATACAACTGCCAGCAACAGACCGGAAGAGATGAAAGTGAAACCATGTGAGAACTGGCTGTTTTTACGTGTTAATACACGTCTTGTCTGCCACCACATGAGGATCTTGGCTGTATTCATAGGCAGATGTGTGTTTTATTACACTTGTCGGTTTTGTAGCGCTTCTTTTGGTCTTCAACAATAAGATTACTGAGAAGAATTCTCTGCATTATCTCCGCAGTATTTTCAGAATACAAAACATTTTATATTTATTGCCCCATTTTCTCTCTGCAGTTCTTATTTTGACTTGATTTAAATAAAACAAAGTAAGCGTCACAATTCAAACAGGCTACAATATCACTATTAAAATGGAGATTTTATTCATTTACAGCTTTTTGGCTCCATCCACTGGGTGAACACAGTCATCGGTGGTCCTGGATTTAAAGTACATAATTAAAAGTTTAAAAATAAAAGTCAGCTTGTCCTTAAGAAACCTTATATTAGGTAGATAGGTTATATATATTGTTGACACTGGTGTCCGTACGTGTTCATTATACAGTACAATGGTTCCATTCACTTACATTAAGAGGAATATTATACCATTTGCTTACTATTGCTTCGTAAACAGTATTATAGTCTTAATGTGTGGTCATTTAAACCAGTTTAAACACCTGTGGGTAGTTTGGTCTGCATAGGTTGCATGTACATTTACTTATTTCATCTGTAAAGAACTATAAAAATACCATAGATGAAAAATGCAAGAACCTCAACATTGTAAGAGAGTTAGTTCTCCATCACTATTAAGAGGATCAATAACACTCATATCTAATCTCCAGATCATCAAAGTCGTATTATTACTTCTACAATCTTGTCCAATGACGTTATGGATTATTCAATCAAGCAAAATAAGCATATGACCCAAAACATTGAACATTATAAGTTATAAAATAAGAGTCATCTCTCCTTAATGCATGCAGTGAACAAAACAATTAATGAACTAGTTGAATAATTATTGGAGACGGATACACAGAAACAAGGTTTAAGAAGAAAACCGTAATCTTTTATTTTTTGGATATCCTGTACAAACGCCTGATATCACAGTTGGTCAAGAAGTATTCAAACTTCAAACGGAGGCCTTTTCTCTTAATTCCTAAAATGTCTTGTGTAGTGGAAATAAATAAGCGTTGGGCCAACATGACCTCATCATTTAGGTCTTTTCCACGTTCGTGTATTTTCCACCTCCAGGTGGAGACGCAAGCTGAAGTTCTGTCGGGTGAAAAGGTTTCACGAGCTGTGTGACGCCCACAACCATCTGGAGAAGATTGAAAGCTCAACCTACTTAATATTTCAGTCCCGTTCGCTTGGTCACTTGTTCTCTACGAGGTGTGGCTCAGAGAGCTTCTGGACCTGCAGCCCCTCCAACAGCTCCTCCACACAGGCCTCGAACAGAGGCTGCGGCTCCTGAGGGACAAGAGAGCAGAACAAACAGAGTCAGGACACACGAATCACAGACTGTGCGCAGCTCCATCAGAACAAAGCAACACCGGTGGTCGTCGGTGGCGTCTGAGGACTTTGTTACCTTGTGCTCCAGCTGCCTCTGCTTCTCCACGGCCTCCTCCAGACTCAAACCCACCCACTCCGCCTCCTCCTCCGGGATCTCCAAGTGCTGTTTAGACCGCAGGAAAAAACGCAATTCATTTTTTAAAATCACAATTCCTTTTCACTCCGTTCCCAACGGCTGTAGGATCACTCAGTGGACTCCAACACGGCCCGCCTGCTGTACCTTGTATTTGTTGTAGACCTTCTCTCGTTTCTCGGGCTCGGACGGGTAAAGCTCCGTGTTTCTGCGTGCCAGGCGGATCAACATGGCCCTCTTCAGGTCCATCCCCAACTTGGAGTTCAGGTCTTCCTTTGGCGTCTGACGGGAGTTGCATAATCACCGGCGCATGAAAAGACAGTGGGGAAAACGTAACGTCGCGACACGCCGGCGGCGCGCTCTCACCTGGAGGATGTAGAAGTCGAATCCGAAGGCCGCGTCGATGAGGTTCAGGGTGCGTGCTGTGACTGTGATGGTGAACTTGTGATCGAGGATCTCGCTGTACAACTCTCTCTTGAACAGCTGTGGTTTCCAGGTCTTCCTCAGTCGATTCGACATCTAAAAGAGAGAGAAGATTCAGAGCTGTGATGTTCAGAAATTCAACAAAAATATTGTGGAGAAATGAAGGTGTAGAACATGTTGGGATTAGTTATTTATTTTAATAAATATTGTTAAAATGTATCTTTTGTTTTTTATTCATCTATATTCACTTAAACTGGTACAGTATTATAAGTACAACTAATAATGATGTAACTGTAGTGACATCTACGACTGTCCAGTCAATACTCACTTTGTCGTTATTGGCGTATCTGAAGCCGGAGATCCAGCCTTCTCCTCCCCACAGGCCGTCCTGCGCCGGTGGAGGGTAGAAGATGGGTATCGGGACATCCTGGACCCGTTCCCTCTGCCCCGTTTTGGGGTTGGCACGATACTGGACTCCCAAAGGCTTCCAGTGGACGGGCGTTGGCTCTTTCTGTTCGAGGGATTTGAGGTAGTGTTTGGGGAGGCGAGCGTAGATTCCCTGCTTCAGTTTCAGGACGTCCCAGATTTTGGATGGATATTTATGCAAAGGCATAACGGATTGTCTCTTTGAGTCAAACCTGAAAGACAGATTACGGATGAAGCATTTCTACTCAGTTAATACAAAAACCCATTGTTCACAACACCACATTATTTAATTCAATAGAGATTTGGAAATTAATTTAATTCATTTCACAGTTTGGATATTTATTTACGGATTTCAGATTGTTTCATGTGTTTAGTTGTATTTACTGAATATTAATTTTCTTGATCAAACCAAACAATAAACCCGAGGTTGTATATGAACTGTATATTTCTTTTAATTGACAGTACGGCCTATACATTGTCAGCAGTAAACAGCAGAATATTTAATCAACTGTTACAAATATAGTTGATTGACAGACAACCTCTGCCCATTTCGCCCTGACTTCCAGAAACAAACCTGTGTTTCCTGACAGTTTAATGATGATAATCGGATTATAGCACCTGCTTTAGACACAAATAATATTGTTTTTCTTGCTTGCTAATTGCAGCGTTACATATCATGTTTAGGACATGACCTTAAACGTAAAGACACGTTTAAACTAAAGCAATTAGACGATCTCATTATTAATACAGATCAATGGACAGATCTCACGAGCACAAGTGAACAACTTCCATAATGTCTCTAACGTTAGCAGGACGCTAACAAGCACACATCAAAACACCAGCCTCCGTATTGCTAATATCACTTTCTAAAGTCTGTCTTACCAGGTTATTATAAAACAGTGACCTCCACGAGAACAATTCTAAGTTTTCAGTCGAGGTTAGTCCAAATTTAAGCACGCAAGGACATCACGCACACGACCGGCTGCGCAAACACACTTCCGCATTGATCGGGCAACCAACCTTGCGCGAGACATGATTGGACGGTGGGAAGGAAATGCTCACAGATGATTGGTTTACACGCGCTGTCAATCAACGGTGTTTTCTTTTTGGAAGCAGATGTAGATCCTGCGTGGATTCTGCTTCCACAGCCATCAGTCTGCACTTATACTAACAGCTTTTTCACACACTTCTCAATAGGAAACCGTTGATATTTTGTTTTCAGTTTCGTGGCTAAACAAAACAGCAGCATGAAATCCTTAATATTCAAAATTCGTTCTAACGCAGTTTTACAGTATTCTCTTGCTAAGTTACCGGAATCTGATAGAGCACATAACGCTGTTTCACACCAAACATCTGCCGTCACACGCCCGAAAGGTGGAATTGAACCACTCTGCCGCTAAGCAGCTACAGGTTTGAAGCCTGCACCCCGGACCACCGAGGCTCATCCGGGCAATTTCAACAAAGCCGAGGAACAGGATTTATACGAAGCACCAGCGAGCGTCGTCTAACTTATGGTGTGACGTAAATTATCGTTGGTTGACTTTTAATGGCGGAACGCTGGTGAACAAAGTGCCATCACCTATCGGATGTCCCGAAGCAGGATTATTATCTAAATGTGCATAAAAACGGAGCATGTATTCTGTCTGCGTTGTGAAACTCAAAGTAGGCGCATTGTGATTGGCTGTCTGCAAAATAAAAAAGGTGGAGCTAAATAGTGTCATCAAAGGTAGGAAACACGGAGGCTTAAACACATAGAGAAATAAAATGTATTGGCTGGAAATAGGTTTAATTGATGACATGAGCAACGGCCGCTGTAACACCTGTACATGCTGCTTACATTGCTACAGACTCAATTTATACAACATTCAATCCATCAGGTGCACATTGTTTCAATTATATTATCTTTGGAAGGAGTTTTTAAATAATACAAATAAAAGCATTCTATTAAAAGTGAAAATAATAAGTTGTAGTTCAAGAAAAACATTTATTCAAACTACTGAGAGTATTTATTGTGCAGATTAGACACAGCTAATGCTCGGGATGTATTAATATGTAACTTACGAATGTGTCCTACTTCCTCTGTACACTGTTATGTAGTTAAATGTTCGTTGCATATTATACACCTTTTCTTTTACATGTGAAATCTTAATCGATAATGTAGCTGGTAAAGCAGTCAAAAATGTTACATTTAAAATGTATTAGAGTTAAAAAGTGGCATAAAATGAAATACAGCTCTAGTTCATCAAGTACGTTACTCTGAGTAAATATACTTTACTTTCCACCACTGGGTGCACAGTTTTTTTCGTATAAAAAGTATAAAATCATACGACAGTAGTTTATTAAATCACATATATTTATGCATTTGTTATTCTGCTTGCTTTTTAAACTAACATAGGCATAACATGTACATGTAATGTATGATCAGTGGTTCAGTAGAGACTACACTTTCAAATCTCTTCATCCTTTACTTCTACTGTTACATTAATTCATTTCCCTCCAGTACGAGTAGTTCAGTCAGAGGAAGGTGTTCTCGATGACCAGTGTCTGAGGCTCTTCCTTTGTCTCCCCAGCTGGTGGTGCCATCAGGCTGGTCTCCTCCTCCACGGGAGAAGAACACATGAACCCCGCGCAGGCCTTTCCACAGGCGAGGCTGCAGGTCAGAAGAGGCGGCAGGGAGGGGTCCTCTCTGTGGATGACGGGGGAGGCGTCCCCCTCACTGCCTGCAGAGGACCCCGGGCAGGAGGCAAACTCTGGCTGGACGGTGCAGCAGCTCACTCCAACGCTCTGCATCACCTTGGTGACCCCTGACATCAGGTCAGCACACCTGGACATGAATTATTAAAGTATATAGTTTTAAATCTGGACAGAAATATATTAATGATAACCAATTTGTAACATCCATGGATGGATGGAACTTGTAACAGCTCCCAAAATCTACAGCCCTTTCCGTTTGAGTGTTTATTTATTGTTAAGCATCACTGTTGGCGTCTAACAGTTTAACATAGGCACATTACTATTCAACACATAGAAGGTGTCCAGTTACACTGTTGAACAAAATGAATCTATACTCTCCAGCCAATCAGAAGTTATGATTCCTCATTGGCCACGGTTTGTTAGAGCCCCCTATACCAACGTCTCCCACTTCACCTCTGCACTGGAAACCCAGCATGGCAGTGCACGTGGACGGAGGCCACGAAGAACGATTCAGTCAACTGCCAGATGTGCAGGTTGTGCACGGCCTGCACCCCAGGGACACTCGTAATTCTTCGTCCAAGATCGGATGCGCAAATGTGCGGCGGTGTGGCCTCCAGCAGCAAAAGTCCATACCTGTGCACCTGGAGAGACCCACGACAGTCAGTGCTGGTTCGGACACTACCGGGGCACAAATGTGTCATTCTTGTTAGACGGGTTTGGTCTTAATCTGGTCTTCACGAGAGCATCATCCAAATGCTTAGAAGCAATCTGCAAACTAAAAGGCCATAAACACGGACCTGTGGTGCGGCGGTGGCAATCAGCATCATCACAGCGAGCAGCGACAGAAGAGGATCCAGGTAAAGCAGCAGGCCGCAGGCTCCCGAGCTGTGAAGGACCTGTGGGCTGATCAGCAGCATCACCAGGCTGTTGACCAGAGCCAGCAGAGCGGGACAAAGGCCCTGCACGACGAGGACAAAGGACCGGACAATGGCTTTCCGCCGGCGGCTTGGTACAATCCTCTCAATATGATGGGATGAGCTGTAGACTGTGTCATTAGATGCATTTTGACTGTCTGAAAGAGGGGGGAAAACAGTAAATCACGATCTTCACATATGAAAGATTCAACTTTTTTTTTAAAGTTTGAAACGATATGGATTTACATTGATAAATGAAGCAAAGACTGTTGTTTTTATTTGAAAATGGCTTGTTCACCTGCAAAACGCCGGCTTGCACATAACAACTAATGTCGCTAAAGTCGTCTCACCAAGAAGTCCCATGCAGGTGTTGTCCTTGGAAGTCCCCGTGGGGTCTTCTGAACGATTTTCACACTCGCCAACCTGCAAATCCGCTGTAGCAGTGACCGCCTCCCGGTCCCTGTGGCCCTGAAGAGCTGCTGCGTGCTGGTGGACCGTGTCGGGGACGCCGGAGGTTCCCGGATTGCTGAGGACAAGCGCCCCATTTTGGAGCCAGTTGTCCACAGCCGATTGGACATGGCCACGCTCATCCAGGACTCGACCCGGGCCAGCCCGGCCTCTGGTCTCCTCTGCAGCCGAGACTGTGGGAGTGAAAAATAAGCGTGGACACTGTTTGACGTCCTTTCAGCTGAATACACTTGGAAGCTACTTGCAAGTGAAATGTGTCTGTAGTCCAGCAACGCCTGGACAGCAACATTCTTCTGCAGTAAAAGATTAGCACATTATCCCATTTCAAGTACTTTCACATGATATGAGATCATGCTGGTGATTGGCTGGAGTTTTTTTTTTAACAAGCCTCATGCATTGCGATCCACTACAAGTTCCAAATTTTAAGATAATTTGTTGCATGACCTAAAAGTTTTAGGTGATGTTACCTTTGTGGTTCCCTTCAAGGTGAGCGTCGTTCTTCGGCCTCCTGCTGGCATCATTCTGCAGCCCATCCCAGTTCAACCAGAGGACCAGCGATTTATGGAGCAGACTGACAGCGCCGGCCACCACAGGCAGCAGGGGGCGCTGCACTGGGTGCGGCTCCAGGGAAAAACTGATGATTTCCAGGAAGTAAGAGAGACACAGAGAAATCAGGAAGAGAGCAGAAATGAAAGCCCCCACAGGCTGAATCCTGCTGCTGCTGAAGGACACTCCACGGTCCAGAGGTGGAGATTCGATGGATGACTCAGCAGGGAGGCCGGGGGGTGGTGCTGCTGAGGAGGAGGAGGAGGAAGCATGTGGAGGAGACGCGCAGGAATCCAAAGACGGGAGCGGGTTGTTTTTTATGCTTGAAGTTTGAGGATGAGGAAGAGCCACGTGCAGGAGGATGAAGAGCGTGTGGAAACCATCTACTAAGGTGATAAGGGAGTTGCACAGCCTGCTGATGACCACCTCGCAAACCAGCAGCAGGACGGTCACTCCCAGCATGCACCAGTGTAGCAACCTCATACCTGCAACTGAGTATAAAGCGCACACTAGAATTGCTCAAACACACACACACACACACACACACACACACACACACACACACACACACACACAATTATGCATTTTCTTCAGTGTTTTTACTTTCTATTTTTGTAGAAATAGTAATTACTATTCATTCAAATTGAATCACACGTTTCTCAGCATGACTGATATTCACTTATGTACAGTTTCAGCCACTTCACCTTCCGTTACTTTAAACAAATGGTCTATCATTTCAGAATTATGCAACAAGAGCGATTTGATCATTTGAGAAAAAAGTCTGTTTGTAGCTTAATGCAATGAAGGAATTTATAATGAATGAATGAATTATGCAAAATGTAATCAACAAACAAGTTATGAATAATTTTTACAGGTAAAGAAATTTACAAGTTAGTTCAAACGAACCAAACCTTTACCAGATAAAAGATAAAGGTACGTACACACCAATGCAGCTGTAATTGTAACTCAGAAACACTGTACTTATACTTTTGATGTGAACACTACGGTTTTACTACTTTCACTACTTTCACAAATCTGATCACTTCATGCACCATTGACTAAGTCATTAATAAACATTTACATTTAACACAAAACAACAAATATGCTGAAGCATAACTAGAAAATCAAAATGTAATACGACGATGCATTGAATTACCAGGGAAAAGTGGTTGACCCTCAGTCATCAGTCAAAGACAAGTCAGGTTCTGGGATGCGATCTGCTCACCGAGATCCCCAAAAAGTAATTTGTGGTGCTCCCCATCTCTCGCTCCTCCTCCGCTCTAATCCCAGTCATGTGGGCTGAGGAGGAGGGGATGGGTGGCTGCTGTCGTCCTCTCCTCGGTCATCCCCGATAGCGTTCCCTGCTCGGACCTTTGGTGGGAGAAAATTCCTCCCGTCGACAGTCAGAGAGCCCACCCGGCCTTCACACACCCTCAGAGCAGAGCCGGGGGAGCTAATCCCCATTGTGTTGTTAGGATTATATAACCGCATCATAAGGTTGTGTTTGAAGAAAAGAAAAAAAAAGGCCGCCTTGATGTTTAGATTAAGTGAAACAGGCAGTCCAGCTGTTGGTCCAATGCGGGAGGCAGGATGAGGACAACTTTTAAGATACCAACTTTTCAAACTTTTTTCTTATTTTGTTTTATTTTTAGGTGTTCTTTGATGAAATGCGGTTTATGTTCCCCTGCTAGCAGTCACCCGGCTGTGCAGTACGTTGTTTTACATTTTCTTTACATCCCCAATCAATAAAGCAACAGGTTGGACATAACAGGGGATGTGATCTGAAAATGTTAAACATACATTTTCTATTTAAAAACAACTCAGCTTTTACACAGCATTGTAAAAACATGACGACAGAATGCAGCGACAAACTTGAGTTTTTTTGTGGCATTAACAGGATAGAAACGTGGAGGCCGATCTGCCTCTCTGCCTCTGTTGATGCTCCGATGTGACATCTGGGGAACCTTAACATGTATATATTTAATAAATAAATAAACTGCATCCCTGGTAAGTTATTGTCTTACTAGAAAAACGCGTAAAGGGGAATCATATGCTATAGAATTGAATCGATTGAATCGATTTTGTGGAAAGACATTCATGCACATCCGTGTTAAGAGATGGAAGCACTCAGATTGATCCCATGATATTTCATGATATTTCTCCTGTGTGCCGGTGGGCAGGGGGCAGTTGCAGTCCAGTGGAGTGCACATCAACAGGCCAGATAGGGGCTGACACCACGGATAAGTCCCTCATGGTGCATCAGCACATTCCTGAGGCACGGAAAAGACCCAGCGAGGAAGCATTTATCACTTGCCACCGTCCCCTAACAGAGAGGTTGTATGATTTCTCTAAAGTTGCAATGCTTTAATTATTTCTACAGGTGTAGGGGAAGAATATAAAAACACAACAGTGGCATATCATCACCGTATAAAGACGTTGTGCAGTTTTGACTCCCTGCTGAGAACACGATAACATTATTGCAAAACCAAGTCCAGTTCCTTGTTGGACTGAGACGACGGAACAGTCCGGGAATTGAACCAAACATTTTAACAACTGTCGTTGTCCCTGAAGTGCTCAGTCACAGACAGAGCCCGAGGGGTTTAGTACCACTGGTCCAGAACAGGAACAAGAGGCCAACAGCGCATCGGGAAAAGTTTTATTTTAACCAGAATAATACAGGTACACCCAACAGATGCAATGAAACTGCTCACTATGGAGGTTCAAGAAGCCAGACCTTTATTGACTCGACTCATCGTGATATGAAACAGACACTTCTGGTTGCACTGAAGGTGTTCTGAGAGAGTTCAAAAGATGACTGTGATTGCACAACATTATCCTTATAAATGCTCAAAGTAGCCTTTCCCCTTTCCACACTTGCAATATTCAAGCTATAAAGAGACCTTTATTTTCTGGTTAAGCAATGAAGCCTCACAACCTTCTGTATTATTGACGCGGCGCTGGGTGGGAGTGGATTAGTGCAGTCTGGAATTCTTCACATACAGAGCAGGGCTCAAAGTCCCGCCATCACCACACCCCATCACGGCAGGAGACATCAGGGAGTGAGAGCTCATTGTTTTTGATGGAATATTTTCAAAAGGCTTAAAAGACATATAGAGTCCAAATTATTGCAAGACACAGAAGATTAGAGGTTTTTATGAATAAGCAGATTTTGATTTAGTAGCATAATCAAAGGGAGGTTTCTGTGTGTGTGTGTCGTTCCTCTTTGATTCTTTATGTCACTGGCCTCTGCGACAACAGATCCAGATAAAAAGGAAGGGCAGGTTTCTGATTTAAGTGTTTGTTGCTGCCACGTGATTTTACTAAGGTTTTATTTAAGGTTTTGTCGCTTTAAATGCAAACAACTTGTACGGTTGTATCCGATGGCCCGGTTTATCGCACCCAGTTTACAATAGATTGGATTATATTGGAGTCATCAAAAATATTTCTGTGTTTTACAGGAAGGATTTTACATCAGATACAACATTCAAGAACAGATACATGAATAATAAAACATGGGACCGAATAGGAAACTGGGAAAATGTATTCGACAGTTGCAATTATGACCGCAAAACTTAGTTTCTTAAAGCTCCACTGAACATCCAACTTGAGACTAATAATACAAATAATAATATACTAAAATTACACTACAGACAGCGGACTCTCCGGCAAGTCTCTGGACTGAATCAAAGCACATGTAATGGTCTGTACTTTTGTTACCGATTAACAGAAAGTGAAAAATAAAACCGGGTACTGGACAGTACTCTTGAACAGTGCATCAAATTACTACAACTGTTTTGAGTGAAGTTATATATTGACTCCACAAGACATTAAGCAGAGGGGACCAGCTGTATCCAAACTTGATCTATGCTCACATTTTCCCACCGGCAGAGTACAGACATTAAAACATCCAGTCGTATCATTTAGTCATTACATGCATTTATTTGAGAGGAACAAATTTCGCCATACATATCCTTGTGATTACCAGAAGTTTTTCAATTAAGTTAACAAATTATCATTTAAAATTTTCTAAAATTGAAAGCATTAACAGTGGGAGAACCTGTTGGGTGGAGCGGAGCCGGAAGGTCGGATGCTCCACTTAAGAAAAACAAACAAACCACCGATCCACCGTTCAGGGAATAATTCAAAGCATCTCTGTGCAAACATACATGAAGTTGACAAGTCATGTACATTTTGCTCTGGAACATTCAAGACAGGAGTTGGATTTGAGTGCCGACATCGTCTCCTGCAGTGTGGCATCCTTGACTTCTGTATCCGCTGTGGGAAAACAACGCGCCCCCCAGCGCCCCCATATGGCCAAAGCCTCACACAGCAGGGTTCTAATCAATGTATATTTCTACTGCTGTTTGCTTTTGTTACTGAACCCCAACGGCTACCGTGGTCAACCATCCAATCATATTCACCTTTCCTTCCAACAAAGATTACACTGCCCCCTCCCCCCCCCTCAACAAAAAAAAACAAAATATTTGCTCTAGTTTAAATTTGAAATATACATCAAAGTGGGGGCAATCTCTAAAAAGCAACCCGCAAAAATGGAAAAGAAAAGTAAAATGAGGATGGAGGTGAAGAATAAAATGCGAAAACTAGATCAGACAAGGCTCATGACGCTATGAAATAAATAGAAAATGACTAATTTCTCAAAGCAGCCCAACAGAAAAATGACCGAATCCAAAAGTGGTGAGTTTTGAAGGCAACATGAATGATGCGCTGCAGCGGTGAAGCTATAAAGTACTAGTGGAAGACAGGAAGAGGGACGAGATGACGACAAGCACCAAGCTGCCATCCTTGGAAGAGTTAAACACAACAATGACTGGTCGAACAAAGCAATAATAGTGTCTGAACGTTTCAGAGAATTGAGGAAAAAAGAAAAGAAAAAAAGATGTAAATAACTCAGCGGCCATCTTGCTTTCCGACATTTGCAGAAGTTCTGTCATTTTTCAGCTCGGAGCCAAATTACCGACCGCCACTTTCCAAAGGCAGGTAGAGACAGTTAGGGCTCCTCCACATCTGATCTGAGGAGATCAGACTGGAGGGAGACACTGATTCCTGAGGGGCCAAAGTGAGCAGAGGATGAGGAAACAGAGAGTGGGAGGTCACTTTGGCAGAGGTCCCTTAAGAGCTTCTCTTTTACCGCCCCTGAGGGGAGAAATTGTCGGGAGTGGGGAGAGACACGACACATTGACATTTAAACAGACACGATAACATCTTCGGCTTCCTCACATATAAAAGCCTTTGACATTGGCCAACTTCCACCTCCGGAGCTAGTGTTTAAAGCCAGCAGGTCTGCTCAGCAGGGTCCACTGTGTCATCAAGTCTGTGTTTCTGGTCATCACTTGTTATGTCTGTGTATGTACTTTATAAAGAGAAGAAGAAGAAGAAAAAAGGTATATTGCAGGATATTTCCCCAACTACAGTGGAAATCTACACGAGAGCAACGAGAGGAAAAGGTCTGTGTTCTGTCTTTGGTTAGTGTTTCATCCTTCGCTCTCTTCTTTCTCACTTGCGGGCGGCTGTGTAAAGATTTCATTTCGCTTCCTCATAATGTGCATTTATGTATGTATGTGTTTCAGTGGTCAATGTAATGTGGGTGTGGAGGGCTCCTTAGCAACGCTCCAGGAGTTGGATCTGTCCTTTTGTCTTTCCATAATTTGCTTAAATTTTCAGAGAGCTTAAACCGTCACACCAGGTCTTCTGTCCTTTGAGGAAAGGTTGTGTTGGTGGTAAAGTCAAAGAAAAAACATAAACATTGTAGGGCAACGAGTCACGTAGTAGAGCCAGACAGACTGTGGCGTTTTCTCTTGTCCTCACCGTCTCTGTGGAAGGAAAAGAGAGGCGATAGATCCATAAATAAATGACTTAATGCAGCTGAGAACACTTTTCATGCAAATACCCAGCTAAACATTGGCAGACTTAACCACCCATGACTGGTACACTTTTTCTTATAAAACCATTTACATCACTGTGTGCATACTTGTCCAGCATTAAGTCACTACATGAGATTATGATGTTGAAGTGCAAAAACATTTTATTATTTATTATTAATTATATTAGTATTAGTGTGATGACGCCGCCTTGACTGGTGACTCGTTGGGATTGATTGCACATGCGTATGGATCAAGGTTTACCTCACACCCTCATGGCGTCTCTCTACCCGCCTCCAAACTGGCTTCTAGGAGCAGCTCCTCCAGGTCTTGTCCACCGGTGACACTCACTGCACAAATGAAACATAGCGCACATTACCAAACAGGACTCGAGATTAACAAGCAGCCGGGCGATCACAGCCACTCACCGTGCTCCATCACACAGCTGCCTGGCTTGGGGCTTTCCGCGTCGACAAGATGGAGGGAGAACTCGGGCTTCAGGCCGTTGGGGAGAGCTGAAGCAACCATCTCCTGGTCCTGGTCCTCGTCCTCCTGAGCATCAGCAAACTCGTCCTCGTCTGCAGAGCTCTCATCAGGTGAAGCCTCGTCTCTGACTGGGGACACGGACTCTGTCGTGGGGAGTTCTGGACTCTTTGAGGCTTCCTCTGCATGAGGATTTAACTCCTGGGCTCCACCTTGAGGGACAGACAGCTCTTGTTCATCAGTCTGGGCAGAGAGGACAATCTCGTCTGCCTCGGCTTGCCGCTTTGGACATAGTTCCTCTTGGTCCGACTGGGAGGCCTCTGTCTCTGTTAAACCAGGTTTTTCATTTCCCGACAAGTCGAGCGGCCCTTCGTGTTCTCCCTGTAGAAGTGGCTCCTCTTTCTCTCCCTCCATTTGGTTCTGTGAATCCTCTGATGCAAAAGCTGGCTCATCCCGTAGGTTTTCCAGAGCAGATGGTAAAAGCTGCTGCTGCTGCGTTTGCACCACAGGGACACAAGTCTGGGTTGGACTCAGATCATCCAATAGTTTAGACCCTTCTGCTGTGCTCACCTGTCTGTCATCTCCTTCCTCCTCTCTCTGCTTTACTTCTACAGCGGTGGCCTCAATTTGTGGGCTTTTAATGCCCTCTATTACCTCCTCAGTGAGTTGAAATGCTGCAGCCTGCACCGACGAGGAATTTGAAGGCATGGCTGGTGCTCGTTGACTCGTATCTGTCCCTTCTGGATCTAAAGTGCTAGCGATCACATCCTCCGTGGCTCGACTGGCAGACGGTGGCCCTCGCGTGGTATTTAGTGCCGACTCTAAGTGGGCTACAGGACTCTGCTCTGGGAGTTTACAGTCTATTGACGGAGCAGGTGAGCTCGCTTTCACGTCTCCTAGAGTCACTTGTGTTTGTGTAGCTGCTTTGGACGAGGGCGGTGTCTGCTGTGTCGGGGGGGTGTTCCTGTCTACAGGCTTCTTTGAGGCCTCTTCCCCACGGCTGGGAGCTGCACGTACACCTGCCTGGATGTGTAGCTGCTGCTGCTGTTGTTGCTGCTCAGGAGGGCTTTCAACCCGAGTTACCATGAAGATCTTGTGACCCCTCCCTGGACTAGAAACAGATATACATCGACCAGGAGATGGCGGGGTGCCCGGAGGAGCCGCAGATTCTGAGACAGTGATGCTGGAAATGGCACACGGCCCACCCGTGGGAGAGGCCGAGACGGGTGAGGGCATACACGAGGCACTGAGGAGGGGCGGGGCCACCGCTGTGTTGGATTGAGGATTAGTCTGGTTGAACCGGGTTGAGGGGTTTGACGAGGAAGCGGACTTAGTTACCACCTCCTCATCCTCATCCTCAGTGTCCGAGTCGGACTCCAGGATCATTTGAGGAAGGTTCGTCTCAGTGCTCTCTCGTGACTGGCTGCTGGACCCTTCTTCATTTCCTGTTCTACCTTTTTGTTCTCCCTCTGTCACCTCTTTGTCCCCGCCCTCTTTTGATATTGGTTCCTCCTCCTCTTCTTCTCTGGTGCCATCCTCTGTGGCTATTTCGGCCATGGATGCCGACTGCCTCATCTGCTGCTCTGTTTCCTCCTTTTCTTTAGCCAGTATGAAGTTTCTCTTGCAGCCGTTCTGGATCTCAGCCAGCAGACCACGCTGGGTCTCAATAAAACTCTTCACCTTAAAAAACAATAAAAAAACATCTCAAACATGCAGCAGAACACCAAGGGAACATATAAATAAATACAAATAAATCCAAGGCCTTTGGGCTCAGGAGAACATTTGTTACGACAGCCGGACTTAGGAAGTAGCATGACTGACAAGAGCTGGAGTGCAGCAGAGTTGCAACTTCCAAGTTGGATTCTCCATTCTCCACGCTGGCGGCTGAGGCTACTACTATTCTATTTACAGTTATTGTCAACAAATCCAACAAAAATATTATTGTTGCTTTTGTCCATATCTCAATACTTCCTGACTTTCTCACCCAGTCTGTTGCTCCAGCAAAAAATCAATTTATTTCTACTCAAGGCACACGTTTAAAAGACAGTTCTTAGATACGTAGTTAAAGAAAAGTGTGATTCAATATAGCTTAGATGAGCTATGCCCAGTAGTTCTAAGCAAAGTCATTACAGGGATGTATTTCAACCACCTGTGCTCTATTGGATATTTGCAGCAGGTTGGTGTGTTGTGGATCTAGTTAGCACGACTAATCTGCTCTGCAGAAACTGATGTCAAGTGGGGTCACCATACTTAAATATATATAGACAGTTGAAGTACTCGCTGTGAAACAAATATCCCTCTATACTTTCCACATTCAGTGTAATTAAGGTAGAAAAAGACCTAATGTAAAGCGCACAGAAATGCATGCATTATGGCTCCCTTTGCTTCTTCTAATCCCTTCCCAAGCCTTGGATCCATGCTTACAGTTTCCTTCTTGGGCTCCCGGTCCAGGTCGAGACGCAGCAGAGAGGTGTTGACTTTTAGGGCGAGTGACAGGGCCATCAGTCCACCCGTCTTGATCTCATTCTCTCGAAGGTCTAGACGTATCAGCCTGGGGCTCTCAGCAATGAATTCAGCAACAGCCACAGCTCCTACAGGACAGATTAAAAAAAAACAAGTGTAAAAAAAAGTAACAAAAGCAAGACAGCAAAAAAAAAAAAAAAACACGCCGGGATAACTGGTGGGCACTAATTCCCACCTTCGCAGGACAGTTTGGTGGAAGCGAGGCCCAGTCTGAGCACGGAGCGGTTGGTAATCAGTCCGTCCTTCAGCTTGTGGACCCCTTCATTACCCACAGAGTTATGGCCGAGGTTCAGGGTCTCCAGGCTCTGGGTGCACGGCTGAGGGGACAGCGAACAGAGACGTAGATGTGTACAACAGTTCCTTCAGCAATGATAGAATGCACAAAACCTTTTCACAGCTGGTATTTGTTATGCAAGTCATGACAGTGTTTCCCCGACCATTATGACAGGGGGACGCACCCCCAAAAAAGAAGAATAAAATATATATTTATTTCTCCCCACGCACATGGAAGTTCCGCCCAGACACGTGGGCATGAGGCGCTCGGACCAGGAAACAGACTACCCCCCCCCCCTCCGCCCTCCGCCCTCCGCCAAACGGTTCGCCTGACTACCGATCCCATGCCAAACTGCAATGTGAAGACCAAGTACCGTGTGCTTCTCTCCGGGGTTATGAATAGGATGGTCATGGGGTATTCTTTATCAGTATAAATGGCAGTATAATAGCTTTTATGGCATTTCTGTCTCATCTGCATCATCCCACAAGGCTAACCATCAGACGCATTTCTTCAGGAAGAAAAATACAGTATTCATAATCCAAAAGCACACCCATCATGTGTTCCTAAAAAATAACAGGACTCCTGTGTCATAAAACTCTGAGAAGTTCAATAAATAAATCCATCTGTTGTTGTTGTTTAAGGGAGCTTTATTTAATCATCCTGAACATTAGTATCATTAGCAGAAAACAATGTGCTACGTAAAGATTTAGTGGAGTAATGTCTATCTAACCAGAGAATAAAGACACTCCGTGCTTTGTTTACCCGGCCGGGTCGGTTACGTGTGCTTTTGTTGCATGTTTGTGAGCGTTCCTCACTGGTTAGCTCACAGGCGCTGCTCCGCAATGGTCTCATACAGTGACTCCAAGGCAAAATTCACATAAGTTGCTTTCTTCCTTACGTTGGGGAAGTGAAGCACTGATCCTCTGGTTGTCCCTCAGGTAAAAACTGTCAGCTAAGTGAGCGCTCTCTCCATAGTTTGCACTGTTGCAACCGCTATCTATGGAATGTTGAGCGGCGATTGAAATGCTCTTAATCTTGGATCTTGGAACTTTTACAAATATTTTACTGCTTAGAAAGGGAAAAACACTTTGCAAAATGTAATCAGAAATAATTTAATTTATAGGACAGAATCAATAAACAGGTGAATATTGTGAACAAAAATTATGGTTCACGTGCTGTATTATAGTCAAACCCTTAATTGTATTTTTGCTATGTTTAGAACATTTATTATGGTCATTGAAATGAAAGTTAAAAAAACGCTACAACCGCATAAAAGTGTATGTCAGAAGGCTGAGATTGTAATGACTCAGTACTGCGGTGACTAAATGTAAACAATATAGATCTAACGACGAGTGAGAAGAGAATGACGCAATCACTCAACAACAGACATTCAACCAATGACTTTCGGCGTGGATTATCTCTGCCAGACTGCTGTGAAATCAAACCAAGATAAACAAAAGATGACTCACAGAAAAGTCCAGAGCTCACATCCGTTACCTAAGGGAGACCCGACTGCACAAATGTCCAGTCAAATCAGACGTGATGATGTCTAACAACACAACCCATTAATCTATCACGACATAACTCATTTTTTTTATGAAATGCAAATATATAACCTTTTTTTTATTTGAGGTCTTTAACAATGAGCAACTATTGTCAGTACAAGTGAGCTTAGTTTGGGCTGACGAACATGAACAGATATGAGGAGAGGAGGTATGAAAGCAGAGCTTCATTTCATTATCCCTGCCTACCCTGTTAAACACACAAACACCAGGAGGTTTCAAGGCCCTGTGAGTGAGTAGATTTATTGTCTTAACGTGTTTGCGTGTGTGTGTGTCAGTACCAGTGCAGCAGCAAGGAAGCCCATGCCGTTGTGTGTGAGCTGGTTGTTCCACAGCACCAACGTGACCAGGCCTTTCCTCTGCTCTTTAAGTCCGTCGCACACGTAGGCCAGACCTGCGATGACAAACAGACCGAGTTTGTACATCTGTATCCAATTCAACTCGACACAATTTTAACTAAGCATCATGAACATTGAATAAAATGATTAATTTGAGGCGATCGGATGCATTAACAGCAATTACTGTGCCTTATCTGTCCTAGCAAAAGAATCTCACTCACTTTAAACATCAGGAAAACTGAATATTTGGATAACCTAAGACCCATTTGATGGGCCTCAGCGATACTGTACAAGAGCACAATGATGACAACACCACATCTGATGTTCTTGCATCTGGAAGTGTTCCATGCAGAGTGTTGTATTGTGTGGGCATCTATTCACCACCAAGTAACAAGTAAAATATACTGTGTGAACTACTGGAAAGCAAAGCAACAAACCAGGATTCGGAAGATATTTTTAGCCAGTCTGTTATGCAGACCTCTAAACAGGGATATTTAATGCTGTAAAACCTAAATGAATTGCTCTTAATGGCAAAACAAATCAAGATAGAAAATGCAATACTTGTGTTTACTTTCCAGCCTGAACAGTAATCTTATTCGGAATTTAAATGAAACCAAATATCCAACAACTATCATATTGAATGTAATGAACAGATAATCAAACCCATGATCGCGGTCTCTCTATGAACGCAACACATCTGTCCAGTAGCCTCAACGCGGTCTCTAATTTTTAATATATGAGATGAAGCTGCTTTGCTGGTTTGTTCTAAACAGCGAGCCAGAATTATTTTTGTTTAAACACTTGCTGATGTTGAGGATTAGTAATTTTTTGATGTACTGTATTTAATTATTTATTCTGTTATTTTCAATTAGTTTGATAACAATTACCTAATTTCCCCACTGCGATCAATTAACCCATTTTATCAATTTGTGGCACGGAAGTGAAAAATAAACAAATGTAATTTACAATACAGTTTAAACTAGAGTATAAAACAATTGTTGCAGTGCTCTATCCCTGCTGTGTACCAGAGTCCAGGATGTGGTTGTTGCGCAGGTCCAGGATCTGAATGTTGTAGTTGAACTTCAGCAAGTTGCCAAGTTGGGCCGAGTCCTGCAGGCCGTTGAGCTTGTTGTCTGCCAGGTACAACTCCCGCAGGTTCATGTTCATCTTCAGAGCCGTAGCTATGCAGAAAAATCCATTGGAAAGAAAAGAGAAAAAAAAAAGTCATGTTCCGTGGATTAAATTCTCAGATTCTCAGACAATGAAGGCAGACTGAAAAGAGAAACCAGTCGGCCCGTCTAACCCAGTAACATGAGCGGTCTGCCGGACAGGCCGGCGTTCTCTAGGTGGAGCACCGCCAGGCTGCCGCTGATCCTGAGAGCTCGAGCTACAAAGGGAGCCGAGTGGTCCAGCAGAGGAGTGTTACGTGCATCCAGATACTGCAGAGAGCTTGTCTGAAACACACCAACACACACACAGTTTGTTAGTTGTTTTAATAAGGTTTATGACATTATGTCCTTATTAAGGAAGCAAATAGGCAACCTGCAACATCTGGCTAACAGACATATAAAAACACATTTTCCTTTGATCTTTATTCCTAATCCTACAACCTCTCGTTAGCGGTGAATAGGCGGTGTCGTAAACCGATGAACACCAGATGAGAGCTTCATCAGATGCCATTCATAAAACATTACCCTCAAAAGAGCCAATATGAATGACAAAGATGTGTACACACGGTGTTACCTAGAAAAGGGCTCTTTAATACTGGTTTCCATTTGCTTCATCCAGTCTCACCTCAGAGATTCAAGGAGACCCTCTTGTCATAGTATGCATAGATCTTACAGCACTGTGTTACGACACAAACCATCTACAAGCTGGTGTCCTTAGTCCACACAAGGTGCTTTAATGCGAGGGAAGGATCTTTACAAAAAAATGATCAGATGATAAATACACTTTGCACACAGCAATAGTTTTAGAAACACAATTATTGTTTCATTAGTAACCGTCAGTCACTATTTGTTGCTTTCCGTCTAGGTAAGAAGGAAACGGACCAAATCTTGACAATAAATCGGTCACAAGATTAATAACAGAGTGGTTTGCGGTTTGGAAAACGGATTAGTGTTCTTACTCAGGTACGTGGCCACACAATGAACTAAGGTGGAAAAAGCACAGACGCTACAATGTAGTAGCCTGACATTTACTACATTTTGTGTAGGATATGTTTGGCATGTATCATCTCAAACCTAAAACGGTTGCACTGTACTCTTCACGGTAAAGGATAACTGACGTCAAAGAGCACCGTAAAGGGCAGGACTTTAAGAAGGGCAGGAGAGGAAAGGCCGACCTCTTAAGTCCACGCGGGCTGAAAGAGCAGAGACGACGCACCGGCTTGTGCAGAGAAAAGAGAAATAGTGAAAAAAAACAATCTTCTCCCCTGGGCACAAAGAGTATTTAGATTCTAGAACATAAAATGCGAAATGTTGCACTCAGTTTGGTGTGAAGGCTGAAGAGCTTTATCCCTGAAGAAAAGAAACAACCAGACCAATGCAGTGCATGACCCCCCTTTGTTATTTTACAATCGCTCCTTTTATTGGCCGAGGAAAGAAAAATCCGCCATCATTCATTCGTTGTCTCAGATTTCTCCCTGCATTCTCCTTCCTAGTCTAATAGTATCACCAATAAACTACGGCAGCACTGTTGAACAATCTAATCGAAGTCTATCAAATAAAGAAAAAAAACAACTCACTTTTACATGATATGCTGTTGTTTCTGAGTGTTTTGTTGATCTATGAATAAATGAAGTCCGTTCCCACCGGTTTCATTGTCTGTGCGGACAATGTTTGCCACTGTAGGCGGGGATTGATCTCTCACCTTTCTCATCATGTGAGCTGCTGCTTGCCATCCCCGTGTGCCAATGTGCTTGTTGAAGGAGATGTTGAGATGCGTGGCTGACTCATAGTACTCAATCATGTCAAACAGAGCTGATGCACCCTGAGAATAGGAGAAACATAACAGTTACAGTACTTCAGATTTAAATCAGTCAGGTTTAAAAACGGCGTCAAAACGCTGAAAGAGATGTTCCAGGATACAAGCTGGAGCAGTTGTAGTTGCCACGGTGACAGGTCCTCAGAATAGGTGAAACCTGCTGAGGTGCTCAAAGGGGCCTCAGTTGGGGGGTAAAAACACACCGGCCATGGTTAAGGTGTTCAAACAAAGCAATAAAGTGAACATCAAAGTAGTGACCATGAGATCCTGTCTTCTAGACAAAATACCAAATTGTTATTATTATTATTATTACTATTATTAAAACTTTGGATTAATCAGCAGGTTGTTTTCTCCATTGTTTATTTGATCTTTAACATCAGAAATTAAGAAATTAATTATTTTATATTGACCTGGGAACAGCAGGTGTTTGGCACTTGCCTATAACATGACTTAAATTAATCAAAGGCAATCAATTGATTATGGTTGCCGATGCATTTTCTGTCGATTGACTGTTGTCCATTTTGCTGTAGAATTTCACTACAAATAAATCAACAGATGTGCAGATTGTTCTCTGAAATACACTGAAGTTTCCCATTATTTTCACAAACATTCCAAACCTCAAAATGTAGTTTATGAATGTGCACATGAAACAGTGAAACCATCCAAAGTTGGATATATTTAAAATAAAAAGGATTTTGTAATAAAACACTTGGATGGATGAATATCAAACGTTGATATAACGTTGTTTTAATTCCAGCTATGATGAGGAGATAATGGGAATGAAACAGTGTAAAATAGCGGAGTAAACCCTGTTTGGTAAAGAAGCAGATGAAGGACTAAAGGGAAACATCAGGTGATGCAGCCAAAGTGCACTCATGTGATCAGATTGTTTTAACCTCATTTTAGTAGAGCTGCAGGGTTCATCTTTCGACTGAAAATTAAAAAGTGTATTCCAACTTATTACCGTGTTATCAGAAAAAAATCAGCTGTGTCTTTTACTCAGCAACAGTTAAAAGTTAAAAACGGTACCAGCAGCAACAGACAATTGAATTTGCTCATTTATGCAGCATCAGGATCCGGCAAGCAGATAACAATGAAAGAGTGAACGTTAAAGTTCATCCTTCACTAAGGGGGGTTGAGAAATAACAACACAAGCTGCATAGCTTCTGATATTGTGTGCGTGTTTGTGAGAGAGCGAGCAAGCGTATCATAGAGTATATACACCAGTGTGTTTATCCTCAGGGTGGAGGAAGGGGAGTCCCGTGTCTACTCCCCATGCTTCCAAAGACATCTCTCCAAGACTGTTTCTTCTCCTTTCATCTTCCCATGTCATTCCTTACAAGACCGCACCACTGGAGCGCTGCCAAATCAACCAATACTACTGTGCGTCTCTCACTCCCAGACTCTCACCTCACCATTCCTTTTATTTTCTATCCCACCCACCTCCGTTCTGTCCTCGACTTTCCTTTCTCTCCTTTCAACGCTTTCATCTCAGCCCAAGGCGACGCACTTGTCTCCGACCGAGACGCGGCTCTTTGGTGACTCATTCAACTTCAGCTTTCGCATTTCCGGGGCAGCGTTCCATGTTTGCCGAATCAAGTCTGTCCGTCACTCTGCATCGCTCTTAAATACGTGACGCTGTGGTGTCGCGTGCCTGAGCTTTGCGTGTGTCTTCTATGGATCTTATCTTAAGTGAATCCGGCTAAAAGCAGAGCTTGTGTCTGTGCTACACAGCGTCTTTGGAACTCTGTGTGAAAGGAAGTGGTGGAGGCCGCGCGCCTCTGCTCCACACTGCCACAATCTGTGCGTGTCTACAGCCCAAACGGTATTTACACAAGTGGACATCTGGAGTAATCAAAAAACCCATAGCAAACACTCCACATCCGGTCAGTACAGTCAGGGTGAACAGAGTGTGACTGTGGGCAGAGTGCAACAGTGAGAGAAAGAGTGACGAGCATGAATTATGGATGGAAGTACGCTAGATACATATGCAGCAGATTTTTTTTTTTAAAAAGCAAGATCTTCTTACATCTTCGTCCAGGTTGGTTTGCTCCAGGTCTATGACTTTAAACTGGACCCTCTTCAAAATCTCTTCCAGAGACTCACATGCTTTGTAGTCCAGCTTCTCACCTGAAGACATACATCGATAGCATTTGTAAAAAATAAATCTCCCACTAGGAAAAAGTCTTGGTATGTGTTTATTCCCACCAGCTGGATTTATGGTATGCTGATGTTTTGCTGCTTACCTTTCAGATCGAAGCATTCATTTCGCTGAGTCAGGTCTTTCAGTTCCTGGACACACACAAAAAAAACAACTGTCAGTAAGAGTTGAGTATTACTCCATCGCATCAAACTTAGCTTTTCACAGGTTGAAACATAAATCACACAGGACATTCAATACACTACGACTGGTGAAAAGAAGTTCTTGTCTAAACAAAGATAAATCCTGTTGCAAAAGAAAAGCGTCAGCAGGACATATTTGCTTAATTCACCTCTGGCCTGTTCTTACTACATGTCCATCTGGTACCATTTAGAGATGTTGGGACGTAATGAAGGTGAATACTGCCCAGGTCCTAATGATGGCAACTGATGCAACAGTATTATATAAAGAAGGGATCTGCCATTCCTAGTGCAGATTTTTCAAATGCATTGTTCCATTGTGGATACTCACAAGAAGCGACTTACTGTTACCATTAAATTATTATCTGTAAAAAGAAAGTGGGTTCCAACAGGATGATATAATTAACATTCAGTAGATGCATTCATTGGGCTTATATCTTAAGTATGAAAAGAGCATATAAGAGGGACATTTTACCCGCAAACCAGTCTTGACGTGAAAGAATCAAAGATCAAAAGGTGGATAGTTAACCTCTTGCCCTTGACACCCGTCAACCCACACAAACACGAAACTATGTACCAGCAAATCCCTCTCTCTCGTTGGCTGCCCGGCCCATTCAGCATGAACTCAATCCCCTCTGCCCTCTTGCTACACTGCCATTACCCATCAATGTATCTGAACATACTGATGTGCATTTAGCTGTACGCAGGGTTCGTGCATTAACACTGCAATATGAATAAGAGTGTAGTAATTATGATGATAATCATCCTGTGAAACCAACCGAATGGTTCATGTTAGGTAAAAAATATGAAAAACCATAAAAAGGAGATTTTCAGCAGTATTCTCTCAGTGCAATTGATTAAATATGGTTGAATACAATTTCTGGTTAATGTTCTTCACTTAAAATATGGTGTTTAATGTGTAAATGTAACTAAGTAACTAACACATGTTAACAGGAATTCATCTTCCTTTACCACTATATCGGGCAGCTGCCAGAGAGAATGACTCTATAAGTGTAAATAACTCACTGACTGAGCGGCTAAAACCCGAAATAGTGCATGACGCATAACGTGCCTCTACACAAAGGTTGGTGGATCGGTGTGTGTGTGTGTGTGTGTGTGTCCGTGCTGTGGGAGGACCACATCGAGCTACGGATTCTCTTCCTGATTCCTGTGTATCGATGATATGTATTTGCCCTGTTTTAATTAGGGTGTTCTATCTGGCCTAGTGGGTTTTCACAAAACCAACCTAGGTTTTATAAAAATCATCAGACATAAGACAATAAATAAACTTAAATTATGTAAGTCATATAGACATATTGGTGGAAAAGCATGAGAGCACAGTCACCTTACATTTTAGCCAAGTCAAAATCTCTGGGCTGTATGCTATAAAATGCATGGCCAAAGAAAAAGCTTGAATCTAATATTTTCTGGACTGACATCAATGTGCCATTGAACCTATTATCTAACTACGTCAGAATATAAATGCACCTATTTCCGCAAAAAGTTAGCCCTGCTTTGCATACAACACATTCAACAAACTGCCTCTGTACAGTCTGCCTTTGACATACTTTGAGTATGTTTGCATATTTGGTCATCTCTGAAATGGGATGCAATCTGCATGACCTTTAAATTGCATCCTCATTTGAACAAATATCTGTACTACGACTGCATAATAGAAGCGCGTGTCGGTGCAGCGTGTGTATGTTGAAAAGTCTAAGCGTGTTGACGTACTCACCAAAATATTAAATCAGTCACATAGATTTACGAGTACAATAAAACTGCCTTTTGAGAGATATGATGAACCATGAGAGCCCCCTGAAGGAATTGCTGCAGCAAAAATGTGACACAAGGCTAACAAGTTGTCCTGGTCTTAAGACTCCGACGGGAGCTCCTGCAGATCCAGCATTCAACAGGCAGCTTCTAAGCAGTCACCCATATAAAACAAAAACACACAAACAACTTTCCAGAAATGTACATAACTTGCAGGGCCTCCTGAGAGCTGCAACGTGTAGAGTGCAGTTGGACTTAATAAAGCAAGCATTTAGAGTAAATGGGCAAGGGGGGGGGATGCAAAAAGGTGGATCTCCTCTCCTGCAAACCTCCCTCTCACTAGTCAGCCATTTGGTCTGACTGGCTGGTTTGTGTGGCCGGTTACTGCAAGGATGACTAAGCAGAAATGAGAGGGGAGGGATGGAGAGAAGCCAGACATGAGCAAAAGAACCACCATGAAAAAGCACACTGTGATGGAGGGAAGGGGAAGGTGGGCCAACTTATCCCTAAAAACCCCCCACTTAATCTAGTTTGAAATCAGCGTTAAACCGACCCGAAGCATTTAAGAGCAGCGGGCTGCTATGAAGCACCAGGGGACACTCTTGGTTAGTGTCTTGGTCTGGACACTTTGAGAAGTGGGTGGAAGCCTGGGATCAGACCATCAACCTTGCGGCTAAAGGACAACCCACTACACTCACTGAGTACAGCTGCCCCCAAGTCTGCCCCAGTGGAAATGTACCCAGACTGTAGGACACAATGACGCTCACAGCGGCAGCTTAGCACACTGATGTGCATTTCCACAAGTAGCTGAGATGTTGACCAAGGTTTTTTCTCTCAGCTGACCGAGCGTGTGGGGATTTCTTTTGCCAAGTCACTTGACTCACATGCGTGTTTCCATCTGGGGCGCCCTTTACTTCAACATCATCAGTCAGAAATGGAAACACAACTACAGATACAAATGTGCAACGCCTCAGGGAAGACACGCTGTTTCTAGGTTTTATGAGTGTGTGCTGCAGCTCACTATGAAAACATAACAAATACCTAATGTGTACCGGCTTTAAGCGCTAATACGGACTCCCGCCCAACAGCGCACCCACTTTAAGGTCTATTTTACCCCAACAACCGTCTGTTTTAGCTTTAGGTCTGGATCCGGAACGCGGTCTGCCAGTTAGTGGCCTCTGCTGTAGAGGCTCTGAGGCCAAATGCGAGGTGCCCTCAATGTCTCGTCACAGATGACGTTTATAACACCGTGGAGGACAACTCCCTCCCTCTGTCCCTCCCTCCCTCACCTTGCCCCCTCTGCGTTTCTGCAGCAGGCTACTTTCAAAGCCTCCTTCAACAGCCTCAGGGAAGGATCGAACGCGTTTGCCCTGATGTCAAGTAAAGTTGTGCTAATGAGGTCCACGCTGGTTCAGACTTGCTGCCGTAATGGACTAGCCCAGTCACCTTTGTTAGAAACATGTGGGAGGCCCTCCATTCTAACCCAGTTGATGGCTCAGTTATCACTAGCCAAATAAGAGTTTTCCTTCCTAAAGGGATGGAATGCTCACCCCTCAGTCAACCTAAGCAGCGTGCGCTTTGGTAGAAGTGGGCAAGAGGCCACGGTTGTTATGATACTCCCAAGAAGGGCTTTGCTTCTGCAACGTTGAGGTCTACGCATACGGGGCAAATGGTTGCGCTCTACCATTTGGATTTAACTGCCACTCTAAAAGGTGTGTGTCGTCTACCCTGATAGGTGCGCCCTTGTAAGTTATGTGCCTCATTGTCTCCTATTCAGTGAAATAAATCCCCACATTAAAAACATGTGAACAATTGCAAAAGCATATGCACCATTTCACATGCAAAACGCACAAGGTCGGCAGAACTAGCCTACATAAAAACAAACAGCCATGAGGCTTCCCCCACTGGATTTGAAGAAGTGCTTATGCGGAGGGATTAGGAGACACATGACTGTGCTGGCCTGCCCGCAAGACAAGGGAAAAAAAGAGACATGAAATACTTGTCTGCCTGTAGGGAGTAACAACCACCCCTGCTGGAAAAGGGCGAGTCCCCACCTTTCTGGATACTACAGTGTCACCAGAGGCGTACCGCTGTGCATCATGCAGAGTCCTCAATGACCCCATGGACAGACATTGTAAAGGACCTCTCAGACTTGAGTATTTTGATAGATTGTTACCTTTACATGGATTTTATCATAGCCATTTTGTTACGGCAGTGGGTGCATGTCCAGTTGCGCTTTTATTTTGAATGTAGAAAAACAGAAGTATGCAGTTTGAAGCGAGACGAAAACAAAAAGACGTTAAAAGGACGGGAAAAGGTATTAAAGTTACGGTTTAGCACCTGGTTGATATGGGCACAAGGTTATAACGTTACCTGCTTAAGTTCACTGTCTGTAAAATATGGTTTTGTGTTACAGTGTTGAATAAAGCTTGTCTTTATTTATTTTTCCTGTGTACATAAAAGATTTATGGACCATCAGTTTAAGAAGACTATTAGTTTGACTGTCCGTGTTGAACCTCACCTGTCTTATTTTTATTGTTGTCTCAATAGTACACAAACAAAACAAAACAAGGCAGAAAGTAAAAGAAGCTTACCTGTATCTGTTTGAGTACTTTGGGTATGGGTTTACAGTTGAGTTTCTGACACGCTTGTTTGTAGGAAGAGAGGATCTCCTCCATCGTCACATTCTGGGCTGCAAAACAGAGAAGATTAAGGAAGTTATTCAGGGCTTGTTAGTTAGCTTTGTTAAAGCTTCCACTGTAACAGTAGTGTACATAGTGCTAGTATGTGTGAATCACACTTGGCGTTGCAGTCAGCATTTTGAGTTGTGCCCAGGTGACAATTTGTCCGCTTCACTTTTCAGCCACCTCCCGTTTATCTCCCGCAGTGTTCATTAGTTTAACTCACATTCATCATCTGATGCCAGAACAGACTTGACTGGTTGAATAAGTACGTCTATATGTTTACACAAGTGCAGTGCAGAAGGAATAACCTGCTTGTGGGATAAAGAGGCTAGCTTAAAACCCCCCCGACATGAGCAGCCCTCTGTCTGACTAACCCTGTTATTCACCGTCTTAATGAAATGTCCCAACTACGGACCGTGGCCAGAAATACTACCAGAGACGATGCTGCAGTGAGTCGGAGGCAATGCTGTGCGTGCGTGGGAGGGATCGAATTAAAAAAGGGCGAGTCGGTGCCACATGAATATGATGAGAACGGCCACAACACTTCCTTTACTTGTTTTGAGACGCGGACGTTTCAGCAGGAGCTGGTAGATACTTAAATAAGCATGTAAATAACTTGCCTCGGAGGTTTCCAAAGATCAATTTATGCAAACAATCAACTCCCGCGTTTTGCTAACCAATCGCTACAAAACAATGTTTCTGCCTGTAACGCTGCTTGGTCATTTTAATCTACTTCGATAGCACTGCTTGTGTCGTTTGTTGCATTTTACGGTGTTATTATAATTACTGTTTCTGTGCTTATTTGACTATTTCAAATCGAGAAACCAGTTTTGTGTCACATGACCAGACTTAGCAGCCCACTCAAACTCAGTGGATTGGACCAATTCATACGTTCGGATCCCGGTGAGAGGTTTCATGGTAAACTGATGTTCTCATCATATCTTGAAAATAGTTTCAAATTAAGTGCAACCAAATGAATGAAAAGTTTTTTCTCTCAAAAAGTGACACATAACTGCGGATATGACCTAAATGCCTCTGCTGCCAATGTGTTGGAGGGCACACTTGTAAATTTGCACAGCACAGTGTGTTCGTTCAAGTGAACACTGTGTCCTTGGAAAAGTGTTATTGTGCAGGGTCGATATGGAGCAAGTGTGTGTAAACACTTCCTGTGGGAAGTTTCCCCTGTTTACAACACAATATCACACATAGCTCTTTAATTTCAGAAAGAGAGAACCAAAAATGGAGATTGACTTAATATGTGACTGCTGTGCTCAAAAGCAAAGAAAGTGGTGTAAGGAAGTTTTGGTTGAACACCAAAATAGGAAAAAACAGCGGCAGAAAGGAGTCAAATACTCAGCGTTACACAACGGATTTAAGCTTTAACCTGCAGGAGCATTAAGAGTTGAGCTCCAGCTGAATTTGTGCTTGCCTTTTCTTGGTTTTATTGCCCTCCCTTTAGTGCTGCTGGTACATGTAAGAAGAAGGGAGTGGCAGAGAGGAGGCACTGCATAATGGGGAGATGGGAGGGGAATGGACCGCTAAGAACAACATCTTTGAAAAACAGCTTAAGAGGAAGAAGAGAGTTTAAGTTGGATTCAGGGTTGGGCAATTGTAAGGGTCCCTTTTTGACAATACTATAAAAAGTGATTGTTATTGCTTGAATTAACAGAAGAGATAGTCATGAATATTTATGGCCTGGAGATGATTGTTGCGATACCCATGGGTGGCTACAATGCAAGCGCTACTTTACAAATGGGAATGCTGGGTTCAATAAATCAGATGAGCCAGCTGTTGGGAACTTGCCTCCTACAGTCCCGCTCGGATAATCTACTTCATCCGCATTTGCAGCAGTTCGGCATTAAAAAAAACAAAAACAAAACGGATCAAGCTCCCACACGCATAAATACATTTATACAACCACAATAAGTCAGGGTATGCGTGTTGTTTGATAGACTACAACAATGCAGTCGGGTAGAGGAAAAAGAAAAAAAAGAGAGGGGGGGGGGGGGGGGGCCAAAATCACATAACAGGCATGGAATACTTAAATGTTCTGTTTTCATCGAAGCATGAAGAACGCTATAGACAGGCGCAGTCTGGTTGCACTGTTGCACTGACAGTATGTCTATTGTTCAAATTCGTAGGACGTTATTGAAAAAGCTTATAGGCAATATTAATGTCTATTTAGTAGTTAAGTAGTAATTCTGTGTACATACAGAATCATTCTAACTGGGGATCATTATTATAATAATGTAGTATAGCTTGTAGTTCTTAAGACCACAGCAGTGCGGTAGCATGGGCAGTGTGGACTGCACATGTTATGGGAAAATGCATGGGGCTGTAATTTGACTTTTTGCATGGTTACAATGCACATGGGCACCCTTTTAACCAAACATTGCATAATACATAGTATTGTATTTCAGCCGATTAAATGAGTCCACTAATAAAAATACACTAAAAAAGGTAAAAAATAAAATAAAATGTTATGATAAAGATAACTTCAATATATCCAGAGCGTAGCTTCCTCTGGAGACTTTCCACACACTTTCTGCATGTTGTCCGACCCCATGCCACCCGTATCCGGGCAAGAGGGGGAGGAAGAGACAAGGGACCTCTGCTTTGACACAGTAAATCTGCTAAATAACCCAAACAAGCAGCATGGCCCTTTCTTCTCTGCTGCCGTTGGCCACACACACACCGAACGCGCTTCTTCCATCACTGAGCTGCAGCGCAAAAGGAAAAGAGCAGGATCCCGGCTCGCTGACTCACATCAACCGAGGTAAACGCAGCGCTGTGGTAACGCGTGATGAGCTTTTGAACGCGATCTCGCAGATGCACATTTAGCCTTAAAAGGAGCAGACATTCTGACTGCAATGCAAACCAATGTAGATATTCCCAACATGACAGGATATCTGGAAATCCCGTTGGTATAATTCAGTGTGTTGTGGCGAGCCCCTGAAGCTCCTTAACAAACTCAGACTTTGTACATCTGTACACAACAAGCTTTCAATAAACACTTAATCACTGCTTCAGTTTACCATCTATTAAATCAAACAAATGCATCATTGTATCATTTATTTCAGACTTTCAATTAAAGCTGCCAAACAAGCCTTTTGGGATTAAAGTATGACAACTCATTCATCAAAAGACATGCGATTACTAAATGCAGTTGAAATACAGGACTTTTGCCTCGACCACCGGCCACAGAAGGTCAGACACATTGAACTGCAGAAAGTGGGGGGCTGGTGCGCTGGTGCCCCCCCCCACTCCCCACAATGTAATGGTTGGGGAAACACTGTATTAATAATTACTGTGGAAATGAGCCGTGTTGTCCCCTTGTGCTGAGACCTGGGTGGATCCTAGAGTGCCCTGGGACACCACAGCGCCAACTGGTTTCTTTAAAAGCGTTTGATGTAGAAGCCAAACCTTTAGGGCTTGTTAAAACATGTGATTATGATGTTCAACAGTTATTGGAGATTGTTGCTTTTGTACTAAAAAAGAGGTTTGTCAATTTTAAAGATAATTTTGCAGGTCAACAAAGTTGCAGTCCGTTTCTGACTTGCTGTAGTCCCATTTAATTGAGTGTGAAACTATCCCAGTGAACTACATAGCATGTATAATCGAGAAGGCATTTGAGTGGTCTGGCCGCATATCTAAATGTCCCCGTCTGTTTAATCCTCCTTAGCCCTGCTATCTTTGTACCTTCACCACTGACTCCCATTCTTTGTTGAGTCGACAAACACAAAGTCGGCAACACAAATTCTTCAAGTAATTATCTTTCTCTCCTCACTCCAAAAAGGAGGAAACCACTGTTTGGATGTGTGCAGGGGAAGACAAAACACAGACACGGACCGAGGACCATACGACTTGCACAGTGTCTTGAATTCCTTCGGTTCACCCTCGTCGGCACAGTCTGGTTTCACCAGTTAGGAATAAGACTGCACAATCCGTATGGACTTAAGTCTTATGGCTTAAGAAGATACTTGTCGGTGACCGGGAATGTGGTGAATTGTTACGTAGCAGCTAATAGCCAAGCCTCTGGAAGGATTAGCCTCCTGAGGGGAGTGCACAGCTCAATACTGAAATGATGGTCTATGGTTACCTCAAAGTCATCATCTTAGTCAACGTTTAGTAGAATTGTCTGCAATGAAAGGTTATGACAGAGGAACCAGTGCCGAATAGATAGATGGTTTGAGAGGAAATTACTCTCAGCATTCAGTCTAAAAAAAGGGCTGCAAAATGTAGCGGGTTGGACGCAGAGCGCTCGGCAGCAAGTGGAATCCAGGTGTCCAATAAGCCATTGAGTTTCAGATAAATGCAACATGGGACACGATTCCTTGTCCCGTTGACCGAAACCATTTTAATGAGGCTCAGTCGCTCATTCATCAGTTTGACATTCATTATCAGCTCACTTATCTTATAGAGGGTTTCAAAACGGTATGGATGGAGACAATTCAAATCAAGTAGTCCTTCAACTGTGACTGCATTCATACTCTATCGGATGAAACATGAAAATCTACTTAGGTCTCAATTTTGGCTTTAGATACAGTGCGTGTTTCATGCACCCAAAAATGTTAGCTTTTTGAACATGGTCTCTGCCGTGGATGAAATCCGAAAACACAGACTGCCTGTTTGAGCTCTGGAGAGGAAAACAAAAATCTCTCAGTCGACAGTACACGGAGCTAAAAACATTTGCAAACTAACAGCGCTCCTTCTATGAATTCTACCTTCAAGAAGGTAATAATGGTAATATTTAGCTGAAACCGTTTTAGAGAGGTGTTGATTTGAGTTTATGATCATCTCCCACAACTCTGAGACTGTTATTTGGCCAACTGCCATTGACGTAGGTGAGGGAAACCCAAAAATAAAAACTTCACCTGCTACATACGTCATTTTTTCAATTTAGCAGGCAAAGTATGGACACAGCCAAAAGAAACTGGGATTTCACCAGAGCACAATGTATGAGAAGCCTGGGGGGGAACTTCCAGATATATGGGAGTTCTGGGCGAAA